ATATAAATTTAAATAAGCTTGTCTATTCCGTTTTTTGGTTTGATTTGGTTCAATATTATTTTTAGATATTTCAGTTTTGTAAATTATAGTCTAACTCTATAAACAAAATAATGATGTTAACTGAGTATATCAAATAAAAAAAGAATAAAAAAATAATGGTGACAAATATTTGTATTTTTATCTACGTTTATACGGTGTAATTGCGTTATAAAATAATAGTAAAGTAGTGTTTTCTTGATTTTCTGCTAACATCGAGATTGTGGGTTTCTCCTTTAGTTACGAAAATGAGTAAAAATTTTACAAAATCCAGTAACATAATTGGAATAATAATTTTATATTAAAATTATGGTATAAAATAAATTATAAGTTATCATTTTAACAAATCATTGTGATTTAAAGGTTAAAAAAATAGTTTTAAAAATTGAAAGTCTATGTTAAATATTTTAAGTGTTATTTAACTAATGGTTGTGCACTATGTGTATCATTAATAAAAAGAAAATAAGGTTCTTGAAATATATTAGTCGCTGAAAACTATATACATATAAAAAGAAATCAGATATTTGTAAAACGTTATACACATTATAAAAATAAAACAAAACAAACAAAAAACAAATACAAAAATTGACTATACGGTACATTTATTTTATAAAAGTAATATATAACATGTATTTATTAATGTGTGCATATATAATAAAAATAATAAAATACTAAAATTTGAGTAAAGGTAAAATACCCAATCCTAAAATCATTTCAAATTTCTACCAATCATACTTGTAATCTATATATAATAGCAATCTAATAAATACCATTTGCACCCTTGAACGGTTGCGTCTGTTTATCGCAACCTTTCGTTTAAATACTTACGGGTTTTTTTTTTTCGGTTGTGTCTTTTTATCCCATTTTTTCGTTGAAATATTTACGGTTATTTTTTACGGTTGTGTCTTTTTATCGCATCTCTTCGTTAACATATTTACGGTTTTTTCATATAGTTATATTTGTTCAATTACAGTCGTATCTTTTCAGTTTACGGTTGTTTCTTCATAGTTGTATCTATTCATTTAAAGTTACGTATCATATTATATAGATTTAAATTTTAGTTTTTTAACTAAAATATATATTCTATGGTTGTTTTTTAAAAAAAAAGTTGCAATATGAATAAATAGTTTCTACGGTTGCATCTTTTAATCGTAACACCTCATATACAATTGCGATGGTTCAGTTTGGTTGAACCATTGCAACATTTACTTTATTTAACGAACAATTGTAATTTTTGATTCATTTTATAAATCGTTAAAAAATTAAAAATATATATTTTACGGTTGAATTTTTTTAGAAAAATATGATCCAGATAAATATCTTCTACGGTTGCGTTTTTTTTTATCATAACTTTTCATAAACGGTTGCAATCGTTTAGTTGAACCATTGCAACATATCGTTTATTTCAAGAACAAATGCAACTCTTGGTTTATTTTATAAACCGTTATAATATTTAATTATCTACAGTCACATCTGTCGGTGTAATTTTTTATAAACTATTATTTCAATTTTAGTTACTAAAATGTATTTAAATAAAACTATAACCGTTTAATTGAACCGTTGCAACATTTGGTTTATTTGACAAATTATTGCAACTTTTGATTTTTTTTTTATGAACAGTTGTAATCTTTAGTTTATTTGACGAACTTTTGCAAAATTTTTTATATTTAACTCTATATATATATATATATATATATATATAATTTTTTAATAATAGTTTAGAAAAATAAAAAATTACATCTACTTATTATAACTTTTTGTTTAATATTTTTTATATGATCGCATCTTTTCACCATAGTATTTTCTAATAATAATACACGTCTTTAAAAATATTTTTGAGGGTTTACGTCTCTTTATCATATTTTTTGTAAAATATATTTTTATTTATTGTTAAAAATAATTGTTTGGAAATTTATTATCTCAATTTATTATGACATTTTGTTTGATATTTTTTTCTTTAAATTTTTTTGAAATCCTTTCCCCCGCGACATCGCGGGGGGTCTTAGTCCTAGTTATATTAAAACAAAGCTAATTTACAAAAAAAATACCCCACGGCAGAGCGCGGGTTCTTTATCTAGTATCATATAAATACTTTTATATACATCAAAAAACTGTTAAAATATAAACTCATCGTTGCAGATTATAGATTCGATCCATCTACTAAATAAGGATGAATCACTTTGCGGATTAGAGGTTGATGTCTCATTTTCTCTTGCATGTAATTAAGGTTAAATGTCCTCTAAACATAGGTTTAATAAAAGACGAAAAGTAGAACATACACCTGAAGAGGATAAGTGGACCATACGTCATCTAGAAAGTCAAACGGTCAAACTCGAGAATGAAAACGTTATTAAGAAACAAAGAAAAAGAAACACCAATCGGATCTTGATCCTTTTGAGGGATGTTTTGTTCTTTTTCTTTTTTTGTTGTTTTGCTGTCATTCTCTTTGTTTTATTCTTCCTCTTCTTTGAGTGTTGGAGACGGACCGTATCATTATACAGTCCGTACGGATCCTAAATGCTAAAGTTTTTTTTTGTTAAAATCCTAAATGCTAAAGTTAACGTGTTTAATCATCGATCGGTAGTTATTTTTAACAATTCTTAGAAAAAAAAAAAAAAAAGTTATATTTAACGAAACAAAAAAAAAACATACAAAATCGGTGATTGGATCACTTATCTAATCGTTTAAATGCCAAAGCCATCTTGGGGTAATCATTGTTTCAGTTTCTTGTTCCATGAAACAAAGTGCATGTGTTCTTTAATTAAAAGCGGCAGTCTTCTTAGTTAAACAAAGAGATCACCAATCGCAACTCCGATTTGATTCTTTATGTTCGCTTAAAGCCTGACTCTTTCTCTCTTTAGGTCTGTTGAATCTCTAATATTCTTTGAATCTTTATTTGATCATATTATTTTCTGACTAAATTATAATTTCATTTCATAAGAAAATAAAAAATGGACAAAAGTATACTTCGATCAAACTGAATCGCAATCTTAATATATTTTCAAAATTTTCCTTATTAGTTAGTATCAAGTACTCAGATAAAACTTGGTTACTGGTTTTGGTATAACATTCCATTTACGGCATAACTCGAATTTTGGTCTCTAACTTTAGAATGAGTCCTTTAATCATTTGGTCCTTCAACCAAAAATGCATATTTCATTAGAAAATAACTATTGGAAGAGATCACCTTACGCTAAGCCAACTTGCTTTCGAGTTAAGATTTTCTTAGACTTGATATTTACTATTATTCTTGTCTTGGCAAAAACATCATCTACTTTAGGAGAGAAACGAACTAAGTATATAACCCAAAATTGGGAAAAGAAGAAAAAAGAAAAAGAAGTAGCAATTGAGTGTTTGGTGTAATAATATATCCAGTTGAGTTTATTCGCTTTTGTACTTTTTTTGCTTTAAAAATATTTTGGAGTTGGAGTTTGCTTCTTTGACTGATCAATTGAATCTCTCGCTCCCCAAGCCAAAGAAAGAACACAAGATGTTGCTTTTGATCATTGCCAAGAATCTCACTTCGCAATTCCCTTTACCTTTACCCTTTTTTTTAATTTTCGTTCTTAGCTTAAACAGTACTATTTCATCTTAATTCTACCATCTTTAAAACATAATAATAATTAATTCTACTATCTTATGTTTCTAACATATAAAATTTCATTATATTTTAATGTTCAAGAAGCTTCAATATTAGATCTACTTTTTTTTAATTCCCTGGTCCAATAGTAGTGACTGACATTGTTCTAAAACGACAAATAACTAAAGACTTCTCTAAATTTGATTATTGAAAGGATGTATGCTCGGTAGTTTTTTTTTTATAACTCAGGGTAAATCTTCGGACCTATAGAGGAGTACAAGACTAATTTTTAGGAAGAGAGTATTCCACAGGTAGAATTCTTTCCAAAGTTTCAAATTAAATGGACCATAAATAATGGGTTCATACTCATGTGTTTAAAGGAATAAAGCCGAGTAAATTTCGCATCTAAGAAAATCGATCTCTGGCTTAAATCAACAGGACTCTTCTACCAGAATAGAACCACTAGTCCACCAGTTCGGGTTTGTATGCATGGTAGTTCTACATTATTGTTCTCTGCTCAAATTCCCCATTACTAATTATTTAGCTTTATATTTGAGTCGGAGGATTGTTTGAATAATACATATGAGTTAAAGGGGGAGGCTTGGTAATGGGACAGAGACAAGATCCTTAGAAGACCGTGACATTGTCACTCACGTGGGCCTCTTTTGACCAACCGCTTCCGACACTAAAACTGCAGACACACAACACTTATCAATATTACTTATTTATTGGCACTAAAAATATTATTTCATAAGATCTTTTAAGTTCATCAAAACATATAATAAAATGCCAAATCTACTATATTTTTCTTAAGAATGTTAAACTACCTTTAATAGTGTGCTTTTATTCACTTTTATTTGAAACAAACATGAAAAGGAAACTACTCATTTTATGTATTACTTGGAAACCTTGTTTTCAAGATATGCAATAAATTGAAACGACTCGGAGAAAAACTATACTTTTCTAAGGCGAGGATTAGTAAAAATATGATGAATTTAAATTTGGATGTAACAACTGAAATAAATAGCAAACTATATGCTCTTGGTTGAGGTTAGTGTGGAATTCTTGCCAGGACATAATTCGCCAACGAAGTCTTATTGCTTACTGTATCATAAAATCGATCGGCGTCGAAAATAGAATCTAGAATACTTTGTCTTCCATACCAAGAAACTCCGATAAAAATAATATTCAATGATTTATATATAAAGCTCTCGAGAATATTCATTGTCGAATTGTTGCTTTCTTTAGATAAAGTAACAAATAATGTAATCTGCACTACATTAATAGATTCGATCACATATAGCTACCACATACCAAATTCACTTTTGTCGTTACTTAAGTTTCCAACTGTCTATATATATGTACCCATGTCTCCATTTTGTAACTTGTACCTTAAATCACAAAGCCACCAAAACAACACACTTATCCTCTCCCCCTTTTTTCTCTCTATCTAGTCACCAAATTCATGATGGGATACCAAACAAACTCTAATTTCTCCATGTTTTTTTCCTCGGAAAATGACGACCAAAACCACCACAATTACGATCCTTATAATAATTTCTCTTCATCACCTTCTGTTGATTGCACTCTCTCACTTGGAACACCCTCCACTCGTCTAGACGACCACCGTAGATTTTCTTCTGCTAATTCTAACAACATCTCTGGCGACTTCTACTTTCACGGAGGAAACGCTAAGACTACGTCGTACAAGAAGGGTGGTAGTGATCATAGCCTACCTCGCCGTTGTGCTAGCTGCGACACCACTTCAACTCCTCTATGGAGAAACGGACCAAAAGGACCTAAGGTAATTAATTAATAGAATCATCATTTAAATGTAATCAAATAATGTGAGTAATGTCCGAGATGACCATAGGTCCCATAGATAAATGCATAATGAAAAAAAGTGTATGGATTGTTGAAAAAGTATCTAGATTTGTAATGAAATTAAAAAAAAGTGTCATTTTGGCAATTCAAAAAATCAAACTGTTATATCATGCGGAACTATTCTAAGAAAAAAGTACAAATATTTTCTAATCAAAATTTTGTCACATCATATACTTTCTTGGTTGTTTTATATTTTTTTTCCCGTAAATACTTTACCCTAAACTAAAACAAAATATGTGACTTTTTGTTCAATGATTATATATGAGGTTATATAAAATTAATAAAGATGTTAACTGATATTTATTATACAATCTCGATATAATTAAAATTTTCATATCTATAGCATTACTATAATATCCACATTTCAAAGATATTTTGGATGTATAACATATACAATGTTAACTCGGTACAGTCGTTATGTAATGCTTGTGGAATCCGATTCAAGAAGGAGGAGAGGCGTGCGACGGCCAGAAACTTAACGATCTCCGGTGGAGGTTCAACGGCGGCAGAAATTCCGGTAGAGAATCCGTACAACGGAGGTGGAAACTATTACAGTCATCATCATCACTATGCTTCGTCGTCGCCGTCGTGGGCTCATCAGAACACACAAAGAGTTGCGTATTTCTCACCGGCACCGGAGATGGAATATCCCTACGTGGACGAGGTCACGGCTGCTTCGTTTATGTCTTGGAATTGACGTGTCACGTAAGCAAGTCCGACTTCCATCGCCTTCTCCACCATTTTGACGAGATGAAGAAGAAACGTTTAAGTATGGATCATGATGAAGAAACGTTAATTATCATAGATTCTATCACACAAAGTAAAATCAGTCTTGGTCAAATTCAATTATTATTTTTAGTTTTTTTTTTATTATATATTTTTATTTCTACTCTAGCTACTTGTGTTTTCTTTTCATGACTTTTTTGAAAGCTATATTGGTGTTAATGATATATATACGTAGTGTCCACTTACTTTGACCGTATATGATACATATATTATAACTTTATCTTATAGCTGTCTTTTTAAGTCTTTAACATTTTTCGATGCAACGTTAAGTGATCTAGTTTTGATTCTTTTATACCATCCTCGCATTTTGTTTCATATGAATGAGAATTTTAATTAGCCTTTTTTCCGTCAGAGAATTTTAGTTAGCCAAAAGGGAACGATTGCAACTTAGAATTTGGCGGATTAACGAGCTTTGCTTGGTTCCTAGAAAAATAAAAAGCATTTAAAAAGACAAATTTAAGATCACTTAAAACTTCTAAGGGAGGCAAAGAAATGTAAGTGGAAATTAGTCTAGTAATAGCCCAAGAAAGACCATTGTGAAGCCCAAATCCATTTATTAGAAAGCAAGTGAAAAGGCCCAACACTCGTCGAAGAAGTTAGGTCAAGTTTTTATTAGTGTCTGAGCCCTCAGACACTAGCTACTACTAGTAGTACAATCCTTTAATCTTTTTAGGTTATGGTTCCCATCGGAAGAGTGAATTTCAAATTCTTAATGAAAGATTTTCTATTATAATTGTTGAAGGGATTGTAGTAATGCTACTTCAGTCGTTGGTGAGTATAAAACAAAGCCAGCTGCTTCATAACATAAACATGTTCTTGACAAATAACATAAAAATATGCTTCCCTCACTAAATATTACGTACTCATCGATAAGTCGCACTCCTCAGTCGAGTAAAAATTGATATGAGAGTGTTTGGTTCAAGAACGCAACGCCCAAATACGCATTCTTTACATGGCTGGCCAAATATAACCGGCTCTCAACGGGTGATCGAATTCGGAAGTGGAATTCAAGCCAAAGAACCGAAACCACTTATTTTTTACTTGTCAATATGCTGCAGCAGTTTGGTCCTTGCTTGTGAGTAGACTGATTGGAAATGATTTCACTCACGACTGGAACCATCTGATTCGTCTGTCTACTCAGTGCCACCAGTTATGATCAGACTCGTCTGTTCACTATCTGGTACATTTTCCAAACCTCCGTTTATCATATATGGCGTGAACGCAACGGACAGCGTCATGGAGAAAACCCCATCTCGCCATCTAGTCTTGCAAAACTCATCGGAAAAACAGTTTTTTTTGTTTGATTTAAATTTACATTCAATTCAAAAAAAATATTATGTACTCAAATTCTCTTGCAAGTCTCTTTGTTTACGAAATCTAGAAACATCAAAAAAATATTTGTGATTCGGTTTACAGTTATGCTCTATATGCGGTTTATGTTTTTGCTCTAATTAACGTCATCTACTTTGTCTATAAATAAATAAAAAAATCTTGGCTCTAAAAGCCTCTTATTTATTTCTTCCTTATTACTCTAAACTTCCCCAATCATATACCCTAAAACCCTCGCCACCAAAAACCTCGTAACGTAACGGAGAAACCAAAACGGTCTGCTTTGGAGTTTTGTCTCTCTTTTCCGACTATCTATCATTCCATGGCTTTCTGGGGTGGGTTCACCGTTTCTTTTTTTTTTTTGAAACCCAAAAACAATGACCTATTTTTTCAATCATCGATTGAGAAGAAGAAAAAAAGACCTAATGTTTTATATGGAGTTAGACGTTGATGAAAGATTTGTATGTTAGCAGGAGTTGAAGTGGAGCCAGGAAAGCCTTTCACTCTCAAGGCTACCGAAGCAACGGGAATAAGAAGACTTCACCTTTCCCATGTCTTTAATCTTTATCTCTACCCTAACTTTTGTCGATATACTTCAACCTTTTATGTAACTTGGCTGATCCCTTTGACCTTCTTTTTTTTTTCTTGGTTTAGGCGACATTGGGGGGACTTGGTAATGAAACAGTTAGACACATTCTTGTGTGTAACGTTGGGAATAGAAAACCTCTCTACTTATGCATCTTGTCTCCTGGAAAGGTTGATTCTTGCCAACTGAATCTGGACTTTGAAGAAGCTGATGATATTATTTTCTCTGTTATTGGACCTCTTAGCATTCACATTACTGGCTACTTCATCGCTACTCCTACCGCTTTTAGGCTAAATGATAACGTACAAGTAGGTAACAATGATAATTTCTATCCGATCGTTATAAAGTTAACTTTAGAACTAGTAGATTCCTTTCTTGGTTTGAGAATTTGGGGATTTTAGAAAGATATGCAGGTTTTAGGGAGGAGTGATCTTCCTGATTACCCATTACCTGTATTCTGCGAACGTATATATAAGCTGGTGGATGATCCTTCATCGGATTCAATCATCTCATGGAGCAAAAAAAGCAAGAGCTTCGTCATTCGAAATCAGAAAAAGTTCATTCGCAGAAAGATTCATTCGAGATTCCCTTTTTCTAGCACATTCGAAAAGTTTATCTCCATGCTTAAGTATTATGTAAGTTTTTTTCTCAGATTTGCAAAAGATACCGTACGTTTTAGTTTAAACGCTTGCTTATATATATTTTCTTGTTGTTGGTTTGGTAGGGCTTTAGCGAAATGAAGAGGTCAGATGGGCTACTGGAATTCGGAAATGAGAATTTTGTGAGAGGTCAACCTATGCTTATGAAGGAGATGCACCAGAAAGCTATGATGAAGAGGATTAACAAAGATCTCACGGTATTTAAAGCTGAGCGGAGATAGAAAAAATCTAAAGACTTTTATCAGAATCTCATCATGCTTGCAGTCATCTTCTCTTTTCATGCGTTTGTTGTTGTTCCAGTTGCTTTCTTTCTTGTATCAAGAATTTGTTTGGCTTTGTAATTGAAACTATGTTATGTTTTCTGACCAAGGGTCCTCTATTGCTCATGATCGAGATATACACTTGTAGAATTTTGGGGAAAACTCTTAAACCTTGTGTGTATCGTTTGTTTGTGTTCCAGAACTCTTTTAAAAAAATTCTCACTTGCTTACGAAATCTAGAAACAGCTGTTCAAAAATTTTGTGATTCGGTTTAGAATTGCTATGGTTTAGGTTATTGCTGTAAGAGTAAATATGGAGTTTCTCATTGAATCTTCCACCTATAAAATAATAAAAAAGATAATAAAGTGATTTGAGAGACTTTGAGAACATTTGTAGAGACTTATTTGATATATGTCTCAACATAATTGGTTATTGAGAGACTAAGAGAGGTTTTCCCTACTGCACATGCTTTAAGCGTTCATCTACTTTTTGTTCTATGTATGCAAAAAACTTCTTCACTCTAAATCCATCTTCTTTTATTTCTTCCTAAAACCTTCCTCCAACAAAAAACCTCGCCACAAACGGAGAAACCCAGAAGAAAGGGGTCCGCTTTGGAGTTTTTTTTTCCGATATTCAATGGCTTTTTGGGGTGAGTTCGCCGTTTCTTTCTTTTTCTTAAACCCGAAAAACAAAGTGAAAAATTATCGCTTGAGAAGAAAAAAGACGTAACTTTTATACGGAGATGTTGATGAAAGATTTCTATATTTGCAGGAGTTGAAGTAAAGCCTAGAAAGCCTTTCACTCTCAAGGCAACTGGAACAACATGTAGAAGAAGAAGACTTCACATTTCTCCAGTCCTTAAATTTTGTTGATTTTCAGATTTTGTATGTTCACTGTCATCTTTTCTTTGATTGGTTAATTTCGTATGTCTACTCTCGATTTGGGTGTGTTTAAATGGGAGCTTTATTTACACATAAATTAGGGAATTTAGACGAATTTTTTTGTGTAACTTGGGCATATCTTTGACATTTGTTTCTTGGTTTAGGCAACACTGGGTGGGCTTGCTAATGAAACAACTAGACAAATTCTTTTGTGCAATGTTGGAGCAAACCACATCTCTACTTGTGCATCTTGTCTTCCGGAAAAGTTGATACTTTCCAACTGCATCAAGATGTGAAAGCTTCTTTCTGCCGGAAAAGTATCATCTTGATTCAGTTTCAACTTTGAAAAGCTTCTTTCTGATAGGAGAGTATCACCTTGTGCATCTTGTCTGCCGAAAAATCTTGTGATATAGTTGATTGAATGAAGATGTGCCTAAGAATGCATAGCTAATTTATGATGTGGAGGCAGTAAAAGTTTGATGATACCATTGGCTCTAACGTAATCTATTTTGTTTATTTGGAAAGATATTCTGATTTTGTATGTGGATTTGCTTACAAACCTCAAAACTCTCATGATTGTTCAGTTACATGTTTATCAATGTCTTTTGTTTTGGGTATCATGCTAGTTGTGTTTGAATCAATGGTTCATAGTTCTTTGCAACAATACTTTCATTCATAATTGAGAAATATAAAAGGGATTAGATTCTTTTAAGACAAATCAAACAAAACCGAAGCTTGCAAGGTTAAGTCATTTATATATACACACAAACAAGAAGAAAGTGAGAGAGCAAGACAATGGTTGATCATATTTGATCCAACAGAGAGACGGTGGCTAAATCTTCTTCTCTTCCAGCTCGACATTTCTCCCTACCACGTCATCTACTCTCTTAGTAGCTTATCATTCATTACCCCGCCTTGAAACCAACCTTGTCCTCAAGCTTGAATGCTGAAACTGTTTCATCAGAGCATCCACACACACAATTGAGTGGTGGTCTAAATAAATGGCAAGCCTTTCCAGCCAACCAACCTCCCCAAATAGAAATCCTTTCACTAAAGTTCATGGACATAGAACAGCATCAAGTCGCTGTTTTTAATGAATGTTTCTAGGTCACAGTTCGTTGTTAATCCTACTTCAAAAACATACTAAAAATCTGCCTTATAACGATACTAAACATATATGGCAACTGGCAATCCTAAATAGCATCTTTGTACTCCAATTTGTTGTAGCAACTAATAGAGAAGATTGGCTGAAATCTCCTTGTATAGTTGTATTGTATCCTTAATTGTAGGAAAAAACCGGAGATTCAAGATTTATCATCTCTTAGGAAATAATTATTTTCCAAATATAGAAATTTTTTTTATATATATTTTTATATATATATATATATATATATATATATATAATATTTGAAATTTTGAATCATATATTTATGATAATTATATTTAATATTTGTATACGTTTGGTTATTGATTTTTTTTAGTTTTGTTATTTTAAATTAATTGTATATATTTTTAGTTAATTGTATATTGTTATTTAATATTTTGTATATATATATATATATTATATAAAGATTTCTTCTATATTTGGAATTTTGAATCATATATTTATGATAATTATATTTAATATTTGTATACGTTTGGTTATTGATTTTTTTTAGTTTTGTTATTTTAAATTAATTGTATATATTTTTAGTTAATTTTATATTGTTATTTAATATTGTATATATATATATATATATATATATATTATATAAAGATTTCTTCTATATTTGGAATTTTGAATCATATATTTATGATAATTATATTTAATATTTGTATACGTTTGGTTATTGATTTTTTACAGTTTTGTTATTTTAAATTAATTGTATATATTTTTAGTTAATTGTATATTGTTATTTAATATTTTTTTTATATATATATATATATATTATATAAAGATTTCTTCTATATTTGGAATATATATATATATGTTATGTTTGTTATAATACTAAAATGTTCTTGTAGTTTAATGGTTGAGAGTCTTTTCTGAGTGCTACATGACAACAGTTCAATTCCTCTATAGTCCATTTTTCCTTCTTATTTTCTGATGAAACGATGTCGTTTTGATCCTACGGAGTCTTCTAACGGATTGTTAACCCCGTGAACGTTTGTTTAACGAAAAAATTTAATGACATGCCCGAAATGACCAAGTCAACGAAACTTGACCCTTTTATCAAACTAAACATTACTATGGTATTTCAAAAGTTCATGCTTTTTAAATCCCAAATTTGAAAGTTCGTACTTGTTTCGACATTTTTTCCTTAAACATATAAAGCCCTCGTAAAATATTCAACAACAAGAAAAGCTGTTTTTTCATGACTCATCAGTTCACAACACTGTAATATCCAAACCACCGGGGTAAGTGATTGCATTGCATGCACAAATGCACTCAAAGACTACTACACAGTACACATGTACATGGACATCATACATAACGAAATTAAATGACCTTACAACATTCGCCTAAATATCTTATAGGACGCGCCTTTATTTATATAAATTGCATACTTAATTAGGACAAGATGGACCATTGATCGATGTTGTGAATTTCTCAACCAACCCTGCAGAAAAAAAAATCAACAATTTATTATTTATTTCAGCTTTTAAAGTTTAGAATTTAAATTAAACAGACAAAATTCAAAATGTTAAATATTATAAGTGCATAAGAGATACATATTATTCCAAAATTGAGTAAAAACATATTGTTTTTAAACAAAGATATAGAAAACAAAGTAAAATATCATATAACAAAATTATTTATTCAATTTTGTAATTTCAGATTGAAAACATTTGATTCATCTATTCTTACTACCTAAAAGTTTCAAAATATGATTATATTTGTGTAATTATGCTCACCTTAAGTTCTTTACTAAAGATTTGTATTTTAAAGTATTTTAAACTTTAAAGCTTGTTAATTTCTATAGAAAGGTGAACTAAAACGTAAGATACTAGCTATAGACAACTACAAAAATCAGTAGGAGATGCATATATCATTCAAAACGTACGTAGTGCAGTCGACAGTAGGAGATGCATCAACGGGCAAGCTCGCGCCACAGTTGCTAGCAAGGGCTTGAGCCAATTCAGGCTTCACGGTGACACTATTAGCCACTGATTTGATGCATTGACAAGCCGCCTTCTTATCGGCAGATGTGGTGGTTGCCGCCGCTAAACTCTTAACTCCGTCGCAGCAAGTCTCCGGAGGGTTTCCACTTCCGCTGGTCAAATAGCTCACACATGGCTGCAAATCCTGTATCACAACACTGCAAGATATCGCGGATTCAGAATAACGAGGTATAAAGAATATTCCGAGAACGGAAATGATCGCTAGACTTTTCAATACGTTCATTGTTGTAAATTGAGAAAAAATGAAATAAAAGTCTTAGGGTATTCTTTGTGTTTGCTACATATGTAGAGTGAAGACGAAGCGTTTATATATGTGGTGAATTAGGAAATTATATTATTAAAAATTAGAGAATTATTAGATGTTGGTTTGAGTTGTGATGGAGTGAAAGTTACTTCTAATAAAAATGTAAAATTCAACATTTTGGTAAGACATTTTTGTAAAATAAATATTTTTTGGTCTAGGTAGTTAGGTTATATAGATATCTTGTTATTTTGGGTTTGTGCATATTCAACTTATAATCGTTTAGGTACAATTGGTGACTACATCTACAACACTCAAAGTCCAAAGATGACGTGTTTACTTACGTGTTGGAGCTAGGTTAGTCCAAAAAGGGGTTCACTAATCACAGCGGAGTAGTACGTAAATGTGCGTAATTGTCTAATTGCGTAGCTCAATAAAATCACAATAAAATATTTTCAGAAAAAAACAATTGAGAATATATAAATCATAGAAGGTATGGACGTGGGCTGTCTTTGGAGTGGTGTGAAAATGACCTATATAGTCCGATGAAAATACTGTAGATGATGTCTTTCAGATTTTTTATTCGAACATTAAAACTTACAATGATGTAAATACATTTTTACAAAAGAGTAATATAGTAGTTATAATATACTTTTTTTTTTTTTTGTTATGCAACTTTTTCAAAAAAAAGTTTTTAACCAAAATAAAGAGAGAAGAGGATATGAACTATATACATAGCTAAATTCTACTACGAACATACAAGTTTATTTAACAAATTTCAGATATCTTAAATAGTACCATGCTATATACTTTAAATAACAAGTGAAAAACATATTTATTATTTACGATTTTGGCACTACATATGTTGAAAACTTTAACCAAATTGAAATTTGACTATTTAGAAAATAACCCCAAATGAGAACAAGAAAGTTTTTTACAATATACCGATCAGGAAGTGCGATTTCCACTCTGACTAGATTCAGAGATTACATGCAAGGCAAGTAATTAGGAAATCAATCATCTCTAAGTTTTTTGAGAAATTGTTAAAAATGCCCCTTTTTCAATACCCCTTTTCAAAAATGCCCCCTTTGAGAGTCCATTTTTAAGTTTGCCCTCTTTTAATTTTTAATGACCATTTTACCCTTATTTGAAACAAAATTAGGTCCACAAAATACAAAAAAAAATTTGGCGGGAAAAGTGATCCCGCAATTTTCCCGCCAAAACACTTGTAAAAAACCTTTAAAATACCTTGTAAAATTTTCCCGTAAAAATTTTTCCCGCCAAAAAATTTTTTTTGCGGGAAAAGTGATTCCGCAATTTTTTTGGCGGGAAAATTTTTGGCGGGAAAAATTTACAAGGTTTTTTAAAGGTTTTACAGAGTATTTACAAGTGTTTTGTAAGGTTTTACAATGTATTTTAAAAGGTTTTACAAGATACTTATAAGGTATTTATAACTTGTAAAACCTTATAAAAAACTTGTAAAACCTTATAACTTGTAAAACCTTATAAAATTGCTTGTAAAATCTTATAATATCTTATAAATACCTTATAAATACGTTGTAAAACCTTTTAAAATACATTGTAAAACCTTATAAATACCCTGTAAAAAACCTTTAAAATACCTTGTAAATTTTTCCCGCCAAAAATTTTCCCGCCAAAAATATAACGCCAAAAAAATTGCGGAATCACTTTTCCCGCAAAAAAATTTTTTGGCGGGAAAATTTTTTGGCGGGAAAAAATTTTACGGGAAAATTTTATAAGGTATTTTAAAGGTTTTTATAAGTTTTTACAAGTGTTTTGGCGGGAAAAATTGCGGGATCACTTTTCCCGCCAAAAAATATTTTTTATTTTGTGGACCTAATTTTGTTATATTTCCTTATATATTTGTGATATATTTTATTAAAAGAAGGGTAATTTAGTCATTTTGTACATAAAAAGGGGTATTTTTAAAAATGGACAGCCAAAGGGAGCATTTTTGAAAAGGGGTATTGAAAAATGGGCATTTTTGTGAGTCTCCCAAGTTTTTTTTGTCCATGATAATAGTTTATTAGTGTTGGTTGGTAACATTAGGAAAAGGTAAAAAAAAATTTTAAAATATAAGTGTAATAGAATGACAGTATAATTATTATTAAACGAACAGAAAACTGAGAATTTTTCTTACTTCGAAAACTTGTTTTAATTAAAAGACTGGCGAAAGACAGAACTTTATTTATTATTTAAATGTTCTAATTAATTAATATTGAATCATAAATAATTCCTTATAGAGTAATTTATAAATAGCTGCAAATTAGTATCCTATATTGCAAGTTATGGATCAAAACGTCTAACAAGATAAATATAAAATATGTAAAACATAAAAACAAGTTAATATGTCTTTAGGATCACGTGAGTTATAAAAAAAAAATGTGTAAAACAAGAAATGATTGGTTGAATATAAAATAAGAACCCAACACCAGATACATTATAATTAATCCCAACTCAAAAAGCTTTAAAATCTTCACCGTTCCATTTGCTATTCCATCTTCAAACATCTCTCTCCCTCTAAACAAGAAAAAGAGTAAATATACAATGGTGAACTTTGTGGATTCACAAAAACCATTGTTGTACCGTCTCATGAAATGGGCTGGTGTCATTCCGTACACCGTAGAGATTGAACCAGGGACGAAGATGAACTTCTGGATCCCAAAAGAAACACTAAAAAAACCCAAAAAATCTGACAAAAGCTCTGCCGTGGAACCCAAAAAACCTACCAAACCAGTCCTCTTGTTCATCCACGGCTTCGCAGCTGAAGGGATCGTTACATGGCAGTTCCAGGTTGGATCCTTAGCCAAGAAGTACTCAGTCTATATTCCAGACCTCCTCTTCTTTGGTGGGTCTTACTCCGACAACCCGGATAGATCACCAGCGTTTCAAGCCCACTGTTTAGTCAAGTCTCTTCGTATCCTCGGCGTGGATAAGTTTGTCCTTGTAGGGTTTAGTTACGGTGGCATGGTGGCTTTCAAGATAGCTGAGGAGTACCCTGAGATGGTTCAAGCCATGGTGGTTTCAGGTTATTACTATATTTTGGATGTGTCAATCTTTTTTGTATATGATGGTTAAAAATTAACCCAACATATAGTAGGCTAAAACGTTTTGCGAGTTTTGGTGGGTCGGTTTGCCTAAAACCATGGTCTAGGAATTACTCTCATACCACGAGTTCAAGATCGTATTTAACACTCTGTTTTCGTCTTTCGACCTAGAAAACCTTTAGGATCACCTGAATTATCAAGAAAAAAAAAAAATACCGTACATTATTCTAAAAGTCTATTTTCTTATATTTTTACATTGTAATTTCATTCTTACAACTTACATACAATAAGAACTTCTTTCCTTATCAGGTTCGATACTCGCGATGACTGATACAATCAGTGAGTCTAATTTGAACCAGTTAGGGTTTAAATCGTCGGCCGATCTTTTGTTACCAACTTCGGTTAAAGGACTCAAGACTCTCTTTACCCTTGCTGTTCATAAACCCATGTGGTTCCCGAATAGGCTCTTCAAGGATTTCATTGAGGTATCCACCTACTCAAACTTTGCAACTGGCTCTCTATATTATAATTTTTCTTAAAATATATTTAGCAACTGTATATTACTATCCATTTGGTCAAAAATGGACACGAAATTGATCCCGGAGCTCGATAAAGAGCTTGTCATAACTAGATTACAACGAATCGAGTAATAATTATTTAATAAATATGGAATCAGACTATATAGTATAGCTGTAACATATTACTATTTACTAGTAGCTATTTTGTCGTGTTCGCTTTGTTTTACAAACTTACCTAGAATAAAAATCTAGTGACAAAAGAAAGACAAATGAGTTAAGAATAATCAATTTGGATTAGTATTGATATGTTAGGTTTCATATTTAACTTTATACCTACCTTTTATTTATTTGTGCAAAAAACTTATATTTATGAACCCCTAATCATTAGTTAGGAATCAATTTGGATTCTTATATTTGTTAAGAAAATAAATAATTGTCATATGCTATAGTAATGTAACTTTTTTTTGAAATGAAAATATATGCTATACTAATATAACTTTTTTTGCAAAATGTGAAGGTGATGATTACCAATAGGAAGGAAAGAGCAGAATTGTTGGAAGCTTTGGTCATCAGCAACAAAGATGTGACCATCCCTCGTTTTGAACAGGTCTTTATACAAGATATAAAAAAAAAAGCGTCATTCACAAGAAAACATATGTAACTGTTCGTTTAGAGTAGTAATTAAATCATTATTGACAAAATAATATTCCTCCATCGTATAAGAAATGCTATATATATATATATATATATATATATATATATATTTATACAGCTTAAATCTAAAATACACTTTAAAATTTACTACTTAACGCATCAATTGATATTATTATAACTTTTTTGTTTGGCAGAAAATACATCTTCTGTGGGGCGAAAGTGATCAAATTTTTAACATTGAATTTGCCAAGAGCATGAAAGAGTAAGTTTCAATACAGTATTTTTTTTTCAATTACATATATTTAGTCTCATTTAAAATATGTTTTAAAGGCAGCTAGGCGAAAATGCAACAATGGAGAGTATAAAAAAAGCAGGTCACTTGGCACATTTGGAGAGACCTTGTGTCTATAACAGACGTCTCAAAAAGTTTCTTGCTTCAGTTTACTCCGAAAACTAAATTCCATGTAATTGAATTTAGATTAAATAATACATAAATGATTCTCACTTCAACGCCGATGACTTTATTTATCTTATTTCTTTGGTTGTAATTCTTCTGTCAAAAATAATGTAACCTGATATATTTCCTAAAATAATGTATGTTTCATTGAAATAATATAGTTTTCTCGATGATTTTCAATTTTATGTCAGTAGTATTTCTATAAATCAGAGAATGAGGCTCTTCTAGTTATAGGGCCTAATCTCAATACGGCCCAGTTAGCAATGTGTCAATGGGTCAGGAGACATATTGAAGGAATTCACTAAAATTTATTTTTGTTTCTTCTCTTTCTTTTTGCCATAATCAGGATAGATTATTAAATCTGAACATTTGCCCTGTTTCCACCTACATACTAGTGTATATGATATTTTAAGAAGTGAATGCTTTTATTAGTAGCAGAGTCTGGGCAAAAATAGGAAAGATTATTTAGAGAGTTTACCAAACAAACTATAAGTATAGTTTGTAATGCAATTGGAGCTTATTGGCAGAAACGCAACAGAACTCTTTAATTCTTATCGGCTGTAAAATATAATAGGTCTGATTGGTAACTTCATATCGCTGCGGTACTAAGCTTATGGCTTTATATAATTACTTTTCTTTTATGTCTAGTTATCGTTAGGTGTCTATAGGGGTGTCAAAATGGTTTAAAATTGATGGATCAATCCAAACCAATCTAACTCATGGATCTAATGAGTTGAAAATTTGGATATTAATGGATTAATGGATTAAATGGTTTAATGAGTTTAATGAGTTGGATTGAAATGGTTTGGTTTAAAATGGATTAATGGGTTATCCATAACCAAACCAATAAAAATTAAATAATTGAAATCAAATATGTAAACCAAATATAACCGAATTGAATAACTAAACCGATTTTAGTAAACTTTTTTTGTGATCAATTTATGAACCAATGATCATAGTTACAAGTATGATGATGATGATGATGACGATGACGATGACGACGACGACGATGATGATGACGACGATGACGACGACGACGATGACGACGATGATGACGACGAGTTTGTTTTTAAAGTTTTTATTTATTTATCATTTTAGGTATGAATGTATATTTTAACTTCACATATGAATATAAAAAATGTTTGACTCTTTCATTCCTAAACTCTCATCAATTTATTAATTTCAGAAACCAAACACACAAAAAGTTTTAATTATGTTTTCTTCATTCTTTTCTACATTCATTTATTATTAGAAATGTATTAGATGTAAATAGTACTTTTATTGTATTTCTCTATTTTTAGGGTGAGTTTATTGTTTCACTGGCTTTTTGAATAAACATGATTACTTTACTGATTTACCTGCTTTCGTCCTACTACTACAAATAATTAGTGTGTTATCAACCATTGTAAAAGCAATTAAGACTCGGTCAAAAGAGTGCAAGACAAAAGGCTGGGGAACTGCCACGTGCATGCCCAATTCATTTCACGAAATTTACCCATACAAACATTTTTACTGTATCTCATATATATATTTTAGATTGAATTTGTGCAGAGGTAAAAATGAGAACACAAATTAGTGCAGAGGTATTATCAGAAGTTGTCGGCGAGGAGGTATTATCAAAAGCTATAAAAGGGTCTCCTTTACAAGTTATTTACAAAATAACCAGGAATCATAAAACGTATGCGCGTGGGTTTGGCTTCTGACACAAAAGTACAATTGAACTGACACATATTAAATGCTTGTCAAATACCTGATCCTTACGCACCCCATATGCGCATGTCCAACATAAGAGCTGCTTAGACATACATCTTTTAATATAGACGTCTACATATTTAACAACCAGAGTAAAACTCATTAAATATGTAGTTGTACATAACTAGATATACATGTATTTATAAATGTAGCTATCTATAGCTAATGAATGAACATGTATATCGGGGGAAAAGTTAAAACGTAGAGCCATAAAAGTTTAGAAGGTATAACCAACAGATTGAAACAAAAATACAGATACTACTAGTTCAGAAGATGAAAGACTGGTAGAACAATGGTTCAAAATAAAGAAGGAGGATAGAGGAATAATCCAAAAGAAAACATAGGTAGATTGTAATAAAATACACAACCCTCGTTGGGTTTCTAATGAAAGACAACGGGTGCAGCGGAGAGTTGTCCCTCGAATCATTGACCCCAACCTCTAATACCACCAACAAACATCTGACGGCTGAACTTGACACCTTCTTCAAGGCGCTTTAACAATACGTGAACACTGGGGTCACTTACCTCATCAACCCAACCGCAATCTTCCACCCCGGTGACAACATCAGCCGAAGGTATGATAGACAGAACATCGACCTATAACAGTAGTTAATAGACGTTAAAAAGGGATGTAACCGTATATCTAAACAAATGACGCATGACAAAACTGAATGGATATTTATATAAACACGTAGAGGTCTAATATACCTGATCTTCTCCATCCAATTCCCACACTTTATCTAATTTCAAAGAAATTACAGGGAACATTTCTTCATCGTCGGATTCCGGTTCGGTTCTATCACAACCTACTGAAAGAACGGCCGGAATAGCCTCCACAAATACAAGGACCAAAGCGTGTATAAAACCTTGGATGGCAACAGAGGCCTGAGCCAATTGAAGTAAAGATCTAGACTTAATGCATTGCATCGTCATATCAAAACTGTACCGACCCCAGGGATATTTCAAAAACACATCCAAATCCCGAATCATCTCAACATGCTCCCTCGGAATCATCATGTGGAACGAGTGCCGACCAAGAAATCCATCTACCAGCAACAAGCATGCATACTTAACCCGCAATTCGCTGGTTAAAGCCTTAGATTTCTGCAGCTTCGACAACAACATCTCGCCGGTGAAATAATTTTCCCCACCGAAAAGGGTAAACCAGTAAGGCGTCACACCGGGAGGTGGCCTAATCAGAGACCTTTCGAGAGGAGGAAGAGGGTTGCAGTTAAGACCAGTAACTAGACCAAATTCCCGTAACGAGAATCTGATCGGTTTTCCGGCGAATACAAACCATATTTCATGGCGTTTGACCACACTCAACTGGCGGGTTAATAGAAAGTGGGCCAACTTTCCGGAGAACACCGGATTTGAGTAAAGATCCAAGATTTTCCCAAAGCAAGGTCGAATGGTTTCGATCTCCTTGGGGGTCAGGGCCTTTAGAACGGCTTTGATGGTATTAAGCATAAAGTACATGTTAACTCGATCACCGGCAGGTTCTTCTCTGTCTGCAAAAAACCTAGAAGGAAGATCAATATCTGCCATTTTCCTGCAAAACAGAGGAGCCAAATTATTAGAAATATAGATCAATAAACGGAAGATGATGACATGCAATTTATGTATGAAGCTCCAAATAAAATTATGGATGTCTAACAGTGGATCTACGTCAAAGAGGTGAAGATACATGCAGATCTAAGGATGTGTATAAGGAAATTTGAGGACGAATCTAAGGAAGGTCACTATCTGCCATTCTCCTGCAACATGTAAGTGCTAATTAGGTTTAAAATATAGATCTACAAAGGATGACGATGACATGCACAACATGTTGTAGAGCTTTATTTAACAATATGGGTATCTATTAGTGGATCTAAGCGAGTTATGTGAAGATACAAACAGATCTGAGGATTAGTATAAAAAAAAAGTGAAGATTAATGCTTAGGAAAAAAGGAATCGAAATCTTAATGGCGGAATGGAAATAATTATTTCGCCGGAATCGGGTCCTCTCTGGCTTACCGACTGTGATCTAGTCTCGCTTCAGGTAACCGGCGAACTTGTGAAATGTCTTGGTACAGATTATCAATCTGGCCAGAGCAAACTCCGGTGTCAGAGAGGAAGAAGCCGAGAGGGCTTAGGGTTTTCAGAGAGAGAGAAAGGCGGGATGAGAAAAATGGAAGAAAGAAACCTCAAACGTCAACTGCTACAAGGACGTTTTAGTATCTCGAGAGGACTTAATAAAGAGAAATCTTTTTCTCTTGTTCAATGTATCGAATTATAAAATGGGATGCTTGGCTATCGCGCGTGAGGGTATAAACGGCAGAAACATGGGCTGAAATTTTCTTTGTCTTGGACCGACGAGCATAATGTCGAAAATTTAATTAGGCCTGGATTCTATACTTCTCACCCAATTATCTCTATATTTTAAGCAGATTATGATATAACAACACAATAGTATACAATTATTCTAATTACTCGGCATGTTTAAGAAAAGTAAAGGTTGGAGAAATATTTTAACACATTAGCAATTTAAATCATATAGAAAATATTCTGCTGCTAGAGTATCCAGATGCATTACTCCTAGTCATGTATATATTTTATTTATGTATTTTACGTCAATTTCTGTTTTGTTAGTGTCAAATTTATAAAATTTTGATGAATAATATGTCAAATCGAAATTTTCACCACGAAGAATTCAGTTTTACCTTTAGAATTTTAAAAATCTAATATACGTGACTGTGAAAACGTTTACAAAATACATATAAAGATTATATTACATATTATTTTTGACTTTAATCTGTATTTTTTGAGATGAAGGGCAAAATTATAAAAATTGGCGCGTTGGAAGTTTATTTTTGCACAAAATCCTTTTTAAAATCTATCGAATCTCTTTTTTGATATAACGTTTATTGTTGCAATATATTGCTATATTTTGAAAGGAAAATTGCTTCTATAAGATGAGCTATAATTAGACAAATAATATTTTATTTATTTTTGTATGAAACAATTTGAACAAAATACTTTTAATCTTTAAAAAAAAAGAGGGAGAGAACACATTCCTATTATTTTCTTCAAATTTTGTTCTCTTCTTCACTATTTGATTTTTTTAAAAGCATAAATTACTCGGACCGAATCATCTATACTATTAATTGGGAAGCACTCAAACATAAATAACCTTATAAAGTGTAAAGTATTACAAAAATGCCATTGTTTTTTGTTTTTAAATAATATATTTAAATAAAAAATAGTAAAATTCTTTAAAGTAATTATTAGTTTCCAAAAAATTAAACTCACTTTCTCTCTCATATTAATTATGGACGAAAATTTAAAAATATTTTCTAAAAATTTGTTAACCAATGAGAATCGAAAAAATAAGATTTGATATCCAACTAAAATTTTATCTAAACCAATCCTAATAAACTATTCTATATCAAAAATAAAAAGAAAAATAATACCATTGTAATTCAAAATAAAAAACACTATCGTTTAAAAAGTTTTATCAATTGAGGATTTTAATATTGAATTTGAAATTTTATAAAAGAATTAAATACAAATATTTATGACTCAGTTTTGTTATAATATTTTCACAAATTTTGAAATATAAAACAAAATTTTATTTCACAATTTCTAAAAAAACGATATTAGATATTAACAAATATTTATATTTACTATGAAATAAACTCAAATAATGATATGTAATTATCGTTATGGCCTTCGTTTAGAGAAAGTTTCGGAAATATCTAAACAAAAGATTGTACATATTAATTTCGAAATATATTGTGTTTTTTTTTTCTCAACCGGATCTTCTTTAAACAAATCCATAATATATTGCACACAGTTTTTGAAATAATGTGAACTAATTATATATATTTTGCATTCAAAACAAATTATGCAGCAATAGCATATCCCTTTTATACATGTATCTCAAATTTTAATTTTAGTCCCAAAAATCGAATTAATTATGATTAAACAATGAAAAGAAAAATATGCAAAATTTAGCTAGAAACATTAATAAATTTGTTTAAATATATTTATAACTTTAACAGTATACATATTAATCCGCAAAACTCACAATATATATTGTAATATTGTATGGTACTTAAAAGTAAGCAAACAAGAATTTGGAATATGATTTTAATGGAATAAAATGGAAATAGAAATTACGAGACGAGATGGGAGGGGAACATATATTAAAAATCAAACTAAATACCCAACTGGCATGAGTTCGGGTTATGAGCACTATATAAAATAAATTTGTTTACACACGTAACACTGTACATACGTTTTCAGTTACACATACTATATTTATGACAGATATGGGACCATAATATTTTTATTTTACGTATACGTGACAGATTATGGGACAAAGAATTTATGACAGATACCGGACGGGATATTTTCATGTTCAAAATAGTTACTCCTAGCTAATATACATGAAATAACCCAAACTAAAACCGAATTCATATCCTATTTAACATATGTAATCAAACTGTTAGAACTATTTTAATTAGTTAAGAAAATAAAAATGTAACACAACTTAACTTGTGCAACTAAATTAGTCCGGATCTTAAAATATAATTATGTATTAACGCAACTGAATTTTGTTCATTACTCTAACTTTATAATATTTATACTATTACGAAGTTCACTAACACAACAAATATTTTATATTTTTAAAATCTCTATAAAATTTTCTATAAAAATATCTCTACACGTATGTGGATCCAGATCTAATACACTAAATATATATATCATAAAAAGTTAAAAACAACAAAATAATCTATACTGAATTAAAATTTGTTAGAAATTTTTTAAAATATGAAACCCCGCACGTATGTGCGGGTCATGATCTAGTAAAATGTTACTATAGAAAACATAATGTAATATATTATATCAATAAAAAAAGTTTTGTGCAAAAAAAACTTATAACTCGCTAATTTTTGCAACTTTATCCTCCACATCCAAAAAATGCAAATTAAATATACGAAATCAAAAATAATACGCAATGTAACCCTTTTTCGCTACCATCAAGTTTGTAACATTTTGATGAATAATATGTTAAATTGAAACCTCTGCGACGAAGAGTTCAACTCTACCTTTAGAATTTTAAAAATCTAATGCATGTGACCGTAAAAACGTTTACAACATACTTATAAGGGTTATATTGTGTATTATTATGACTTCGTATGATTAATCTGCATTTTTGGAAAATGAAAAGTAAAGTTGCAAAAACTGGCGAGTTAGAGGTTTTTTTGCACAAAACCTCAAAAAAAAAATATTCTACTAATTTTAAAATATATATTATCATTACACACATATATATATATATATATATATAATTATATTCAATACATATTAGTAATATAATTATATTTGTTATAATGAAGTCTAAAGTGTCATAGGCTTTCCTTTATAATGCTCTGTTTTCAATTTATTAAGATTCTGTCTCTTGTTTTAAATCCTCTGTACATCAATTCCCTCTTATAAATAAATGTCACAATAAAAAAAAAAATTCTAAGTTTTATTTATTTTTCATAGAATATTATGAATAATTACTAAAAGGATATATATTGATATCCTATACTAATATTTGGGAAGTACATCCTAAGAGTCATAACTTAGATTTTGTAAGAAATTACAATATATGCCATTAGAGATCTCTAATTATAATCATTTTATTCCATTTCACTAATATATATTAACGGGTTAACGGGTCAAACGGGTTTAAAGATATTAAAAGATTTTGTTTATATAATACATAATTAATATAATTCGAGATGTTATATACTAATCAATTCGAAAATGTAACACAATTAGTAAAAATCCTATACTAATATACTAATATATTATTCGGAAATGTTATTGAAAATGTTATTCAAAATATTATATAGTAATCCATTATTCGAACATGTTATAAAAAAATGTTATTGAAAATGTTAATGAAAATGATATATCATTGAAAATATTTTATATCAATCCAATTTATAAAAAATGCTATTTTGAATTATAATACTCATATAGTTCGAAAATGTTATTCAAAATGTTATATCCTATACTATTATTTGGGAGGTAAATCCTATAAGTCGTGACGTTAATTTTGTAAGAAATTATAATATATGCCATTAGAGATCTCTAATCATAATCATTTTAATTCCATGTCACTAACATTAACAAATTAATTAAAAAACGGGTCAAATAACGAAAAACGGGTTTAAAGATCTTAAAGATATTAGGTTGTTATATTTTGTTTAGATATAAATTCGTATTCAATCAATTCGTAATCTTTGAGAATATATTCAGTTTCCCTAAAATCTTTGAGAATATATTTAGTTTCCTTAAAACCCTTTATAAAAAAAAATAAGTTATAATAGTTGTTATATTCTAGATCGTTTTTTTGTTTAGTTTTACGTTTTTTGTTTAGCTTAATCACGCATCAATATAATTAGCTATTCAGTTTCCTTAAAATCTTTTCTAAAGATTGTCAAATCTCTCTGTTATATAATTTTGATCCTATATTCCAAATAATCTAGAATATACCTTTCTAAAATATTATCTAACTATTTTATGCTAATTAATATATTTCTGAATCTCCTAATTATCACAAACAATCTACAACTATAAAATATCTATTTAGGTTTGACGTACCTTTCTCACATAAATCATCTCAGCACCATTCTCATATCCTACAATTAAAAATACAGCAGAAATGGCTATCGTTAGTCGCTACACTCCTATTTATAACTTGAAGCCTTTCAAGATTTTTTGGTGTATTCAAGTTAGTATACTTCATTCGTGGATTCATTTTACAAAAAGTTCTGGCATGTCTTTGGAAATGATTTTGACAGATGAGGCTGTAAGTACCATTGAAATTTTATACACTTCTCTTTGTAATATATGTGCCGTAAGTTTTAAGTCATCTTATTTTAATTACAGGGTAACAAAATTCAAGTAGACATCAAAAAAGAACACATCAGCAAATTCCAAAGGTATGTTAAACCGTTTTTTTCGTTTTTTTTAAACCATGAAACTGGGCCCCACAAACCCAATATAATCCATTAAAAAACTTAGACCCAATACAACTATTTTTTTGTTTCTTCACAATCACACAATAAAATTATCAATACCTAATTTTTTTTTGGTAAGAGAAATTATCAATACCTAATTGAACCAAAAAAATTGTTAATCTCATATAAAAAATACAAATCTAATGCTGCTAAATATATTAAATTCTAAAATACAATATTCTCTCATTCTTTAGTCAAATAAAATATATAACATTATATCCAAATAGTAATAAATATTAAATATATTCCCTTTTATATTATACTATTATACTATATTATTTCTTATTTCTTTGAACAAAATATACAATTTAATTCATGAAAAATATTAAATCCCGTGCTGTATAGCACGGGTTATGATCTAGTTATATAAAAAGTACAATAATAGAATGATATACTAGCTTTTAAGATGATAGTTATTCTAAAATTTTGAATATTATTTTCTTCTTGTCTCCTAAACTTCTGAATATTATTTTCTAAAAAGGCATTGTTCGAAATTAAGAATCTCAAAATATTGGTAATTCTTTTTCGTCACGAAATATTAGCTAGTATTGACTATTGATTATTGTAAAAAAAAAAATCGAGTTAGATTTCCCCGAACGTGTGGCCGCGAGGAACAGCAGATGGGATGAGACATGTCGCACATGAGCAATTCAATAGTTACATGTATCTAGACTGACCATTCAATTTAAATATAGTTGTTCAACTAAACAAATTATAATAATCCTTTAGACTTTTATGTCATCAACGAATCATAATCATTATCCAGCAATACAATCTTTTTTGTTCTTCTATCATGGTCTAGTGATCTTTTGGCTCCATTTTGGAGAAATCAACCATAATTAAAAGTATATATATCTTGGTTTAAACATTTATATTTAGTTTTATATGTCATGTAGAACATCATTCGTCCACTTTCTTTCTTTTTGTTTTTGTTTTTATATTTATTTAGCCTCTCTCACTTTTAGAGAGATTCGTCACCTCCTCCTCCAAGTCTTTTCTTTTCTATGTCTCTCACTATAGTAAAGTTTTCAGAACCCTAGGGGTTGCATTCTGAAACACAAATCCGGCCAAAACAATGTCGTTTGGTCCGTTTTATATTTATTGTATATGTTTCGTAACTTTAAACATGCATTTAAGTGTTTTTAAAAGAGTTCAAAAAATGCTATTTTGCCTTAACGCTGGATTTTTAAGGGTTGGAATTAGATGCATACATACATCATACATGATTTTTATAGAGTAATATTTTCTCCAACTCTACTCTATTTTTCTCTAAACTTTATTATGGAGTAACATTTTCTCTAACACTACTCTATATGTTACTCTAAAATAGAGTAAATGATACGATTGCTCTATATATAAAGTAACTCTATTTTTTTTACACTAACTATATTTTAGAATAAGATATAAATTAAAGTGATACATTAGAGAGAAACTATGCTCTATTTTAAAATAAAAATAAAAATTTACATTGGAGATGATCTTACTATTTTTTGTTTGGTACCCGTGACGTGATTATTTTTACGAATCAATATTTTTTTTATTATATTAGTTTCCAAGTTATAATTACAAAAAAAAAACAGAATATCAAACAGATATTGGCTTCACTTTGTAAATATTAGTATTAAAAATATGATTTTAAATGGAAACCGAGAAATTTGGCTAAATGCTGAATTTCGCTGAATTTTTAGTGATATTTGGCTAAATCTAGCTGAATTTTTACATATCTAAATGGTAACCGAAGAATGTGGCTGATTTTTTTTGCGATTTTGGCAGAATCTAACAAAATAATTAAAAGTTTAACTAAAAATCAAATAATAATAAAATAATTAATATAATATCTAAATAAAATAAATTAAATTCTCAAATTAACTATTATACTAATAAAGAAATACTAAATTTATTCAAAATCAATACTAATATAAATAATATATTGGTTAGCAAAATTGAGTTATTCATCCATATTTTGTTTTTGAACTATTAAAAATATGTAAATAATTAATGAAAAGCTTTGTCAAAGCATTATTGAAAAATATATTTCAAAACTTTACATGACAATATAATATAGGATTATCTAATTACTTTTTTTCTATTGCTCTCTAGTAGTCTAATAGAAAAAATCAAAATTAGATAAGGAATCAAAGCATATATTACAAATATCTTGACCAACTCGAATTTTGGTTATATAAATGCATATAAGGCATGCAATCTCTTAATTTTAATTATAAACAACATGTTAATGCACTATATGTTAAGCACTGATCATATCAAACCTACTTACATTGCTTATTTTACGCTAAGCCTCTCTAATCTTATCAACTATAGTAACTGTTTAGCTAGGAGACATTCGAGTTAATTACACAAGATAATCTATCACACTATTCAACATTAAAAACCAAATAAATAAAAGAGAGAATTCTCTGAGTATTGCGACCAATGTGCGGACACTGTATGATAGAGAAACAACGTGGCACTGTCTGCTACAAGTCCACATCTTACTTTCTCTCTCCATCTCCTGTTTCTTAGTGGACTGTGTTATTATTATTGGCACAGACCAAACCCACTTGGCTCCTTCATTAGATTTTTTTTCTCTCTTGGAAATTGATGGGCAATAGGAAACACAATTCTCTCTTTCTCTCTCTAGAAGGACCAATAGTGTCTTCTCTCTCCTCTTTTATCTTTCTCCATTAGTAAAGACCTAAACTTTATCTTCTTTTCTTGCTGGGTTTAATCTCTTCTTAAATGGGTCTAAATCAGTTTTTTCCTTTAATTTAATTGCTTGTAGACTTGAGATTAGTCTAGTAGGTTTTGGTGGGCTATCACTAATACAAAGTCAAAGTCAAATTTTTTAAAAGGTTTGAACTTAGGTAGAGATATTTATCATCTTCATTTTCTCCATAGGTTTATGAGAAGCTAAAGCTATGATGATTTCTTTAATCAAAATAGCTTAGGGTTTTTAAATCTTTGTTTAAGAGAAAAGTTATAAAAAATATTAGGGTTTTTGTTTCTTCAGAAGCTTCAAGATCAGAAAAGATGGAAGTTAGAGAGAAGAAAGATGAGAAAATGGAGATGACAAGAAGACAATCATCAGCTTTAGATCATCATCGTCTTCCTCCGTACACTTACCCTCAAACCGCCGACAAAGAGAAACCCACCACCAAAAGAAACGGGTCGGAACCGGATCCGGATCCGGATCTTGATACCAACCCAATTTCTATAGCTCCTGCTCCAAGATCATACGTTACGCCTCAAACTACTTCTCCGGGGAAGGCAAGGTATAGAGAATGCCAAAAGAACCACGCGGCGAGCTCTGGTGGACACGTGGTAGACGGTTGCGGCGAGTTTATGTCTTCCGGTGAAGAAGGCACGGCGGAGTCTCTTCGTTGTGCAGCTTGTGATTGTCATCGGAGTTTCCATAGGAAAGAGATCGACGGTTTGTTTGTTGTCAATTTCAATAGCTTTGGCCATTCTCAGAGGCCGCTCGTTAGCCGCCACGTTTCTCCGATAATGATGAGTTTTGGTGGTGGTGGTGGTGCGGCGGAGTCATCAACGGAGGATCTAAACAAGTTTCATCAATCTTTTAGTGGTAATGGAGTGAATCAGTTTCATCAGTATCAACCCAAGAAACGGTTTAGGACAAAGTTTAATGAAGAACAGAAAGAGAAGATGATGGAGTTCGCTGAGAAGATTGGTTGGAGAATGACTAAACAAGAAGACGATGAAGTGAATCGGTTTTGTCGTGAGATTAATGTGAAAAGACAAGTGTTTAAAGTTTGGATGCACAACAATAAACAAGCATCAAAGAAGAAGGATTTGTAAGAGATTTTCTATATATACTAATTTTACTTCTCTTTGTTCAACATTCCTCAACTTAATAGACTTTCTGTTTACATTGTTGTATAACAAATTGGTTTTAGAGCTCAGCATAACGGTCTCTTATTTCTCCAGCAACTTGAGAAGCCTTTTTCTTTGCGGTTTCATAAGCGTATTTTGTGGATTCTTTGGCTGCACCGTACTTTTCGCCGACTTTTTCCATAGCTTCTTCGAATCCTCTAGCTGCTCCATCTTTGGCTTTGTGTGATTTTTCTTTCATATAGTCAACAGATTCATCCATTGCTTCTGTTGCTTTGTCTTTACCATACTCCATTGCACGTCCAGCTTTATCAGCTGCCATGTCTTTGGCACTCTTTGACTTCTCTTTAGCTCCTTCATAGGCTTCACCACTCTTGTCTGTAGCCATCCTGATCACATCACCTGTTTTTTCATATCCATAACCCGCCTTGTCATATGCGAAGTCTTTTGCATCTTGCGCTTTTTCGTAAGCTATGTCTTTCGCATTGCCAGCCTTCTTGTAGGCGAAGTCTTTGGCCTCACCAGCTTTCTCATAACCAGAATCCTTCGCCTTCTGCGCACTGCCATAAGCAGATCCCACCTTCTCATATGCCATGTCCTTGGCATTGCCTACCTTATCATAGGCCATGTCCTTTGCAATGCCAGCCTTCTCATAAGCCACATCCTTGGCATTGCCTGCTTTCTCGTAGGCCATGTCCTTTACATTGCCTGCCTTTTCATAGGCAATGTCCTTAGCATTACCGACCTTATCATAGCCGGAGTCCATCAATTTCTGCGCACTTCCATAAGCATCTCCTGCTTTTTCGTGGGCTATGTCCTTAGCATTCTCAGCTTTTTCATGGGCCATGTCTTTTGCTATGCCTGCCTTCTCATATGCCATGTCCTTTGCATAGCCCGCCTTCTCATAGGCCATGTCCTTTGCATCACCGGCCTTTTCATAACCAGAGTCCATCATACTCTGCGCACTTCCGTAAGCAGCTCCTACCTTATCATATGTGAAATCCTTTACATTTTCCGCCTTCTCGTAGGCCATGTCCTTCGCATTTCCCACCTTCTCATAGGCCATATCCTTTGCATTGCCCGCCTTGTCATAGGCAAAATCTTTCGCGTAGCCTCCCTTATCATAGGCAAAATCCTTTGCATATCCTGCTTTCTCATAGGCCATGTCCTTTGCATTGCCTGCCTTATCATAGGCGAAATCCTTAGCGTAGCCCGCTTTTTCGTAGGCCATGTCCTTTGCATCACTAGCCTTATCATAAGCGAAATCCTTCGCATAGCCCGCATTTTCGTAGGCAATGTTCTTTGCATCACCAGCCTTGTCATAAGCAAAATCCTTTGCGTATTGTGCCTTGTTCTCAGCAAAATCCTTGGCATAACCTGCATTGTCATAAGCAGAGTCCTTGACGTATTGCGCCTTGTCATAAGCATAGTTTTCGGCGGCTCGGGCCGCTTTTCTTGCTTCCTCTTTAGTTTTTTGATAAATTCCTGTTTCCTCTTTCTTGGTACCAAATCCACTGGAAAAAGAAGTAAAACGTTACCTCTCAAGTCTCAATCACTCACTTAATTACGGCCAATGTAGTCAACGAATCTAAAGATTCCAATAAAAAAAACGCAACGAGACATTACCAATCTCACTAAACACGTACTTATGACAAAAAAATGAGAGAAATTATAGACTGAATTGAATCAATGTTATGGTTACGTAAACGAAGAATTCGACCAGAAGTGTGTTTCAGTTTCAGATATTACTTACGTGGTGATTTTGTCGGAGACCCAACCAGCCCATGAACCGGTCTTTTCCTTCGCCGTCGACTCTGCCCATTTCCCCAAAACACCTTCTTGCCACGTCAACACCACCACTACAACTAACAAAACCAATGTCGTTCTTCTCTCAATCATCTCTTTAACCAGTGATTACGAATCAAACTTCTTTGAATTTGTTATGACCAATTCTTTATTTGTCCCTTTTAAAAATGTTTTGATTCTTAGTTCCAATGTCCTCGGAAGTTATAGTTATAGAGAGAGACGTTCGAATCCAAAGACCAGAGGTCTTTCCGAGAAGCGGTTACTGTTCGCCACGTGTTTTCACGAGGTTACGTGGCGACCAAGGATGCGGTTTTGTTGTGAAGCTTTCTCTGAGTACTCGCCACGTGTCCTATTATACGGCTGGCCGTGTTCCCCTCGGAGACCACACTTTGAAAAGAATAGAGAGGTCACATGTGTCTGAAGCGGTTTACATAATCGGGCTGGTCAAAACTAAGATTAAAATTGGACCAAATTCCAGATAACCGTAATTGAACCGGTTTCTCAAACAATGTCACAATTTCAGTTTTATAGAATCCAAACTACGGTGATTCGGTGATACAAAAAATCTACGCAAACGATTGGCCACCTTCAGTCGCAAGTCTGATTCTCTGGTGATGTTCTTCGATTTTATAATCCACAATTTCTTCAAAAAGCTGGGAATCCAAGACACAATCCGGTCGTCCGTAAACCGCAGCTTGAACACCGGCGACAAGCTTAGCGATTTCACGACCAGAGAAGCCTTCTGTCTTTTTTGCAGCTTCTTTGATCACTTCGTCGGTTAGGTCTCCTTCAATGGTTATCTTCTGAGACTTCTTCTTCTTGAACGAGTTGATCCATTTAAGGTTTGAGTCTTTCTCACCTTTCTTGTCTTCACCCATTAGGTACTTGTTGAGATAGAGCTTGAGGAGCTTGAAGCGTTCTTCTTCACCAGGGAGAGGAAACTCGATTACTTCGTCGATCCTGTCAGTGACTGCACTGTCGAGATCTCCGGGTCTGTTTGTAGCCAGGACAAGAACTATGTCCCGTGATTGATCACCGGTTCGAAAGAGCAATGCGTTCAGAGCGCTGCGCTGAGCCTCACTCATGTAAGTGCTGTTACGTCTGCAATAAAAGATCAAGAATTTGATAACTATTAAGAAAAGAGAACTCTGGAGATACATTAGAAGTAACAATGAGCTTTGGTAAGGGAGAAAATCCATGAACAATCCACTGATCCTACTCCGACTATACTACATTGTGGAATTGTGTTGGTAAAAATTTGCAATCAGAATAGTTGTTCAACTATATTCTATATTATAGAGTTCTAGTAGATGAGAATCAGTAATATATCAAAAGGCTCGAGGAAAAAGGTGAAAGCATCTTACTCGCATAGGAAAGCATCAGCTTCATCGATGAAAAGCAGTAACCCTTTGTTTGATTTCTTAGCCCAATCAAATATTTCATGGATCTTTGTAACAGCCTGTGCACCAAGAGGAGCAACATCTCCTCCTGTCATCATAGCATAATCAAGACCCTGCAGCACGAAAAAATCAAACAGATGTAAATAAGTGAGGCATGTAATGGGTCAATCTCTTGTAGATTCATGAACTTGGCTCAGGATCTCAGTTGCATAAAGAAAACGAACTCACCGACTTCCGAGCAATCTCCCTCGCCACCAAAGTTTTTCCAGTACCAGGAGGCCCATAAAACATCATGTTTCGGAATGGTGCTTTATGAGACTTGGTATTTGCTGTGGCTCTAGCAAGACGCTCAATTCTCGTCTTCAAAGAACGATGAAGAATTACATTTTCAAGGGGCTTTTCTCCTTCTGCAGATGCTGCTGCCCCTGCAGCTGTGCTAAGTTTGTTCTTAAACTGAGACACTGAGCCTGCCCATGGGAATCTACCCATGGACGATTCTCTGATCAGTGATGGCTGCCCAAGAATTCTGTTAATATAACCCCAGGTAACCCTAGCACCCTCTCTGTTGTCAAAAAGAGAACGATTGGGCTTCTTAAATCACAGCTATATAGGTTTTCAAAATGAGATATAAATTGCATAGTTACGCAATGCATACCGAGTTGTGTACACCCCAGCAGCTAATGCCGTAACTCCTCCAACAGTCATAATCAATTTACTTCGATCAGTTAATAAGGTCCTTACTCCTCCTGCCAAGTTCATATAGAGAAAATGAATATGAAGCCACACTTTTCAAAATATCAGAAGCATATAACTTCCTGGAGAAGAGAATTATAATCGGCCAAGTGATTGTCTTCTAAAAAGTTCCTCGAAAAAAGTCGATAAATTTCAGAACAATCTAGGGAACCAAAAATATAGAACAAACTAGAAAAACGAGAGAATCTAAGCATAACATGATGTGTATATCTCAGGAACGATGCTTATTAGTTTCATACCTTCAATATGACTGAAGGTTGTGTTGATTGCTGCAAGCCATTTCTCCTTTTCACCATTTATCTTATCCAGAAGCATTCTTCTATTCTGCTCCTCAGTAAGTTTAGCTTCATGAGCTCGTCCTTCAGCCTCAGCCATGGCTTTGACGCGAATTGTTTCTCGCTCAAGTTCAGCTCTCTCTTTCTCAGTCTGGCGCTGCTGTGCTTGAATCTGTTGTTCCGTGGCAATTCTTGCTTTCTCTTTCCGTATAGAAGACTCCTCTTGCATCGAAACCAATTCAGCATTATGCCGTCTCTGAGCTTCATTATCTGTCTGCAAAATTTCCAAGTCAAAGACTTCTTATCAGTAAAGAACCATCACAAGAGGAATCCTTAAACTGTTAAACATAGGTTCACAGTTTCTTTCTAAAAAAGTACCTGCAGTCGCTTCCTAGCCAACTCATCCTCATATCGAAGCATTTGCGCTTTCGCTTGTGCCTGTTGCTGCACTAAATTTCTCTGATCCTCGGCCAATTTCCGCTGTCGTTCCTGCACATTCAAATCCCCACAACACAATCATCATTGTAACTTGAAAGATTATGCAAAAATCAGCTAAAACCTCCATGCTCAAATTTTCAATAGAAAACATAAGGAAGAGCAAGTTACTCACAATGTCTTTCTGTGCTTGAATAGCTTCATTATGTTCTTTCTCAGCAGCTAATTCAGCTAATCGAGTCTTCTCCTGCTTTCGCATTAGATCAAACACCTGGTGAACACAAGAACATGTAAGCAACGTCTCAAACACACAACAATCAACGACTATAGAGCTTGTTGATTTCTTCGTAAGAGAATTCAATAATCACCTGTTTGGAGTGAGGAGAGCTGTTGATTTCACGAAGAGCTTTAGCACCTCTTTCCAAGGACTCAGGATCGAAACCAGATCCTTTAGGTTCATCGGAGTCAGGTTTAGTCTCCGATGAAGACTTATGATCGGTTGGAGATTCTTCTGCCGGAGGTGAAGAAGAGAAGAAAGGAAAGCGGAATCGCGAGTCAGCGTAAGCGCGGTTTTGTGACATCGACATTGAAGTAAACGCAGCAGCTATCGCCGCCGCCGAACATAATCTAGAAGCAGCCATTGAAATGCGACTAAAAGCAGCTTCACAAACTCAAGCAAGAAACAGAAGTCCTTTTACAATTCAAACATTTCGGAATGAGAAAATGGTGCTCTCAGGGATTATGGAAATGGTTGTGGATAGTCGTCGGAAAAGTTTCTCCGGCAGGCACGAGCATAAACCCCACGGTGGCTAGGTTATGACTTGTTTAGCTATGACATCGATTGTTTGGAGAGTACTCGAATCCAGAGATGGGCCAAAATTTTAAATATGGGCCCATGTTTAAGGCCAATTTTGCACCTTAGGTCCTTTGATAGATATAATTGAAACTTTGAACGTTTTTTTTTTTTTTTTTTTTTTTTGAAAAAAATATAATTTATAAAAGGTTGAAATTATTATTTCATTGATCCAAAATTTAATTAAAAATTTTTTTCATTTAAACGCGGGAATATAAATTGTGTTTAATGATATTGTTAGTACTATTTTTCGTTTGAGCATATTTTTATTTTTGTCCATAACTTTATTTATTTATGAAATATAGAAATCTAAATTTATTTGTAGGATTTTAGTTATTTTTCAACAACTGAAATTTTTTTAAAAGAAATGTGAATGCATGAAAAAAAAAAGTTTAATAGTTTGTTTGCTTCACATGATCGAAATTCGAACTGCATTCCATGTAAAAGTTCCCGCCCAAAATTTCTTTACCACGGTAACCCGAAGGATTAGCAGTCATATATAATTCTTCGTTATCAAATTTCCAAACATCCATCTTCTCCTCTCTCATTGAACATCAATCATTTTGTTTCGCGAATCCTTTGGTTTCAGTGTGAAGATTATGTTTATTGATCTCATCTTATGAAATTCTCTTTGATGTTGTTTGATCAAGGTATAGTGCAAAAATAAGTCTTGCGTTTCTCTGTCAACTTCGATTTATAAGAAGTTTGATCGACCAAATCTCGATGATTTCTGATTTTTCGTATGCTTAATACATGAAACTGAGAGAATGTTCCGACTGTTACTATATATAAGAACTTAAATTGATTGGATTAGATTAGGATGGAAATTGAGAGAGATTATTACATAGTTGAAAACCAAACAGAAATTTAAAAAAAGAAAAAAGAAAAAAAAAAAAAGGCAATAGACTATAAGCATTAAGCAATACATCGAATTCTTAGTTCTTTATAGATTCTCTCAAATGTCATCTTCTTGATATAAAGGCATTTTATTGATGGCTTCAATTAGTGTTACGGTACCTAGGTTGTGGATAGCGTCCTGACTCAATGTCATTCACATCCCTAAGGAGCAATTCATAGTGTCGCTTTACTTCTTCAGTTGATTTCCCACCAACTGCCCTCGCAATTTTTTGCCAACGGTCAGGAGTCTCCTTGTCGTATTTTGCCAACGCCATTTCGAATTGCTTGTCCTCTTTCGCTGTCCATGATGAGTTGCTGATTGAACTGGAAGCCATTAGTGAAAATGTGGATCAAAAGTGAGGAATTGAGAATGGTTGTTTGTATTGATGACGAATAGAGATGATTTGAATTGGTTTAGTTTGAGGGAGTGTGGAGCTCCTTATATGTAGGAGGAGAAAAGTAATGTGTGGGGTTATAAGCCAGTTGGAAGAATATATACTTTGAAATGAGAGATTTTTAGAATGACCATTCTTTTAGCAACCACATAAAATTTTAGTGAAGGGACAAAAGTTTTGATAGAAGCTTTGATATGATGATCATTTAGAGTCTAGTCCCTTAAAGGACATAATAAAGGTTTAATAGTTTAGTGGAATGAGATTCTCTTGACCATTGCTATTAGGAGGCTTCCTTTTTCTTGCTAGTGTCCGTAAAGTTTACCAATAACTATTGGACCCTCCCTTACCTCTTTCAGCATTTTGGATCTTATCATCATTAGTGTCGAATTAAACCCCTATCGTATCCGATACTATTCATAAAGCATGTGATTGTTAAGCTTGTGTTTAATATTTTTTGCAATTTTTTTCCTTGTATGATTGAGAAATATATAATCTATATAGAGTTCCTCTTTGCATTGTTTGATTAGCAAGTTAATTTTTCTATTTTTTTCCATCGCGGGATTGTTGCCATTCTTGATCCCAAAGATCGTTGAGCAACTTCAAGTAATCTTACATTTACTGATTTTTATTGAGCATCTATAGAGAAAAGACGATGATTTCGTGAATATTAAAGCTAGTCTATTATGTCCAATGCTTTAGCTAGTAGTTGTAGGTGAATTGTTAAGCTAATGTGTAATATATCTTGCAATTTTCCATCTTGTGTGATCGAGAAAAATATCTAGTTAAGTACTTCTTTGCAGTGATAGATGTCTTTTCGATCTGATTAGCTCTGTTGAAGTCTTTAATCACCGGACTGTGACAAAAGGAGAATCATGCCATTATTGGCTTCAAGATCGTTGAGCAACTTGGGTAATCTATACATTTACTGGTTTATATTGAGCATCTATAGAAAAGGACGACGATTTTGTGAATATTAAACCCTATTTATGTCTGGTGCCTTTAGCTAGTAGGTGTACGTCAGAACATGATTCCAATAGACAATAAGACAAATCTCAGACGACACATAGTACTAAAAAAGATGTACTTTGGCATAATCAGAGATTTTTAGCCCTCTAAAACATGTTCATTCGTGGGTGCCACGGAATAACATTCTTTGACAATGATATGTCCATTTATTAAAAAGAAAAATTAATCAAGTGATTACTCACTAACCAAACCATTTTTTTCTGCAGCCTCTTCTAAACTAGTTAGATCTTGTGTAAATCTCTTTGATTTCTTGGGATTTTGTTCTTGAATCGAGATATCGACCTAGAGATGGGAAAAGCAGCACATTTTATAAAGAATATTCAGGTGTTCTTGTCTTCTTTTTAATTTTCACCTTTGAACATGGTTAGAGAATCGGACTAATTCTCTAAATCTTGGGATCTTATCTTGGAGAGATCTTCTGCGCCTTTCTTACGCTTGTTGTGCTTCTTTGTTTAAAACATTTATGGAACTTTCGTACCTAAAATAAATGTGTTTACCTCTAACTTTGCGTGGTAGCTCCACTTGCATATGTAGTGTTTTATTTTTATGCGAAAAAAATAAATAAATGACATTAAAAAATGAGTTAGTGAACTGTAATATATCTCTGAATATTTGCTTGTACTCTTTGATCTATATGTTTTAAATACAAATACATTTGGGGGAACTAAGCATTGTAAAATATGTGTGTTTACATATAATCTAATATTGAAAACATATAACGACAAAAACACACAAAAAAAGAGAGAAACCCACTAATTATTTTAAGAAACCCACTAATTATTTTAAGAAACCGTATCGATGTCAAAACTCACATAGTCACTAAGAGTGTAAGACTCGCAATGTTCGGATACTCTGATCTCCTTGCCACCTTTGAGGTCATTTTCTTTTTCGTCTTATTATTCAAAATCATTTTCGTCGATGATGACCATCATCATTATTCATTGGTTCATGCATTCATTCATGCATTCGCAAACCTTATGACTGCAGATCTTATACTTTTAAGTATGTTATTTTACGAGCGGTATTATGAAGCTTACCTTGCGATCCTCGACTTTAAGAGACATTTATGGCCTTTTCCTTTGAACGCAAGGGCGGATCCACTAACAAGAAACGAAGGTCACCTGACCCGGTAAAATAATGAAATACATTTTCGTGCATGTAAATTTCTAAGAATATGACCCATAACAGGTCAAAGTCACGAAACCCAACGTACGTCCTCGATTAACCAACTAAGCTCGTGAATGACATTTAATCCCACATAAAAAAATGGATGCCTTAGCAAGTAATGTATACAACATTCTACTATGATCCACCTCGTCATGTGCCACTCGTACTGGCTATTGGCTGTTGCTATTGACTCTGGCTATAGCCTATATGGACCATATTCGCTCTGATAAAGTAAGGTTTTCATATTTTCTTTGATCAGATTCCAATCTTTACATGATCCCTTTGAAAAGTTCCACATTCGATGTTGTGAAGATGCTCCCTCGTACTCATATGCCCACGTAAATTATTAAACATTTAATTTTATATGGAAAAAAACTTGAATTACTTTTCTTTTCATAATGAATATTATTTGTCAGGGTTTGAGTTTTTCCGATTTCAATTATCTATGACCATCCGTAAACGTTTTCAATAACTAGAAAACCTGAATTTTATTGGTTTGGAAGATTAGACGAAACTTTGGATAGGCTCCGGTTAAAAAATGAAAAAAAAATATTGATATTTTATAAAGAGAATCAAAAATATTTTGAACATTTTATTATGATTTCATTTTCTTTAAGAAAAAAAATTCAAAAACTAAAAGTTCTCTTCATACAGTAATAACTAAAACTCTAAAATGTATATAAAGTAATAACTTTTTTCAAATATTCATTTTAATTGTACAACTTATTGATCAAAACATGCAACTCTAGTGGTTCGGGTTAGTATTGTCATTGTATCATCACCCAAAATTCAAACCCACATAGTGTATCTCCATGACAAAAAAAATGTATAACAAGTTATTATTATATTATTAGATAGCATATAATCCAACAGTTTTATGTTGATTTTGGGTAATCGAATTTTCGACAGCAAAATTAAGAGTGTCGTGCGGAAAAACCTCCAACTTGCCAATTTTTGGAAATTTATCATGCGCCTCCAAAAATGCAAATTAATCATACGAAGTCAAAAATAATACTATGTAACCCTTAGGAATCAAACACATGCATATATGTTCACTGGTGGTGGCGCTATGAAACTAGCTGTGGGAGTGTGGCAACAATAAGTTCTTCAACTTATTCTTGCAAAGGAATTTGCATTAGTTATTTACCATATCTGGTCCAAAATCACATTTATTCGAAACTATTGAATACTTTTTATTTGAAAATATAAACTAATTCAATTTGTCTCGTAAGAGAATCAGAGCACAGAGATTCGTCCGGATAGAAGGGTATTTTATTTGGTGCCTATTTTTATATTTATTTTAAAGAAGTAAATGTTGATATTCAGGTTTGTAATTGTAGTATAGTTTTTAGTGTTATCGTTGTACCATATTTCGATTTAAATAAGTCCAAAATCTCATACATCTATCACATCTTGAATTAAAAAAAAAACTATATAATCTTAAAATTTAAAATTTCTTTAATAGATATCATTCTTTATTAATAAATATGAACTTAAAATGTAATTCTTTGTATCTTGACATATATGTATTCTATGTATTTATTAATACTATGTACAATTGCATGATATTAAAAGCTAGTATATGAATTGGAAGATGTACATGTTGAGTAAAAATTTCTAAAAACAAAAATTTGATAAACCGGATAAACATCTTAAACTAAAACTAGTTGATTTTATCGATTATAAGTTTTTAGCTTATTTGAATTTGGAAAATTTATGGAAGAAAGAAGGATTGTATTTCGACTTGGACTATCAAAAAAAAAAAGATTGTGAAACTTTCATGCAATGTCTCATATGTCATGGAGGGACTTGTGGAAATTATTATTATTATCTTCTTCTTCTTCTTTTTTTTGCATTTCTTGTAAATTTTGACTAAAGCCTAAAAAATGTTGTCATGTTACCTCTAGCCACATGATGAGATCTTCACACGAACTGTTGACTACTGGGCTTGACTTCTTATGTGCAATACTGCAATGGATGGTAATGTAAGGCCCAACATCGAAGCTTGTTTGTGGACAACTGGGCTTGACTTCACAGTGATAGTTACTTCCTCGTTCTGATTGTCGAAGCTTGCCTTATTACCGTTGAATGTTGATAAACTTGATCAAGGTATTACTATGAGTACTAGAACTTTTAATGTGTTCATTAATGCATCATGTCGATTACTTTTAAAAATTCGAACATATCACATTATGTTCAACTACTATTCCTTGTCAAGTTGTCATAGTCTCCAAATCAAGCTCAAAGAAATAACACAAGAGTTTTCAAAATCTGTTAACTATGCCGGTGAAAATGAAGATGAAAAGCAAAGAGCTATTCTAGTCAAGTCTCTGATTAATTAGCTAAAAGCTAATAGAAACAAAATAATAATCGACTAGTCTTGTTTAAAGAAACGAATGAAAAGAACTAAGCTTTGTTTTTCTTTCTTTCATAATCGCCTTCTTTGCTCAGAAAGGTAGTGGCTCAGGTTTTGGTCTACAACGTTTGGCGACAACGGAACAATATGCTCCACAACTCTCAGCGGCTTGCTCCGCAGCTTATCTTCAAGATGCTCGACCGGGAGCTGCGCAATATCATCACTTCAAGACGGCGAAAGAAGCGTTGGCGCAACTTAATGCTCCTTTGGATTAGATAGTTGGTCTTTCCTTCCCATCCATTATTGTAACCTTGTTTTATTTTTTTTCCTTGACTGCTCTTCTTTAGGTATTACCTTTGTAAAACTTTTATTTCATTTATATGATATTTACATGATTAGCAAAAAAAAAAAAAAAAGATAAGCTATCATCATATAATAAGCTATTAATAAATTGTAACTCATCTTGTTTCCTTTTTGACTAGTAGTGTGAACTTTTGTTGTTGGTTCGCTTCTACTTATTCTCTTCCTTTTGCTCTTCCTCTTTTCCTTGATTTTCACTAAACTTGGAACATAAGAGCTAGAACACACAATTGGGCAATACAATGTTCTAACTTCTCCAAGATCCACTTTTTTCAAGCATATATTCTCTCCAATGATGTAAGCATTTATGTAGGCTTCTTGTTCATCTAAATCAAAAACCACTACGACTTTCTTATCTTCATCAATGAAGAAACCGTCAAAAGTTTCATTAAACTGAAAATAAAGACCAGCGAGTGGTTCTATATCAACTTTTAAGAAGGGGATCCACAACGCAGCATTGGGCTCAATCTTAGTTGTAATCCAAATCTCTATCACAGATGAATGCATGCATTGAAATAATGCCGAGAGCTTCTCTTCTTTAACACAAGATAGAATTCCAGTATTTTCATCATCATCATGATGCTGAAATGGCAGAGGAAGAACCTGTCCAAATCTCTCTGCTGTAAAATCAAAACATATTAAGAAATATGGGGTTTGAAATGAATCATACCCTTCCATTCTTTCTTGAGTCCAAAAGTAAGTATTCCCGTTTACCGATGCGCCTCGCCGACAAAAATCTATTTCCCAGTTGGGAATGACATTAAAAGCCCTCCATGAATTATACTTAAAATCGTAAATTTCGTAGTAGCCCTGGTTATCGAAAACCTTCAATATCTTGTGGTTCTGGTTGTTGTCATATCCCAAAGCATACATGCATGTGGTTCTCGTTGCGGTTTTGGGTTGGATCCATCTGGTTTGTCCTAAATATGGGTTCCAAACCAAAAGCCTAGTGTTGCGCTCCTTGGTCACGCATAACAACAATAAGCCATCACAATACAAGACTCTAGATATGATCTCTCCTTGGTTAAGTAAATTACCTATCTCCTTTATTGATGGATCAACGAATTCTTCCCTGTCTTCGTTGAGTATTCCATGGAGATTAAACCTCATTGAACAAAGCCTAGTATAACCCATCATCATGAACCCTAGAAACTGATTCCTTGGTTTTGCATTACATAAAATCCGATTTTTAGATAAAACGTTCCATGCTTTGCAAGTGGATCTCACTGCTCCAAGAGAAGTTATCGGAACCCTAGACAATATCTCCTCTACCAAATCCTGCGAAAGATCAAACATCGTCGTCATTGTTTTCAAATAAAAATTAGGGTTTTAACTTTCAGTTACTATCTTATGTCCAATGACTTCACTAAGCTTTGCACCTATAAAAATCATAACCTGGGATGGGCCTTCCATCTACTTATCTTTGTCACGTTGTGGGCTTCCTAGCCTTTAGTGTCGTAATAATTTTTCCGGTAGTCTTTCATTTTTTTATGGTTAAAGAAATCTCTATTTGCCCAAAAAAAGAAAAAAAGAAAAGAAATCTCTATATGCTAAAAAAAAGGTAATTTATTTGTGTATCAAACTGTTAAACATAGCAAATAATATTATTTCGAACAAAAAAAGAAAATAATATTATAAGCTTTTGTTTCTGGCATCAATATTATTATTACAATTGTTCTGTTTGATATGAGTAATTCAATTAGAAAACTATATATCAAAAAGAAACAACTTAATATTGTTAGACCAGATACATCTTAGATGTGAGAAACCTTAAGAAATTATATCATGACTTGTATTTTCTTAAAATATATATATTAGTAAATAGCAAATGTTATAAAGTCGATTCAATTTGGTCCAATATTAACGGTAAGTCTGTAACTAGCTAAATTTTTTACAGTTGAAAAAAACTCATAAGAACTATCCAACAAAGAAAAAAAATACTCATTGTGCAGTAACCATCTAGTTAAGTTATTTCTAGAATTAAGAATGTGTTTTGACATTTGGAAATGGGTAAAATTAAAAACTTCAATATATAGTATTATTACTACAGTGAATAGAGAGGGACACAAGAATATGAGTGGGTATAGGAACAAACACTCTGATCAAAAGCAATGGTCTCCTACGGTCCTACCTTCCAATCACTTATCTTCAAACCCATTGTTTTTTTCTTTATATTTTAAATATATTTTGATGTCCCTTTTAATTATTAACATGTCATGTTATAGATTAATTTCTAAAATATTCAATGGTTGGTGGTATACTGTTCTTTGTTGTCTTGCTGTATTATCTACTCATGGATTTTCGATTGATTCTTTTTTGTAAAACCCAAGATGACAAGATCTTTTGCATGATCTTATGTCTTTATGTTATAAATAGATACTATAAAACTTTATTATTATTCTTATTGTCATGTAGCTGGAGTAGCTCAGTTGGTTAGAGCGTGTGGCTGTTAACCACAAGGTCAGAGGTTCGACCCCTCTCTCTAGCGTCAATTAATTTTCTTACTAACTTTTTTTTTTTTTCCTGTTTTCTTGTTTTCAAAATTTTTAATAACATACATTATGCAGGCTTAGACATGGATGGTGATACAAATATGGACACAAAATACAAATACGACACAAAATACAAACTATTAGAGATATGTTTCTCGTTTGAAAAACTTTGAGAAACCACCATATCTACAGTTGTCATTTTTTCATTGGCTCAACAAATAAAAAATTACATAAATAATTAAATTAAAAACATTAATTTATTTTTGAGAAACTCAAATGCGTTTCTAACTGATGGAGGTGGTCTTAAATATAAGTTTATACGTTTTTTAAAATATAAGTTTGTTACATCAATTCAATGTATAGTGTATAATTGGATTTGCTTTGTGATTTTACAGATTTATAGAAACAATTAATTTGACTATTCCAAATGTCAATATGTATATGTTAAATAAGGTCTCTCTCATTGTTTATTTTTTTTTGGGATTATTGTTGATTTTGCCATTTTTCATAGAAATCTTTTGAAATTGCCATTTTTACTAAAATCTTACGGATATGCCATTTTCTAACACTTAAAAATGTACGTATTTCGGATTTTTTTGGTAAAAATACGTAGTTTATACAAAATACTAAACCCTAAGAACAACCACAACCGACTAAACCCAAACATAACGAATAAAACGCATGTTAAATCATATTTCCGTAGCCTGAAAAAGGGCAAAATCCATAAACTATTCAAAAAGGGGCAAAATCCACAAATGCCATCCAAAAAAATGGCAAATCCATAATTGATTCTTTTTTTTTCCCTAATAAGCTCCTCTCATAAACTTGAAAGGGCAAAAAAAAGAAGAAGAAAATAAGAAAACATAACACACACAAAGAAGGGATAAAGAACCTCTAAATTTAGTGTTCATAAGGACATGCCCACATGGTGTGGGTTATGTCACTTAGACCCTACACCTTCTCCTCTCACCTTCTTTGCTCCCAACCTTTACTTTTATCAATTTATGTCCCTCTCTCCCTTAGATACCGAATCTTTACTACTATTTTCTGCAATTTGTTCTTGAGCCTCTTTTTTCTTCTAGTCATAGTCAAGTGTCTCTAAACGATGGACCCGATTTATCCACCAACGCTAACGTTTAATCTAATCTCACTGTCATTTGTGACGATCACATAGCTACAATACAACCATTTTCGAAAAAAGTATCATAAATTTGCTACACATTCGCTTTAACTATCAATTTGCTACAATCCATAGCAAATATTATGTAGAAGATCTACATATATAAAAAAACATTGTAATATATCGTAAGAGAACGTATAAAAAAAGGTTGTGGCGTATAAAAAAGGTTGTGGCGTATAAAAAACGTGTGGTACCATTTTGAATTGGTAAGGGAGTATTTATTTCTAGAGGGAAGAGATAACAAATAAGTAAATGAAATTTATACATTTTAAAAGGAAATTATAGAAAACATAAGAAGTAGGGGACCTTATGTGTGTGGGTCAATGTTGTTTTCTATTTAAAGCTAAGACGAATGATATCAATGGATTAGTTTCTCCCACCTCTTTCATCTTTTTTTAAGCAACCACCTAAAAAACAATATTACGTAACCTAAATCTCTACTTCTTTATACATTTATAGCAAATCCTCTTTTGCTTTAAACCCACCAAGAAAAAAAAATAACTCAAAGCTTTTTTGATTTTTTCCCATTCTCTAATTTGTTTGTACTTTTGGTCTCACTTTAAAAGATCATAAGTTGAAAGATTTCTGCAGAGAACAAAATGTTGGAAGGTCTTGTCTCACAAGAAAGCTTGTCCTTAAACTCTATGGACATGTCTGTACTTGAAAGGCTTAAATGGGTGCAACAGCAACAGCAGCAACTGCAACAAGTTGTGTCCCAAAGCAGTAATAATTCACCTGAACTTCTTCAGATACTTCAGTTCCATGGAAGCAACAATGATGAGTTGTTGCAGAGTAGTTTCAGCCAATTTCAAATGCTTGGATCTGGTTTTGGACCAAACTATAACATGGGTTTTGGTCCTCCACATGAAGCAATGGATGAATGCATTTCAAGAACAAGTAGCTGCCATATGGAACCAGTGGATACAATTGAGGTTTTGTTGAAGACCGGTGAAGAAAACAGAGTCATTGCCTTGAAGAACAAGAGAAAACCAGAGGTTTGTATCTCCAAAACGAGATCATAATTAGGGTAAAAACTATGTTTTGAAACATGAGTTTTGATATAGTGTTTTTAATAATGTCTCAGGTTAAGACAAGGGAAGAGGAAAAGACAGAGAAGAAGATCAAAATAGAGGCTGAGACAGAGTCAAGCATGAAAGGAAAATCAAACATGAGAAACACTGAAACATCTTCTGACACTTCAAAGGAGACATCGAAGGGAGCTTCAGAGAATCAGAAATTAGATTATATCCACGTGAGAGCTCGTCGAGGCCAAGCCACTGATCGACACAGCTTAGCTGAAAGGGTAATAAAAAGAAGTTTCTTGAGTTACAAGAATCATGATATTTCTAGGGTTTCTGAATGGATTTGGATTTGCAGGCGAGAAGAGAAAAGATCAGCAAGAAGATGAAATATCTGCAAGATATTGTGCCTGGATGCAACAAGGTCACAGGAAAAGCTGGTATGCTTGATGAGATCATCAATTATGTTCAATGTCTCCAGAGACAAGTCGAGGTAAGCAATGAAACCATGTTTCTCTGTAACTTCTTTTCACTATTAACCAAAGAGAATAATCTAATTCTTCAAGAGACATAATTTTCAGTTCTTGTCGATGAAACTCGCTGTCTTGAACCCGGAACTAGAGCTTGCCGTGGAAGATGTATCTGTAAAACAGGTGAAAACACATTCTCTAGACCCTCAGAATCATATGGTTTTCGCTCAACAACTTAAGGGTTACGAAATTTCAGTTTCAGGCTTATTTTACAAATGTTGTTGCTTCAAAGCAATCAATAATGGTTGATGTGCCATTGTTTCCGTTAGACCAGCAAGGATCTCTAGATTTGTCTGCGATAAACCCGAACCAAACGACATCAATTGAAGCTGTAAGTACATCTTTATATGAAACTGAAAACTTGTCAGAGTTTTTGTTCCTTGTCTGTGAAGTAACCTATCTCTTGTATCTCTCTGTTTCAGCCATCTGCAAGCTGGGAAACTCAGTCACAAAGTCTCTACAACACATCTAGCCTCGGTTTTCAGTACTAAGAAAGATTCATTAAAACAACATGGTTGACATCAATCAATCATCAAAAATCAGAAGCAAATTCTATTATATTTGCTCATCAAAATAGTAATTTCGAAATTTGGTTAATGCATTATCCTTTGATCCTTGTTTTCTGATATTTAAAACCAGAAGAATTGGAGATAGCAATGCAATGGTCTTGTCACCATCAATCTTTGTGTATAGATTATATAATATATAGAGAGAGATAGATAAATATGTTTTAGAGGACTTATAGATATGTCATATGTGTAGAAGAAAGAGAAAAAACTCTTGTGGTGATTACAATTCTTGTTTTTTTTGGATATATGAATATCTAAGAAAATTATTAATCATTTTATTGTTTCTTTTTTTTCTGCAACTTGTAAGAGTTCCGATCTTTCTAAGATTCTATTGTCAACGAAATGTATCCATCAATATGTTCCCATTTGAAGGGTATGGGTATAGAGTTATTAGGTCGTCATGATTTTTTATATATCGGTGGAAAAACCTTTGGATGATCAAAGTAAACGTACGGTAGCTAATGATTTTCCTTATGATCAAATTAGTTCACAATAATACAATAAGAAAATAATTTTATGAACTAATTGTCCATTTGCCAAAAAAAAAAAAACAAAAAAACAACTAATTGTCAAATTTAGTTTTATGATGATATGAATCATCAAATTAAATTTTAACTAAAAAAATCAATATATATTTTTGGATAATTATTTAGTGTCAAAATAAATTCTATTGAATTAAATACTACACTAGTAAACATTTAATAATAAGAAAAAAGAAAGTATAGGATTCTTCAGTGTCGAACATGATTTATAATTTTGGTGTCTAAATGGGATACTGCGATTTAAACTAGGATTCTACAATTTTGACGTCAAAATATGATAATGGAGTCTTAGCGCTAAAACATGATTCTATAATTTCGGCCCCAAAAATTTAAGTTCCCGCAAATTCATGAATTCTCTATTTTGGTTTAAATTGGTGAACGTAAATAAAATCTAATGTAGTTTTAAATTTGTGTCATTTTTAGTTCAAAGAATGATATTTTAGACTTATGATCATTTTAGGTGCAATAGTTGCATTCAAACTCTAGTTTTCATTACATTCAAAATATCTAATTTAGTTCATGAATTCATGCATCTATATGAAAAAAAAAAAAAAAACCCCTTAAATTTTCAGCTTATTGTATTTTCTTTTCTAACTTTATCAATGTACTACAAATCTATTACTATACAACTATAGTGATGTATAATGTTACTGATGCTGACACAAGCTCTCTCTATAATCTATATCTATATCATAATGTGTTTTCTAAAAGTAGCTTTCAAGATAACAAGTGGGACAATGTTCTTTTCTCATATCAATTTTTCCAACCAATGATCTATTCATGAACTGTCCGATTTTGACAAGATCTATATGATAAGATATTATCCATAACCAAAAATGAAATTGGAGGTAGTTTTTTGAAGTAGGAGTAGTTAAGAGATTTTGAGAGGATCGAAGAATGAAGAATGAGAACCACAAAGAGTGGGCATCATTGTGGTTGCAGAGATTTTTAACCAAAGTGGACCTTCTTTTGTTTTTTCGGTTTCATTGAATTTTATCTATCTAGCCTTCATATTTGAAGTAGTTGGAAATCTCTTCTATATTATTTTCAAAAATAAAACAAAATTACGGAAATGTCATTATCACAAATAATGAAAGTGTTTTATGTGAAATCAAACTATATATATACAAATTCTGGTAAACATTTAAAACAATCAACATGCGCTATATTGTGTCTTTTATATATTAACAATGAGAGTCAAAGAGATTTTATATAGTAACAATGAGAGTCAAAGAGATTTTCAAATAAATTATACATTTAAAAATTTTGAAATAGAAAATTTTGGAACACTACGGTTTTTAATGGTCGAAAAACTCATGGTGGTTTAGTAGTTGAATGACCTATCCAGATATTGGTGGAGTTCAATAATAATTAGTATGATAGATGTTTTAAATTGTATAAGATTATGCGATGTTTCACAAGTTCCGACAATTAGTCTAAATTTAAGTCAGAATCCCTCGATTTTCAATTTTTTAGAAAATATAAAAACTAATGAAACGATATTTAAAACTAAAATATATAATTTAGTTATTTGTGTTAGTGTAGTCGTTATGTCACTATCCGAATTCAGTTCTGATAACTGACCCTGGGAAAAAAGCTTCTTCTCAAATTAACATAATTTGATTGGATATCATCTACCTTCCACAAGTCTTAACTAAACAATATACAGTAGTGATGTTGAACATCATAATCTTATAATGGAATTGAATCGCTTATAACTTGGTAAGTAAAAATATTCCAAATTCCAAGTGTCTGATCACTTTTACTCAGAAAGTAAAGTATAATGCCGTTTCTGCTTAACAAAACTAAACATCATGCCGTTTCAGTCATTTATTAACGACACGACATTTGTCCATAAGCCAAAAGACGAATTCAAAACCTCGTCGGCGGGTTTTAGAGGAGGAATCTCAAATCTGGGATCTCGGAGAGGAGATATGGCGACAGAGTCATCGGAATCGGAAGAAGAAGGAAAGATTAGAGGAGGAAACGATAAGCTAATCATAGACGATGATCTAAGAGAGATGGGTAAAAACGCTGCTTGGAGTGTCAGCTCTTGTAAGCCTGGCAATGGCGTCACCACTCTCCGCGACGACAATCTCGAGACTTATTGGCAGTTGAGTAAACAACAAAAAACCCTAAAAATCATATCTTCCTCTGATTCTTCATCTCTATTCAATTAAAGGATTCGACTTTTTTGTTTTGTTTCTGAATTTGTAGATCAGATGGGTTACAACCACATTTGATTAACATTCAATTCCAGAAGAAAGTGAAATTGCAAGTATGGTTATGAATCTATTTGATCAGATCTTTTGTGTTTTTTTGGTTGTTTAATTTTGACTTGTTTTGATTTTGAAAGTTAGTGGTTCTCTACGTTGACTTTAAGCTTGATGAGAGCTATACACCAAGTAAAATCTCTATTCGAGCTGGTGATGGTTTTCATAACTTAAAGGTAATAATATCTTTTTCACTCTAAAGAAGAAGAAAGGATTCTCTTAGCTTCTGATGGATAGATTTATCATGTTGTGTGTCTCTTTCTCTTTAATTGTTTAGGAGATTAAAAGTGTGGAGCTTGTTAAACCAACTGGTTGGGTTTGCTTATCTTTGTCTGGAACTGATCCACGGTATGTTTGTTTCTTCTCAAGTTGTGGTTTTTGTGGGTGTTTCTTACTAGAATCTACCTAGCTTCTGAGAAGATGAGCAGAGTTGTTTGCTACAATGTTAGTACTATGATCAGATTTTGCTTCTCCATTTTTGCTAGTACTTCAGAGAAAGTCTGCAATGTTATTAGTAGGTTAGACATGTCTGTAGATAGCCAAGAATGATTTCGTTCTGTAGGTTACTAAGCATTGAGCTGATAAGTTTAACCATTATGTCCTCTTCTCAAGGAAACTTTTTGTTAAGAATCTAGCTAGCTGCTGATAAGATGAGCAGAGTGTTTGTTACAATGCTAATGTTATGATCAGAATTCTGCTACTCTTTGTTTTTTGCTAGTACTTCAGAGAAAATCTGCAATAGTTATTAATATTGCTTAGACATGTCTTTAGCTAGCAAGTTTTCACTATGAGATAAGTTGGGATTTCAATGTTAGCTTTTGAGGTTTCACTTAGTAAAGGTCTAAACTAACTTCTGCTGTCATGAATGATTTGTTTCTGTTGGGTTACTAAGCATTGAGCTGATAAGTTTAGCTATTGTGTGTGCTCTTTTCAGGGAAACTTTTGTCAATACATTTATGTTACAAATAGCCATTTTGTCAAATCACCTCAATGGGAGAGATACTCATATCCGCCAGATCAAAGTTTACGGCCCTAGACCGTGCGTCTCCATCTTTCCTTCACTTAAACTGTGCACATTATATGCTATTACTGCCTTTGCATGACTCTTGATCTTTTCGATTGCAGAAATCCTATTCCGCACCAACCGTTTCAGTTTACATCAATGGAGTTTCTCACTTATGCGACACTGAGATGAAAGATTTGAGCAGGAGAAGTTTGAAGAACATGGACTGTGAAAGATACTGCTATTGATACCACAGGAAGAGTCTATAATCAGATTAGGTTTTGAAGCTTATAGTTTCATATATTGTTGTGTAATGGCTTCTGTTTATATATTACATTGGATATAACAATCATAACTTCATTAAGCTTATCCACCAAAAGCCCCATCAAACTTCTGACACGGTGAATTTGGAGAGATGGGTTTAAAGCATAGTTCAAAAGAGCTACAACAATCTACATACAAAGAGCTTTTCGTGGATTGATACATTGAAACCTAAAGATAAGAAAAGCCTTCTATGATGATTTGCAGAGATGGATTTAACTCCGGTTAACTTTACCCTTCACATGCCGGTTTGGTGTCAAAGCTGCTGATGCATATAGCAAAGGCTTGAAAAGCAGAGAGAGGGTAGCGATAATCCATGGTGAAAATGTCCTTACCGATTTTGCCAAACTGTAAGATCACCCTCTCATGTTCTTCAGGCGGCGCATCCAAAGAAGTGTCAATGTCTGCCACAAGCTGGAAATTCTTGACTGAAGCCACGGTCACTCTTCCCTTGAAGTTGAGGCACCAACACTGCAATTGCTCGTGCCATCTTGGGGATTTGTTTTTGAGAACTAGCGGCTGGTCCCTTAAGCTTGGAGTAATATCAGGGACCTCTTTGTCTGTTGTGCTGGTTTCTCCTTTTGGTGAAGGCGAGGAAGAGACTTCCTCTTCTAGGCCTTGAACTATTGATGGTTCAGCAATAACAGAAGAGAGGGGTATGGAATCCATAGCGCAATGCATTCTTCTAGGTCCCCTTGTGCGAAGAACATTGAGCTCGTAGGTTACATTTCCTACAGTAGAGCTATTAGCAGGTAATTTAGGGGCCGCTTGCTTGGGGTGAATTCTTCGGTTAGGTTGGCCTTGTGCTGTGGATGATTCTGTTTGGTTGTCATATATTGTGAACTTGGTTCCCAGAAAACCAGACCTATCCCACAATATAAGTAGAGACTGTTTAGAAAAAGGAGCTTTCGATCGTTAAGACTTTAAGCAGGTGGAACTCAGGACAATTGCTTACCTTAACTTGCCAACATAAGTGCTGCTGCTCCGTGAGAAGTTTTTCGCAGATAGCGAGATTATAAAGTCCGTGCACGTCGCTCTTCGAATCCTTCTTGCTGCTAACAACAGTTTGTCGTTCTCTATCTCCGCTGCAATTCGAAACAAGGATCATTGTTAGAACAACGGTTTCTTCTAAATTGTTGACAGTTTCATAAACTTTAGTCAAGGAATAAGGATCACTCACAAGGCATCAAACCATAATAGAGAATGTATGTAGCTGTTGCTCTATTCCTCTTAATAAAGCATTGAATCGGAGAGTCTCGCGGCCCCGGCTGCCCACAATCAACCAAGAATTTTAGATTTCCAACATGATAATGTGAACAAAAGAACCAGTAAACTTTCTTTACCTGTTTCAATGAGATTGGAAAAGTGAGCTTCCCACACAGCTCAGGGATCCTCACAATCTCCATAGTGATTCCTCTCCATGATTTACAGACAGAAGCACAAGAGACAACAGCAGCTCGAGCGGGCCAAGCTGTCTCACTCTCTTCAACCCTCCGGATAATGTCATGAAGCAACTCAGGTGGCAAAGAAGCCCATGGGCTCTGCGGGATGTTTTCCGGTGGTGGAGTTGTTTGATCAGGAGCAATGTGAGACGACTTTGACCAGCTTCTCTTGGAGATACCTCCAAGTCCATCCCTCACTTCCTTCAGATCACGAAGGATGCTTTTCAAAGACATCTCTTTTCAGCATACCACAAAACTCCCCAATAACTGCAATCACTCAAAGTTCATGTTTTTATAATCTCATTAAAGGAAACAAATCAAAAGCTCAACACTTTCACATAAAAACTTGAGATTTGCAATCAAAGTTCATGTTTTAATAATCTAAAGCACGACACTTTCACATACAAAAACAGACCCCAAAGACAAAAACTTGGGATTTACTGCAATCACTCAAAGTTCTTGTTTTTTTAATCTCATCACAACCAATATATAGGAAACAAAACAAAAGCTCAACACTTTCACAGACAAAAACAGACCCCAATGATAAAAACTTGGGATTTACACATCAATACCAAATGGGTATCGAGAAAATATGAACCACTAATAGAAAGAGCTCGAATTATAGCATAATCTGTTCATGAGAACCCAATCTTGAAAAATCTCAGATTCACATTACTCCAACTTATTATTATCCATTGAAACTCATCAAAACCAATCTTTAAATCCGACAAGAAAACACAACAGATCCAGAAACCCCAAAATGTGAAAGAAAATTGAAAACCAACCTCAATGAAATCGATATCTGGATCAAAAGACAAAAACTTTGAAATCTCTGGAAACTGGAAGATGAGATCAGCGGCAGCTTCTTCACCGGATCCGAGAGACAAGATCGGAAAGAGAAAACGTAGAAACAGAGACAAGCATATCTGTTTCTTTACAGATTCTTCGATGCTCGTCGTCTCCGGGAAGAAGAACGAATTCGCCAGTGACTATCTTGACATGATTCCGTCCGTCACCGGCGTTATCGCCGTCGTCTTGACTCCGCCGCCGATCTCACCGTAGGTGAATAAAAGGAGTGGTCTCCACCAAACAAACCTGAACCTCTCTCTTCTTACAAATTGAGAAAAAAATCCGAAGTCTTCGCTGTTTCTTATAGTTTTCAAACAAACGTTTAAAGGCAGAGAGAAACTCAATAAAAATAAAATATTTAATATTAAGAAAAAATAGTTTTGGTCGGAAAATATTTTTAACTTCTAAATTTTTTTAGTTAGTCAAATAATTAAGAGCTTCTATGTTACGACCTGGCTTTAATTGATCATGACTTACTGCATGTGGCAATGACATATTTGGTCGGTAAAATGATATTACTATTTTTATATGTAGAAGATTAAAAGAAAACTTTAGAATTAGCCGACAAAATAAAACTTTAAGAAACCTATAACCTATTTTAGTTCCAATGTAAAATTTTTGATCTTATAATGAAATTTGTCGAGATAAATGGCTATCACTATATAATGAAAGCATTTTAAAACTTTACACACTTTTTTAAGAAAAATTGCATCTAGTGTCTTTCAAAATTTTCATTATTCTTCAATTGTCTATGATTTTTTCTTCTGTTCAATAGATTTAAGTTGGATATAACAATTTGTTTTGTGAACCTTTATAGTTATTTTTATTTATTTATCAAGCTCTTTGTTTGATGTTTTCTTTGTTTAAATAAAAGTTGGATATTTTTTTAGGTTTATAGTAAATTTGTTTCATTTATTTCATTTTCATGATAAATATCTCTTATTTTATGAAAAGTCGCAATCAAGATGTCAAGACAATTATTTAGTCTAACATCGTTCTTAAGGCTTAACTTAGTCTAATCCATATCTAAACATAGATCTCGTTAATAGAGGTACATACATATTCTCTTTGCTAAGTTCAATATTAAACTCTTTGCTAAGAGATGTTCCCTCCAAATAACATCTCTTATTGTTGGCCATGTTGAAGTTGAACATACATCAGTCCGATTGGTCCGGTTTGGATAACCAACTGGTTTGTGAACCTTTAAGAATTGTTCTATACTATAAACACAACTAATCTTTTCTTGAACATACGTACTTACTTCTTTTTTTTTGTTTGACCTTATCCAACAATGTGAAATGTTTTTAAAATGGTATATACATCACACATGTATCATGTATCATGTATGATGTATCAATTTACATAATTAAAACTTCAAAATCTCTGTCAAGCCACCCATTTTGACACCATACATATAACAATACATATAGATCAAACTCCATGAAGTGGTATTATAATTTTATGGATTTGGCGAACAATTAATAGTCAATATATTATATATGCCACCTTATTCAACTTTTTCATACATTAGTTTTTTTTTGGTGAGTTTCAACTTTTTCATACATTAGTTTGACATAACTATCCTATTAAAATTTTGATGACTTTTGATGTGTGGTACGAACAATACCTAATGAATCGTATACCCAAAAATATCCTTCTTCTCCACCCATATGATTGATTATTTTTGACAATTTATTATAGTTATATATCTTCAAGTAATATTTATTTGGTGACGTGCATATTATCGAATTGAAATTTATGTGATGGTTACACAATGACAACACTAACACAAATTACTAGGTTACATATTATTTTAAAATAATATTTTTAGGATATGATTTTACTATATGAACAAAATCTTCTTCAAGTAACAATAAATATATATAGTTTTACATTATGACTTTGCCAGTTGCCACATTAATAGCATTTGTAGCATTCATCCCAAAAAATGGTTACTATTCATGCATAAACTTGTTAATGGATGTTTTTTATTTGTGTGAAAAACTTGTTAATGGATGTAGAAAAAAAAATTGGTAACTCTAAAAAAAACTATTACCTTAAAAGTAATTTACCACAATCTACATTTTAGTTTCATCTTATTCACCACAATCTTTCCACTAGAGTTGTGATGTTGAAGTGACTAAAGAGCCTGTGATAGATACTAAACAAATAGCTTTTTAGAAGATGAGAATCATTACATTTTAAAAGCTAATAACTTGAATCATTGAAATTCACAATCAGGAGTATTATTAATTAAAACTTAAGAGTTGCTCATGTTTGGTATGTGGACCACAATACAACTATATATCCTACATAAATATTTTTGTACACAAAAGTGAGAAGTAGATATTATGTAATGCACAAATGCAAATGTAAGTTATGTGTATGGGTCCATAAAAAAAAAAAGAAGAAAAAGCATGATGGGTATTGATTCCAGTTTTGTGTGTTTGTCCATTGGGATTGATAAAATTTTGATAAGATTGGGAACCATATGTTTTTGCCAGCTTACACTTGTCAATTCTCTTACCATTACCCCATCACTCTTTTTATTCAATGTTCTCAAAATCTGCTAGTCAATTGAATAAGTACTAAACCTTAGTTTAGTGACTAGTAATCCTGTTTTGTTGACTAATTGGTAGATGCAAAAAGTAATGACTAAATATAGCAACTGATTAGCCAATCATCTAATCAAAAGATCAACTAAAAGTTTGCTAACTATATAATTAACTCAAATGACTAAATATTTCGTCCATTTCCATTTTCATTTGCTTGTTTGTTCTCTATTGTTTGTATCACATCTTTGTCAATCTCACCAAATTTTGTTTGGTTCTTGTTGAATCTCTCTACTGGTCAATTAATTATGAAACTTTTGTCTTGATTCACTATCCTTCAGATATCTACTAGTCCAATAGAAACATTACATCATGCACTTGTTTCTTCTCTCTTAGACATTAATATGATCAACACAAAAGATTTGTGGACAAAGAAAGATTCATGAATACAAAACCTGAAGTTTCTTCTGATACACAAATCATGAAAACATCTAATGAAATAAAACTAGAACAGTGCCTAAAGAACACATGAAAGCAACCAAATCTCTTCTCAAAACACTCAACGAGAAGCAAGCATTGAGATGACACACACAAGAAGAATAAGAACACCCAAAATCGAAACCCAAAGAACCCAACTCTTAGTCTTCTTCTTCATCTGATTAGCATAGTACAAACTATTAGTACCTCCACTCACAAAGCTCCCTGCATTAGCAACATTAGCTTCAATGTCATCAATTCGATCTCCTTGAGTCTCAACAAGAACAGCCATGTCAAGAAACACTTGATGAAGCCTATTAAGACTTCTCTTGATATCATTCACTGCTTCATGTCTCTCTTTAGTCTTCAAATCCATCTCTGGCTTTACTTCAAATGTCTTAGCCAAATCAGAACAAGACCCAGATCCAGAGATCATCTTCTCCATGTCTTCATTACTTGGTTCTTCACCAGTCGCTAAAAAATACTTCCTTTTGAGATCTTCTCTGTAATCAGCAAAGATTCTTTCCCTCAATCGATGAAACTCACTCATCTTCTCTCTCAGTTTCGCTCTAACTCCATTAGTTATCGAAGTTCTTGTCCTGTCCACGCAAGATCCTTCCTTGAAACTCGTACGATTCGCAACGTTTCTCTTCTCCAAAGTCTCGATTAGGGTTTTGACTGTGTTGGCCTTACGAGAGATGGTGACGATGTTTGATTCCATTCTGTCTCTTAACCCACGTAAGATCTTGGTACTGTGAGTTGATTTGGTTTCTTCGTTTAGGTTTTGGAGATCGAGTAAGAGATGAGTGATCTCTTCGATTAGGGTTTTGATGGTTTCGATTTCTTGAAAGAAACCAGAGAGGTTTTCTTCATCCGCTGGACTGAAATCGAAGTTAAAGTCTTCACCTTTCTCCAAATCACGATCAGATTCCATATCTATCTTCGCTTGTTTCTTCAATTCAACATAACTTAAGAACGATTTTGTCATCAGATCATTCATCTTGTAAAACCCTAAAACAAGAATCAGAGAAAGAAACTGAGAATCACGAAATTAGAAACGAAAGAGAAGGAGATGAGAACAGAGCAATACGGTGATGGGTTTGTGAAACAGAGTAAAGATCTTCGTTATCTCTGAAACGGGGTGTTTCAGTTTTCCGGGAGAAAGAACTGCAAAAGAGAGAGTAAAAGCGATTCAACAATGGATTAAACTAAGAAACCCTAATATCAAAGAGGAAGAAGAAGAGACCATTACCCAAAATTATGCTTGTTAAACAAGGAACCGTTTCTCTCTCAACTTCGCTTCTCTCTCTCTCTCTGTGCGCTCCTCTGTGATTTCAGAAGAATGATTCAAATTTTAAAAGAGAAGGAAGAGATATGGGGAAGTTATAAAGAAGATCTACAAGAATCCGATTATTCAGTTTCAAAGATTTGTTATTCAAAATTTGCTCTTTTATTAATCACAAAAGAGCCGTTGCTTTGAAAACGTTTCTGTTCCGATTTGGCCTCATGTTTCTCTTCTATACGTTCGACGCTTTAAACTTTAAAACGACACCGTTTCTGCCAAAGGTATGCAAAGTCTTGACCTTTATTGATGTTGCAGACCAATAAACCATATACTGCATTTTTCTGCCAAAGGTACACAAACGTGTTCAAATTACAACCAAAGTTGATTTTTCACTTATGACTAGTTCTTGTTTCGAGTTAGGGAATGCAAAGCTTGGACCTTTATTGATCTGTTTAAGCCAATTTACAGCATTTTGGGTATACAGAAGTGTATTAAATTACAATCAAAGTAGAGATTTTTTTGTATGAAGAGTTCATGATGCTTTTTCTTCTGCCGGTTGTTTTCGTTTCTCGGCTTTCTCAGCTTCCAACTTTCTCAGAGTACTTGAACTTATCTTATTTCCACTTGATCCATCAGAAACTATTTCCACAACTTCAATCTGCACAAGCACGTCCAAGAAAGATTGGTTCAAGCGATGACTGAAGATCTTAAAATGAATCAGGCAACATCTGGTGGATAAAAGGACAAACCTTAAGTTGAGAAAGCCCTCTTTCTGCTCTTTTTCTGTTAACTGACAAGCCACCGGGTAACGTCTCCTTGCTGCAGATGATTAGTATAAGAAGTCTTGAAACAAGCAAGTGAATAGAAGAACATGTGGAAAGATTAATAGAAAGATGGTGAAAACCTGACTACAATAGCTTCCAAATTTTCATCTACGATAGAAGGACCATATGGATCACTAATGGGTTCAGCTTGCACAACCAGCTCGGGCTTGATAGACTACACAAGAACATGCAGAAAAGTAAAGAAGAGAAACTCTACTTTATCTTCCCCTTTTCCTCTCATTTCACATCAAGTAATTAACATGTAATTGCTGATAGAAGAGATTCCACATTCTGGTGAAATTACCTTGACATAGTTCTCCACATTACGCATCCTTTCTTCAATGGGTTGAATCATTTCAGCGAACTGTAAACGCAAAAGAGTGATGATAAGGAGGAATAAAGCATAACAGTTCCAGACTCATAGAAACTTCAAAACAAAAGATGTTCTTTTACCTTGATCGTAGGAATACCATTACAACTCGAAATCAATCAAAGCAAATCTACTTATAAATCAATCTCCTGGGACTAAGAAACAGAAAATATAATATGAAATTGAACAAATAACACCAACTTTACCGTTCGAGAATTATTTGCTAAATCAATCCGGGATATGGGAAAATGATAACTACTCTAAGCAAAAATGAACCTCAATCTAAAAGAGATTGTATCATTTCAGTGAACTGTATGCACAAAAGAATGAAATAAGAACTCCAAAGAGCTCATCAACAAAGCATAAAAAAGTTTCAGACTTTGAGCTTTAAACCACAGAAAGCTTCAGAACAAAGATGTTCAGAAACATCACTCCAACTCAAAATCAATCAAAGTAACTGAGCTTATTAGCTAAAAATCAAAAGTCAATCTCCTGAAATTGAAACCAAAGTCACCAACTTTCCTGAAATTGCTACTAATCAAAGCAAAAAGGTAAACAAATCTAAAAGAGATTTGCTTACTTGCTTGTTCGTCAACATTGGGCCATCACACACTCCCACTACGATCCGATCCCTAGCCAGCTCCGCCGCTGCCTGAATTTTCCATCCCCACCATAAAAATTCAATTCTCAAGAAACCCATACATAAGCAGAAATCGAAGAGAAAAAAAAAAAAAACCAATTACCTTGAGGAACATTCGATGCCCATCGTGTAATCGATCAAACGTACCGCCGAAAACGACAGCACCAAACGAATTCGCCGGAGACATCTTTGAATCTTCAGTAGCTGCCATTTAGGGTTCGTCTCTTAATTATTTGATTTGGAGACTTCAGACCCAAAAGAAATTGAAATCCTTTGTCACTCCTAATTGAATCGAATTCGCAGCTTCAGACACAAAAGAAATTGATTCCCACTACCAAAATCCCCAACTCTTCTCCTCTGACAATTTCTAAACCCATTCTGCTGTTACATGTTGTTTTATTCCCAGAAACGGCACAACAAAACGATAAAGCAAAGACGACGCCGTTTTGAAATAAAAGTCACAGACGACGCCGTTTGAGAATGTACAGACGATGACGTTTGAAGAAGGTGGAGACGATGCCGTTTGAGGAATGTTGATACGCCGTCGTTTATGAATGTTGATACGATTTCCAAGTCGATGCGACGTCGTTTGAAGAGAAAGTTGATACGGCCTCGTTTAAGTGAGGAAAGTTTATTAAAAGGTAGACGAACCCGTTTAAGGGAAACATAATACGACGCCGTTTAAAGTTAACACGAAGACGACGTCGTTGAATGTTGTAAAGACGACACCGTTTAACGCAAATTCAGATACGGCGCCGTTTAGTAACGAAACATGACGTCGCCATTCAATGTTCACATTTCCACTTTTTCCGGCATCGTTCAAGGTTCACATTTTTTTTTTTTTTTTTGTGAATACGTTCAACGTTTACATATGAAAGCAAAACTAGCAACAACAATCTAAGAGTTTCCGAAATTATCTCTGCTTAATCTCCTCCGGATTATCTTGTTCTATCATCATTCATCAATAATAAACAAGTTTTTCATCATTCATCAATAATAAACAAGTTTTTCGGAGAGAAAAACAAACAAACCAAGGCTACAAAGATTCTGCAAAAAAAGATCTATGTTCCAAAGTCACAGAACTTGTTGTTTTGTTGGTGTGAAGCACTCTTGCAAGAAGTTTTGAAGCTGTGAGGAATACATGTCAGGAAAATTCCGGTAATGATCGACATGAGGAGAGAACTTGAAATTGAAAGAATGTATGTTTCTTCCCATCTTCTGTTGTTCTCGGATGCGGAGCTCAACGGATTGAGACGGAACAACTTTGTCCCCTGAGCTGTAAAGATAGAGCTGAGGACATGGAGGATGGTTCTCATATAGTTTTTGGATGATTTTCGTTAGCCTCCTGCAATAGACACAATAACTCAGATTAATCAACCTAAAATACAAACAAGAAGCAGATGGGCTGTCTACTGTGTAGTGTGAAGCTTACGTATTGACATCCGGGAGGTTTAAGAAGATGGGGAAGAGTTTCTCTAGAGATGATAGCATCATGTCTTCGATTCCTAAAGGTTCCTTCTTTTGTGGTGTTGAGGCATCGTCTTCGCTTATGGGACTGTTTGGTTCTGTGGTTATGGTGGAGCTCCGCTTCTTCAGTATAGCAGCAGTAAACCCGGCTGCCCAAATCTGCAAAAGAGCATAATTCAATTGTTGCTCTCTAGTCTATACGTATACTCATTGCTAATCTGTGCAAGATGAAATGATAATAATGTCGACTAGGACTACACAATGACTACACGAAACAATTCAATAAAAGGGACTTCAGAACAAACTCTACCCTGTACTACGAAGGCGAAGCTCATTTTATCTTGTTCACATGCTTAAGACATCATATCTTGCAAGAGAACAAGTTTGCATTCACAAGATATATAGGCCGATGTACCATAAACCTGTTAATGATGGCCACATAACCAAAAGAAATCAGCGGTTTTAACTCATAGCTATTGTATTTTCTAAGAACTGAATTATCTATCTACAAAGCTAATTGCTTAGGTATCAAAATCAAAATTCCCCTAGCCATGGTTCAGTAAATGCTTGTATCAATACAGAAATCTTCAACATACAACTCAAACTAGCAACGGTTTCACAATAGCTCAAAAAAGAAATTTCCTTTTCTCTCCAGTAAACAAAAAACCTACAACTACAACAATATTGGCCTTTCCACTTCCAATACAAGACACAAAAGCACTGGATGAATCATGCAAAACACATCCTTAAAAGGTTTCATAAAAGAGAGTAACATTTTAAAAGAACAAACCTTAGTATCTAGAGGATCTGCTCCTCCCGAGTCGATGATACAACCTTTAATCTTTTCTACTAAATCTTGTCTACCAACAAAGCTCTCTAGCAATGCACCATAGCTGCAAAGAGTAAAAGACTCACCAAGCTTAAAAATTCAACACATTCATCATCTAATTCAATTACACTCAACACTAAATTCATCATCATTGTTAATAATGAGATCAGAATCACAAGGATTAGTTTCATCAACCTACACAAGCCAACCAGTGTTACTGAAACTGTGAAACACCAAACATTTCTCTCTACCATCATCTTCTTTCTCCGATACCCAATTGACCAATTCATTACCAAATTCAGCTATCCTTCGTTCAAGCCTCCGACCAAGATCTAACCGGAGCAAATCCCTAACGTCGACGGTGAAAGTAACAGCGTTAATTCCCCTGGAATTATACCACTCAACGTATCTCCTAAGATGTTTCGCTTTCGCTCCTAACCAACCGAGAAGAACCACCGTCGTCTCTTTCTCCTTCCCGCCGAATATCGCCGCGTTTCCTCCTCCGTTCACACTCCGTGGAGCTCTATTCCAGACAGCGACGCCATCGTTAGGTTCGGATCGGAATGGATTGGCGTGAACGGCGGTGTTCTCGAAACGAAACGTTGACGTTAGGAAGAAGAGTGATTTGAAGAGATTCGAATTGGGTGGAAGCGAAGAGCATCGTATACGAAAGGCGGAGATAGAGGATTCTCTGGAAACGGCATTGTGTAGTAGCTGATTTGTGAAATTGATCGTACGGGGATCTGATTTTAGGTTGAGCTTACTGAGAAGAAGACGACGATTGATAGCTGAAGAAGTAGTGAAGATTCTTGTAGTTGCTTCCATGGCGGATTTTGGATGATTTCGGAGAAACCAAAAGGTTCTTCTCGTAAAATCGCTTCGACTCGCACCAGAAGAATGGAACCACTGATGAACACTCTGTCTGACTCGCAACAAATAAAAATAGAAAATGATATAATATTTATACTTTATAGGAAAGTGAACACTCTGTCTGAATCAGCAGGTTTCCCTTATGCCTTGAGACTTTTTGCTATCTTTTATGCTTGATGCTTCTTTATGTTCACTTTTCAATGGAGCTAATTCAATCTCTCTTCGACTTTTGAAATGTTGCATTTTGGTTTATACCATCTTTTTCACGCATCAAACTTGGATCAAAGTACAACATATCTGAGTTGGTAGAAAATCTGTGGTTTTACGCCCTGCTCTTCGTCGGATTCCTAAGGAGGTTTCGACAGGTCAAGTTGTTGTAATTGAACCAGATTTGAACTCCAAGGACTCAAGTTTCTTGTTCTTGCAAGCTGAGCAACCTTCTCGGAAGGAAACTATCTTAAAGAGTCACTCAATGCTAGATCATTCACTATATTTTGTTGTTGTTGTTGCAAATGTAATTGTGCATATAAATGTTTGTCGAACCGATATTTAAACCAACCGAAGACCCATAAATGCTAGAGAAGTATACTAGCCTAGGAAGTCAAGTACACTCGAGTCTACACAGTTTTCCGAGTATGATGACCAATCTGCATTTGGACCAGTGCAAAGTACTGGAAGCTGTCAACACAGCTTTGTGTGATTAGTTGTGTCCACAGTAGTATCCAAGTCCTGGAATTGTAAAGAATACTTTTTCTCCTACCTGTGAATCCCAAATTCATTTAAACGTATAATTGTAGATACTCTGTTACACATTACAATGAAAAACCAGAAAATGCAGGAGATTACTCAAAACATAAGAGATATTTCTTAGTTCTGTTACGCTTCAAGAACTTTTGTTTTCCTATTCCACTAGCATGACTATAGTACAATTTACTTGATATTCTTCTCTTCTTAGTTTGTATCCTTTCGTCCTTCGCCTATCACCACGTAGAGATCAGTACCTGATCTACGATTCACATCTAATCCTGTTTTTCATTTCCCTGAGATGAATTGCTGCTACTGGGCCTATCATTTTCACCATCATCCCTCTGTCAAAAACATCAGTACAATCTATGTTCAGCACCCTTAACTTCCTAAAGCAGAGATTCAAGACTATACAAAAAGAAATCGAATACAAATCACTCCTGTGCACGATTTACCTTGAGTCTTAAAAAGGTCAGGACACCATGAACAAGTAACTTGAGCAGCTTTACAGGCTTTCTTACATCGAAAGGAAAGTATCGATACTTGAACATGTGCACGATTAAGCGTTTCATAGTGAGAGAATACAGAACCAACCAGTAACACAACAAGATCGGCCAGAACACAGGCACATCCAAGAAGGAGAAGAAAGTCATCACAAATGCAACAACAAACGCCTTAGTTGCTGCATACCTGAATCAATCAAGAATAGCAAAAAAACAAAACTTTCATGAGAATTCAAACCCTAAACCAGATCATCAGATTGGCAAAAATAGAAACTTTAATGAGAAATCAAAACCTAAATCAGATCTTACACGAACTCACTAACATATCAATCATCAATCAAATTGTAAATTTCCCAGAACTTGAACAAGAATGGTAAAAACACAAACTTTTCGTCAAACCCTAAATCAAAATCATCCATCATCAAAAGTAAAGGAGAAACTTTACCAGAACTTGAACTCAGGAAGACGACGAACAAAGGGCTTATACTCATCAGACTCATCAACAGGTAAAGAATCAGGATCCAAAGCTTCAAGCTCAGGATCAACTTTAGGAGAGAGGAAACCAATCAAGAGGTTTAAGATATAAGTAGCTAAGCCATAAGAGATAACGAAGTATCCATAAACAGAGTAAACCCTATAGATATAGATCACAGCAGCGACTAAAGTCACAAGCCATCTTCGAACAATGTTAGGAGCAGATCTGTCTAAGTAATTCTGAAATGATCTCGAGAATTCGATTCTCCATTTCGCAAGTGGTGAAGCAACTATGGTGTCTCCTTCATTTTCGCTTCCTGGTTCGTCTTCCATGGAAAATTGTACACAAAATCTGATTTTACGGGCAACAAACCCTAACACAATCACTGATCACTGAATCGACTAAAAAGGAAAGTTCCCAAGAGATATTCGACACAATTTAGGATGATTTTGAAACAATGAAACTGAAATTTTCTCAGTTTCGTCTGAATTTTTCTTAGTCGTATAAAGTCGTTTGCTTGGTATTTCTGGAAAGAAGAAGAAAACTGAATGACGCGACACGTGTCACGATTTGAGATGCTCTCCGGGAAATGAAAAAGGCTTTATACTTAAGATGTTTTTTGGCCCATTACCTTCGACAATCGGTGGGAAAAAATATGGGAATTTGGTCAAAAATGCCACTTTGACCAAAAAAACTTATAAGAAATACCATAAAAAAAGTTTCTTTTTGAAATTGCCACAATTTTGAATTATTGTGATTTGGACTGACGAAATTACCCTTATGCTAAACAAGTGGGAAAATGATAGATAAAAATTGTTATTCGAAAATTGTTGTCTATTAACCAAATTGGTAGACAAGATTTCGAATCAAGATTTTAAAAAAAAGTTGAAGAATAAGAATTGTTGTCCACGTTTAATGCTACATATTTCACAAAAAATTGGTGGACAAGAATATTCAAGTTCGTGTCCACATTGAAACATTGAAATCAACAGATTTCAAAACCATATATCCATACAAAATTCACTTAATCAACATATTTTTTAAAAAAAATTGAGTCATTGAACTTACAAGATAACAAATGTTGCCGAAAATTCCTGAAAAAATATTGTATATAATAGTTTGTATACCTAAATTAAAACAAATTAGACATAAAATTAAAGTTGTCCACTGAATGTTACAGTTGTCCGTTAATGCTTCAAGTTGTCTACGAAATTAAAATCTGGTCTGTTTTCAATGAATCTATCGAGACTCGAGACGATTAGCATAATGGTGAATTGTTTATTCCCAGCGAGATTCTTGACGGTGGCGTGTGAAGAGCGATTGGATCTATGTGAACATGTGGAGTTCGAATTCAAGATCTAGATCTTTCTCAAAATTGAGAAGAAAGAGAGAGAATTGCTTTGCTTTTTTTTCATTGCTTTGTGAGAAGAGGTTTTGAATCGGTGAAAAGATTGATAAAGCGGAAGAGAGTGATTAGATTCGAGAAAGTAAAGCCATTGTTGTTATAAATGTTGAAGAACACAAAAACTGTGAAATAAAGAAGATGAAGATTGAAGAATTTTTGAAGAAATGGGAGAGAATTTGGTTGAGGGGTAAATTGGTCATTTTAGTTGGGGTATGACAATCTTAGAAAAGCAGAAACATTTGTGGCAATTTTGCTAAGTTTTTGAACATTGTATGGTACATTTGTTAAATTTCTCAAAAAAATATCTTGAATTTTCTTTTTTGACATGAAACTTTTTTTTTGTTTTTTGAAATTGAGACTATGGAATTTTCATTTTGGTAGTGGTCCATTCGATATAAGGCCCGACCAAACCTTGAAAGAATCCAAAACCGAATATTTTTCGTTTTTTCTGGGACCTTAAACCTAATTTTATCTTTACTTTTTGGATTGTATCGACCTATCATCTACATTTGATTCTAGACTTCTAGTTCTAATTGCTAGTAACCAAAAAAACAACTATTCACAATGACAGTTTTTGTTGTTAGCCATAGCCCACTACTGAAAGATAATAGTTTTTCCCCATTTCAATATTAGAAAAATATACTTAATAAAGAAGAAAAATACCAAAAGAAGTGGGTTTGTTGCTAGTTGCTACTAGAATCTGGAGATCAGCTTTTGTTTGTCCATATACATCGACAATATATCATATATGCAACAATTTTTTTTTTTGTTGTTGTTGCCTAACATTTTCTTCTTCTTCTTCTCTACCTTGACTTGAACAGTGTATTCAGGCAGTTTATTATCATTCATATACGTTCTCCAATAGGATCCCGATTTAAGAAAAAAAAAATTAAAATTAAAACTAAAATTTACATATAAATTAAAATTTGACATTTCCGTATTAATTAAAATCTGTAAGTTTTATAAGAAAGTTAACATATCAACTATATTATTTAATAAACAAATTTGTAGAAAACATAATTAGTTTGGGATCCTTGGTAACCATTTACATATAACAAAACGAATATTCTAGTCATCCCACTAGAATAAACAAACTTTGATGACAAAGATCTCTCTAGTATCATTCTTATGCATAGAAGAATGAGTGATTTGAACCAAAAAACAACAAAAGAAAGAAGAAGAATGAGTGATACAAATTTCTCTCTTTATCTTATAAAAATAGAGAAATTCTTGCCAAAAACAGAAAAATATAAAATAAGGAATTAACTAAAGGAAAGAGCCTAATTTTCAGGACACGCGTCACATAACAATTTGTCAGTCGGATACTTTTTTGGTACATTAGTGTCGTCTCTTTTTCTTTTCCTTCAATTAAAAGGTACACACACACAAAAAGGCCTAATTATTTTTTTAAGAAAGACATTAAAAGCCCGAAAACCCATGACCGTCAGATCCATTAACCTTTTCAAATTCAACGGACACGATTCATCGTACAATTGACGATGAACAATAACCAATGAATTGATGACGTCATCGTCTTCTTCCTTCTCCAACGTCCCATAAAGAAGCGCCACTCACAGTCACACGAATACTGTACTGTAACTGCAAAATCTTTTGTTGTTTTCTTGAAACGAAGAGAGAGGAAGAAAAAAAACGTTACCGATTCTCTTCTTCGGTTTCGCGATTGAAGTATCTGTAAGATCATCTTCTCTCTCGTTTCTTTCTTTCGAAACCCGTCGATTAGGTCATTTTTGTTTATCTTCTCCTGTTAATGGTGCTTGATTTTGATCTCTGCTTGTTGAATCGGAGCGGTTTCGTTTTGATTTTGCGTTTCTTTTTTCTTCTTGGTTTTGGTTTCGTTTTGAGCGCCGAGACTTTGGATTGTTCTTCGCAGATGATCGATTCGTCGATTAACTTTGATTTGTTTGGATGAGTTCTATTTTTCAATTCTATTTCAGTTTTCCGATTATTAGAGTAGTTGGTGATTTGAGTGTTTGATTTGTATTTACATGAAATCGATGATGGATCTATGTTCTTCGTATATCTCTGATACATTTAGCCTCTCACGTTGTTTGATTGTTGCCTAAGATGATACGGAGTTGCATTAGAACTGTGAACTATAGATTGGTATGTGTGATTCTGCGTTGAACGTTGAAGGATTTGTTCTTTTTATCCTTCTGGTGGTTATTGTATGAATTGGTTTTGAGTTTGATATATGATTGAATGACTTTCCTTTTGTTTGCAAGTCATTCGATATGGCTGAGAAAAACGATGAAGGAAACGCCAAGGGCTATGCTTTCCCTCTCAGGAACCCTAATGTTGTCCTGAACGACAGAAACTTTGCAGCCTTCACTCACAGATCAGCTGCTGCTCATCCTTGGCATGACTTGGAGATTGGTACGCTAATCTCATTATATATGCAATTTCTTCCTAACTGATTCATATAACTGGCATGTATTCTTGTTCTTGTTACTTTAAAATGGCCATTCATGTTGCTGCAATGAGGGCAAACGTTCATTCTTTGATGTAAGTGTTTGTTTGTTGAATCTTTCAGGTCCGGAAGCTCCTGCTGTTTTCAACTGTGTAAAGCTTTATCTCCTTTTGGCATTGCGGAAGATTAGATCATTTCAAGAAAGTTAGTGCTGGGTCCTGTGATTGTTAAACGAGCTTGAATTCTTTGTCAGGTTGTTGAAATTAGCAAAGGTGGAAAGGTTAAGTACGAGCTAGACAAGAACAGTGGCCTTATTAAGGTACAGTGTTCTTTGCAGTCACTGCTTGCATCATATATGCTTGATTGAGTTTAACCAGTCTTCCGATCCCTCAAATTCTTGTTTGATTATGTGGTTATATGCATCATTGCATATATGCAGAATTCTTTGTTTCTGGATGTATCATAAGTCACATTTTATGCATTGCAACTCTGATCACTGAAAGTTTTTCCTCTTTAGGTTGATCGCGTTCTCTACTCATCCATTGTGTACCCACACAACTACGGTTTCATTCCTCGAACTATCTGTGAAGACAGTGATCCAATCGATGTCCTGGTACTGATGCAGGTGCTTTCTCTCGCCTCTTCTTCGCTTTCATGTTCATACAAACTTGATATAAGCAGGCAGTGAAATAACAGACTTGAGATAATTATTGTGCAGGAGCCTGTGCTAACCGGATCATTCCTCCGTGCCCGTGCTATTGGTCTGATGCCCATGATTGATCAGGTAACAACAACCCTTAAACCCAATTCTACCTCTCTGCCATGTATAACCTTACCATGAATCACCTTGTTCTGAAACTTGCAGGGTGAAAAAGACGACAAGATCATTGCAGTATGTGCTGATGATCCCGAGTTCCGTCACTACAGAGACATCAAAGAGCTTCCCCCTCACCGTCTAGCTGAAATCCGTCGCTTCTTTGAGGACTGTATCCTACAGAGACATACTGCATTTAACGTATAGTTTTGTTTGGCTTATGCTTTTTCTTCAGTTTTCACTTAACAAACAATGTTTAGACAAGAAGAACGAGAACAAGAAAGTCGACGTTGAAGGTTTCCTTCCCGCTCAAGCTGCCATAGACGCAATTAAGGACTCCATGTAAGTTTGTTTTTATCCCAAACACAAAAGTATTTACACGTTTACTTTGTTAATAACGAGCAATGTACTGTTTTGAAACGCAGGGATCTTTACGCAGCTTACATCAAAGCTGGCCTGCAACGCTAATGAAGAAACCAGTCCTGCCCATTCCTCCCTGTTTGCTTTAACATCACTATCACTGAAGCCGGCTTCTATAGTACATGCATGTTAGAAAAAGTTTCACTTGGTGCATTTTCGTAATGCACATCAGAAAACATTGTCAAACTTGAACCTTTCTGATGATGATGAAAAATTCCAGTACAATCATCAAATTTGGAATATTAGCTTTTTCTTTTCCCCAAAATTTTGTTTAATGTTGATTGCAAACATCCAAAAAAGTAATCTCGTACAAACTGAAGAAGATACAAAAGACTTAAGCTACTCGGGGCTTCTTCTTCTTGGTCTTCTTGTAAGTCTTATGCCAGGTCTTGTAAGTGCCCTTCGTCTTCTTAGAGTTCTTATTAGATGTCTTTGTCTCAGGATCTGTAATTTCGTCTGCTGCATCATCTTCATCTTTGTCTCCTCCAATATCAAACAGATCATCTTCTTCTTCTTCATCAGAACTCAACACAAAATCTTCCACAACATCATCTTCTCCTAAGCCTTGCTCGTCCTGCTTCTTCTCTGTTTTACTCTTACCACCTCTCTTCCTTTTCTTCTTTTTCGTCTGCTCTTCCTCCGGCTCCTTTTCTCTGTTAATTACACATTTGCTTTAGGTTATATCACAACGGTCAGATAAATAAAGTATTGGCATTATAGCCGTAGGAGACAACCAGTTCACTCCTATCTAGATTCCCCAAGTTAATCGAGCCACCCGTAACTATCCAAAGTACTTAAAACCATAGACCCAATCTTAATATGGATGTATTTGGGGGATTGATTTTGCACGAACAACCCCTACTCACACCATGATCTACCACACCAAACCAGTGATTTACCATATGAAACCCTGATGTGTGGATTTCAAGAGAAAGAAAGACATACTTGGAGTCACTTCCGGGTAGCCAGGAAGAATTGAAAGCTGCAGCACCCTTTTCAATCCTATCTGCATCATCTTCATCATCACTGCTTGGTGCGTTTTTCCCAAAGACAGCCGAGTTCTCTCCCACAATAACACTGGAGAAACCAAACAGATTATCAGTACCAGTCAAAGTCATTAAAAAATTTATATACAAGTGATCAACTTTAGAGGAATGTAACGCACTCTGATTCCACCAGCGATTCGTTTCTTTGCTGGGCTCTTTGGCGGATAATTTCCACGTATTGCAATAGAGGGCTTTTTCCTGCCTTCTTCTCATCCTGAGTAAGATAAGACCCAAAAATCATTCAAAACAACGTACTATAAGAGAAACCATGTTTCTATGCTTTGCAATGATTTTGGATTAATCATGTGCTCTGTAACCCTAAACAAGGATTGCAGCAGGAGTTCACAGATTCATGAAAAAAAAACAAATATAGATTTTGTATTATTATAACTAACAATAGAAAAATTCAAATAAATCAAGAGAAATGAGTTACTAAACCTCAAGGAATGATTCAGCAGCAAGATCATTGGGTAGAAACTTAATCGAAGCTCTCTTTTTGTTGACAAACTCTGAGTTAGCTTCAATCTGAAAAGCAAAGAAAAAGAAAATAAGCGATAGAGATTGAAGGAGCATCAACACACAAGTCAATATAGCCAGTTCTTTTATTGCAAGGACAAAATACATCTGAGTAAAAGCCCATTTCACGTTTTCTAAGGTACCTGGCTAATGAGTTGCTTCATTTCTTTCCTAAACCTCTCAGCTTTGGTGGATTTGAAAAAGCTACGCAGCCTTATGGTCGGGATAAATGATAGTTCAAAGAAAGCGACGGAACAACTCCACTGAGACAAATGCTCCACAAGCTCCTCCACTACAGAATAAACACATGCCTCCTGAAACGCTCTTGTCTTCACTGCTGGTTTACTTACCTAAAAAGAGATTTCAATATCCAAAATGATTAGTTTGCATGATAAAATTTCATTCTAGTCTTTTTACTTAAGACCCAACCAAGTAAATTTTTACCTTCAGTAGTGTGCGTAAGTCTACACCTTTGCCAACACCTCCAGTGGGAGGTCTATTGAGCTCCTTCATCTCTAACATGTCCACGAGAAGCATTGAGACAGGTATAAAGGTACCGGTCGAAGCAGCAATCCGGTTTAGCATACGAACACATCTTATTCTAAGGGGAGTGTAGCGAGCAGTGGGAACAAGTCGTGCTACACCAGTAATTATTTGAGCTAGCGGATAAGCAACTGGTCTGAGTTCAGACTGAGAGCTGTAGGCACAAACAGCTCCAGTCCAAAGCTCAAGGCAATGGATGAATTTCCATTGATACACTTTCCGAAATGCTTCCTGTAAAAACAACCAAATGTAAATAAGAGTTAACAACTTTTCTCAACGCATAACTATTGGCAGAAGAACTCAATTCCTGAATATTAGTGAGAACATACTTTTGTTTTTGTGTTGAGCGCTTCACGCAGAATCATTGCCAATTGCCTTATGAAGACAAATGCGTGCTGATATGCTGCAGAGATATCTGTGCCGAGAAGCTCAATGAAGCAATTACCAAGAAACGAAATATGCTGCAATTTATCAGCATTCACAAACTGGCAATTCAACACATAAGCTTTGTACATTCCCTTGAAACAGTCATCCACACAGTCAGATCCAAGACGTATGCACAAATCTCTCAGGAACAACAAGGAAACAACAGAGAGCTTGCCACTACCAGTTCCCCAGAAATGAAGTGCAACCTAGTTGGAAGAAGAGCAGCAATGACGTGAGCAAAGAAAGGACCATAAAGAAGAAACATGAACAAAATACTATTTTGCTCCAACACACCTTAATATATTTCCTTAGGAGGCTAGGAAAAGCAGCTAGAAAAACCGATGAGTGCTTTAGGCGGCGCAGAGTATAGGTTATCATTTCTGTGTCGGTCATCTGGTTCAGAACATGAAGGGAATTCCCGAGATATGATTTGACTAAATGATTATAGTTTTTCCAAGGCCTGGTGTTCATCAGGTCCAATATAGTCTCTTTTGTTCCTCTAGTATCTTCAGGAAACCTTAACAACTTACGAAGAATCCCGTCCATTTCACTCAGAACATATGACATTATCTTATTAAACACCTCGCTTGACATAACGCTAAACTTTGTCGATTGATCGTCCCCGGTATCATCACCATAGTGACATGCAGTTCTATAAGCTCTCAAGATAGAACGCACTGCACCTAGCTTCGCGTCAACTTCGATTGATTTACTCCATGAATTAACCATCGATGCTGTAATCGTTTTCTGCTCGGTCACTTTCTTTGCAGTTTCCATCTTTGTTGCTTCATCATCACCTTCCATTTCAGTGTCTTCCAAGTCAGTATCAGGTTCAACATCAGCATCATCCTACAAAATGTGAATCGTTAAGCCAAAAGCTCCGAACACAATTGGCATCGAGTCACAAACTCATCATATACAATCTACAAACTCACCTCAATTTCAGTAGCATCAAACTTTAGAAGCTCTGCATCATGCTCTTTCATATACTGATAAAAATCAGCGTCCTGCGGAACAAAATCATCCGTAAAAGTCATTAAAAACTCAAATTTTCCATTCATATATCATTCCAATAACACAAAACATGTTACAAAGATGACTCACTTTTTCTTGAAGCCTCTTAAGCTGTTCTTCATGCTCCTCAGCTTCTGCTTTCGTAGATTTCACCTTCTTCCCACGCTTCTTATCGGTCTTCTGATCCGTAACTATATCATCTTCAACACTCATGAGCTGTTCCTCATGCTCCTCATCAGCTTCTACTTTCTTAGATTTCAACTTCTTCACACGCTTTTTATCATCTACATTAGATTAAAGGGTTTATCAATCTCAAATCATATTAAGCTCCAATCACAAATATATATCCAAAATTGAATAAAAATCGAACCTTTGGCACCCATTTGTTAGCACAACACTCTGATAAATCAACCTGCAATCAGAACCATCAATGATAACAAGAACAAATCAGTTTAGAGTCGAGCTAAAAGACAGTGTAAGAATTATCAATTCAGAGAGAGAATCACCAAACAACGAAAGCAAGAAGAAAGAAATCGCACCGGGAACAACAAGAAGGAAGACGGAGAGAAGAAGAAATTAGGGTTTAGGAGAGGGTTTTTATTACAGTGTGTGTTCCTTTGTTTTTTCTTCAATTTATTAAACCGGACAAAAACCGGTTTGATTTCGGTTGAACCGAAATTCGAATTGTTCTAATTTCCCAGAACAGAGGAAAAAACAGAGTTCCCAAATTTGAGAAAACAGAGAGACACGTTAACGAGAGATTTACCTACGATTCCCAGAAAAAAAACTCGACGACAAAAGAAGAAGATGTTGGCGTGGTCGACGATACTGCTGTCTCAAGTGTGTTGTTTTAGGGTTTATCTTTTGTGAGCTTCGAACCCTCTTTGTGAGGAAAAGGTTTTAATTTAAGTTTGACACGCCTACCAATCGGTTTAACCAAAAATCCAATTTGTGAGTGTTTAACCGATTTATTTAGGCTTTAACCGGTCATGTGGTCTTAAAAATTATACATCGATGTCAAACAAAATCTAAACCTCATCTGGGCCAAACTTATCTTATGCAAGACATTTCACACTCCCTTGTATATTTTAATCTTTAAGCTTTTTTTGGTTTAGTTAAAAAATATTAATTATTCGTTTCTATATGCCTAAGAAATAAACAAAATCTGAAAAGTGCTTTAGTAAGAAAAGTAAGAAATCATGTCATAATTTTGAGGTTAAATTTAACCATATACAATACAGTATATTATGCAAAGAATTAGATGATTATTTACGGAAAACTGACTCGTGGTTTCGAGGTTAAAAGATTCACTATGTTAGTTGAGAGACTAAAATCTGAGTCTTTCTACTAGATTTTGCCAATGAACAGTTGAAGCTATTTTTATTTAATGGCAATATACTCGGTTTTTCACAGGTTCAAAAAATTAGTAGTATCGATTTCGATCTAGGGTTTTTTTAGTGTACAAAAAAGCGAAACAAAATATTGGGATATTATTTTTCAAACTTTGATCAGTTTTTGCAGAATTTATATTATTTTCTTCAATGAAAATTGAAGCTATTTCTAAATTTTTGTGTATCATCTTTACGCACGAATTTCATATATTTTAAATTTTATCGGTCAAAAGACAAGTTCTCTAGTTATCACTTAGCAGCTTCCAAGTTCCAACGACTTGAAAAGCAAAGTGATGCTTTGACTGATTTGAATATGCAAAAGATTGGTCCATGCACATATATATCTTTTAAATTTAACCAAATTCTTTTTGTGTTATTCAGAGAGTTGCAGCTGTTCATGAATTATAATCATTTGGTTACGTGATGGACTAATATATAAACCGATGGACTAATATATAAACCGATGGACCATGTGCTTGTGGTCACATACATAATAAGTCTGTGTTTATTCTATTGTTAACACAACGTTTATCATGCAATGCAAGTCCTAGTCTATGTTTAGTTTATTAACGGAAGATAAAATATATTATTGCTAATTTAGAAAAGAGGATACGACCGACGAAGTTTGAATTTTCCAAATTGGCAACCTAACTTAAATAATGCAAAATCATTATACCTACAATTTTTATATTATCAACAAAACCATATAAAGACTTTCCATCGAAAAAACTATATAAAGACAATCAAATACTCTCTCTTCACAATAACCACAAACAAAACAACAACACTTCTCTTGACGTCTATCTCTTTTTCATCATCACCATTACCTTCTTAACTACTCTCTTCCAAGAAATTTAAACCCTAATCTTCAACTAATCCAGAAATGCAAATGCTAAGAACCCTAAGCACGAGGACAAGGAGCCGTCGCAGCGGATACGAGCGTGTAAGTGATGATTCCACCTTTAGCTTAATCGGAGCCAAGCTAAGGAGGTCAACTAGCGTTCCGTATTATGCTCCATCGATAAGGCTTGGTGGAGACTTTCCTGCGATTTTGGAAAAGCTTCCACGCCAAAAACCAACTAAGACAGTGGTGACAAGCAAATTGAGCCATCCAATCTTCAGTTTATTTGATGGTTATCGCCGCCGTAGCAAAAAGAAAGCGACGGCTAAACCGGAGTTCTCTAGGTACCATGAATACCTTAAAGAAAGTGGAATGTGGGATTTGAGATCTAATACTCCGGTCATCTACTTTCAGTAGATATATATATGTTATAATTTGTGTTCATTTATTATATTATTTGTGACAATCTTAGTGATATGATTGAGCGATCTATAAGAGCTATCTTCAGTTTTTATTTTTCTCCCCTTGTAAATATACTTTTAATTGATCTATAAATTTAAAATTTCAAAATGAAATATTGGTTACATAACTAATTTGTTTGTGGAAGCCCCCTTGGCCCATTGGTTGACCAAGGGTTAATTAATGCTTTTACACCCAGAGGTCTGGGGTTCGAGTCCCAGATAATGCGATTTATTAATAAATTTGCTAGATTATTGGAGGCAAGTGTGCATGAGATCTCCAGCGATGTACAATTATAGCCGTTCGCCAGGATTCTACGCAGAAAGAGAAGTGTCCATCAAGAGCATGAAGAAGGAGGTGAAGGAGGTGAGCATGAAGAATGAGGTGAAGGAAGTGTCGTCTGTCGTGAATCTAATAAGGGTCGGAAGGAATTGTCCGTTGTAGAATCGTCTATGTAACAGTTCTCATAATTTGCAATAAAATAATAAAGTTTGTTTATAATGTCGCTCAGACCTGGTGAAGATGGTGTCTTCCCCGACGGAGTGGCCAGCTTTTTCTACCTATCTAGAGGCTATTCAGAGCGACAAGGATGAGTTTGATTTTTTCTCTTTATCTTTGATTTCTCGACGTGCAAATTCAAAAGCGGATAATCTGGCACGAAATGTTCGTACACAACCGCATCTAATTACCTATGTAAACAATATCCCCCAAAATTGGCTTGTATAAGCTAATCTAATAAAGTTGTTGACAAAAAAAAAAAAAAAAAAAATCTTGAGCTTACAATTGCATATCTCTACCCAAAGTAAATGATAATAATTGTGCAATCTAATGCTATCAATTTGGTGCCATCATATTATGTTCGAGAGAAAAAATACGGGTTATAATATGATTGAGTTTATAGTGTGGGGAACTAATTAATTCTTATTTCTTCTTCTTCTTTTTTTTTTTTTGTAATTATAGATTATAGTTTTTACATACACTTTTTTCACAAGCAGATCTGGCAGTACAAATGCGGATCAAGCGGTTCAAACGCTTTAAAATATGTGTTGAATGGTGAAAGTGGATCAGGCAGTACGGATGAAGGATTTATATTGTAAAAAATGTTAATTTTAAATAAAATATTTTACATAAACTATACATAAAAAATAGTTATATTAAAATAAATGTACAATATTAGTTTAAATTTTAATTATAATATTGCCATTATTTATGTAACAAAAATTTTAATTTTAAATAAAATGTCTTATATATAGAATACATGCTTTAAAAATTTATATTAAATTAAAAATTATTTTAATAATTTACCATATTTTTGAACATGTATTTTTACAATTAAGTGTACAAATATTTATATAATGGTATTACTATTAATATTTTTTATATTCAAATAATAACATAAGAAAACAAATTTTCTATGATTTTGAATCCAAAATATTGTGTAAGTCATATATAGAAAACAAATAATAGGACAATATGATTATTTATTACATATATAATTTAACAAGTATATTTTGGGTTATGTGATAATAATTAGGATATAAACATAAATTATAAAATATTTAAAACAATTTTTTTTTCTCTTAAAAGTAAATTAAAAACTTGCAAACCACCCTTGTACACACCAAAAATATGGTGTATCTACTGTTATAGACGGCTCAAAATTTTAAGACATGATTTTGATCCACTAGTGGAAGAACCACTTTTTTTATTATATTTTATTATGATACAAATGCATTGTCTTATAATTGCTGAATGGGGAAGAAAAAGTGTTTCGCACACCTTAATGGACCGTTCACCATTTATCTGCCGTTCCATTCAAGCCCTCTATATAGTACTTAGCAACCTCCACGATTTGAAACTAAACTCAAGATTTGACTGATTTGAATATGCAAGAGTCCACATATATCATGTGTCAAGATTCATGTTTTGCTTAGAGTTGACTGACAATCATTTGGTTATACATGATATACTACTATATAAACACATCAACCATGTGCTTTTTGGGCCATATTTTTGTTTATTGACTATAACTACAGGTTGTGTAACGTAATAATTTGTTTTTTTTGGTCAACAGTCTTGTGTTATTTTATTGTTAACACAACGTTTATCATGTAACTAAATGAAAGTCTTAGTCTTTGTTAATTTTTTTAAAACGGGACGAAAGAATATATAAAACTAATGAGAAAAGAGGATACGACCAACGAAGTTTGAATTTTCCATAGCGGCAACTTAACTTAAATAATGCGCAATATATTAACAAAAACAAAAACTATATTAAGACAATCGAATACTCTCTCTTTACAATAACCACAAACAACAACACTTCTCTTTGCGATATCTTTCGCATCATCAGCATTAATTACCTTCTTAATTAACTCCTCTCTTCCAAGAAAATTTCTCTTGGGTTATTGTTCTTTTTGTTGGTGATCAAAGTTGGAAATTAAGGAGGTCAACGAGCGTTCCATACTATGCTCCATCGATAAGGCTTGGTGGAGACTTTCCTGCGATTTTGGAAATGCTTCCACGCCAAAAACCAAATAAGACAGTGGAGACAAGCAAATTGAACTATCCAATCTTTAGTTTATTTGATGGTTATCGCCGCCACAGCAAGAAGAAAGCAACGGCTAAACCAGAGTTCTCTAGATACATGAATACCTTAAAGAAAGTGGGATGTAGGATTTAAGATCTAATACTCCTAGCCTGTTATCTACTTTAAGTAGATGTATAGATATATGTTATGAATTGTGTTCATTAACTATTAATTTTGTTTGTAAAAATCTTCTTGATATGATTGCTATAATTAAGAATTTTTATGTAACTAGACCAATATAGTAGGGATTTTTGTGTCTATAGTTTTTTTTTTTTAAAACAATTTACATCGATTGAATTAACTTGATGAAATAATGTTTCTGTTTCTAAAAAAGTTATTTTGATGTATTTTTCTAATTTTCGAGTAAACAATGCATCTCGGTCTACATCCATAATCTATTATTTATAACAATATACATCGATTGAATTAACATGATGAACTAATCATTTCACTGTTTTATTTTATTTTAATCATTTTGATAGATTTTTCTAATTTCTTAGTAAACAATTCATCTCATTTTTTTATTATTTATAGGTATATTATTTAACGCTTATTTACAATTATTTATATCATAAACAATATCTATTTTTCTTGTTTAAAAAAAATAAATAGACAGAAAACTATGATTATTTGGTATCTCATATTTAATTTGCCATAAAATGAACTGTAAATTTATCTAATATTCATTAAAAATAATCCTATACATATAGTATATGGAAATATATATAATAAATTATAATATCATATTATATAATGTTTATACTTTAATGTAATATAAAAATTCACTTAAAAAAGAAATAAAATAATAACCGATAACATTAATTAGAGTGTCTTTTCTTTAGTCGGATTAAGTTTCTTATTAGTGACATATCAACGCTAGAGAAAGTCCTTCATCTATTATATATAGGATTATCTAGCAAAATTCAAAGGTAAGTCAATTAGTATATCAACCAAAAACATTGGAGTGTCTTTTTCTTAGTCGGATTAAGTTTCTCATTAATGATCTGATTTTTTATTAAGTTAGGAAGATAGCTTTGGAGTGTTTTTTCTTAGTTGGATTACAACTTACAAGCACACAAGATATAAAATAAAGGGTGAAGAATAAAGTGTTTCAGGAGGAATATTTAATTTCTTGAATAATAATAATAAGGGAACTTATAGGAATAAGGAATAAGAGAAATGGAGATGAGACGAGAGAGTGGTTTCTTAATCAGGGCCATGCAGCAGAAGCAGAAGCAGGAGCAGCACATGCTCCATTTCCTCTAACTCATCCACCTTTATCAACATTGATTCTCTAAGACCATCCATCAATATAGATATGTCTTTTCATGTCTACGATATCTGCGTGGGAATATCGTGTTCTCTCCTGATATTTTTTCTAGTCCGGATGATTCTGACACATGTGACATGTCTAAATATGCTCTTTAAAAAAAATTAAATTAAATCTATGGTTTTGATTATATCTACCGACGATAAAGATTTTCAAGAATATAATATCATCTTAGCATCTATGGAGTATTGTCCTTCTAGATTAAATGGGAGCTGTAAAATTGTTTATTCTTCAAATATAAAAATATTTTATGCATACGTTTTTCCAAATTAAGATTTCAATTTCATGATTTTTTTATTGACAAGGCGCGATCCATAATCAATTCCTACTAGGCGGAGTAACGCGACATAGTGAAGTCGAACTTCGATGAAAAATGTAGAGTCTAATTGACTTAACCACTTGACTAAAGATATATTCCCGATTTCATGATTTTTATATATATAACTGCTTAAAATTTCGGTATTCTCCTAGAAAAAGAGTAGAAGAAAACATCATCAATCTTATATACTTCAAAATGAGCCGTGAAGTCCAAGATGTTGAATGCATATAAGCGACATGGACATGGTGATAAAAATAAATACGAACCATGAACATTTAATAACAGTAAAAAGATTGAAAAACAAAAACAACATAAAATAAAATCAAACAAACTAATGAAGATTCTTCATGATAAAATTAAAGTCGTATATATCTATACCCTTGATATTGGTTCAACTGTATTGTAAGTTCTACTCTGATTCTATTAGATGTTACATACTCTTTGATTAAACTACATAGTAGATACATGATTTAAAAAAAAAAAGTCTTGTGGACTCCTTCGACTGGGTATAAAACTATATATATTCTAAATCAACTTATTATATTTTCCGTTGGATCTTTAATAAAAATCTTCTCTTTATATCAATGTGCACTGGATAATGCGGTTGCGGCCACTTTAGACCAATTAAGCCACAAAACCAGGACAATTTATATTCTTTTGATTTGATTATAGACATCATGCATAAACTATAGGGCCACATTTCTTTAGAAATGCGTTTATAACATTTGATACCGTCGCATTATGTCAAGACTCAAGACTAACACTTTTTAATAAATTATAATTACAAGAAGCTTTAATGATGAAAATGATTACTATATGTTATCCACAGAATTAGCTAAGAGAGGAAATTAGTATGTAAATGACTTTGGAACATAAAAAATAAATATCACCACTTTTTTTTTTTTTTTTTTTGGGGTAAAGAAGAGATCATAACTTATTACAAAGGGAAGTGATTCCAAAGGCATATCTTCTGTTCTGTCTAATCTTATTCTTTGTTTAAAACCCCTCTTTCATGCATTTCTCTTGTTTATAAATTTGTTGCTTCTTCTCTAAGTTTGCTGAGTCCTAATCATCTCTCTATCTAGCTAAGTGAGTAGGTACATACGTATAAATATAGAGAGAGAGCGTCAGAGAGCAGAGAAATGAGTTTTGGCTCCTTCATCTCTACCATCACATACTATTTGTTCCTTCGCCATCCACATAAGAAGTCAAAGCTCAATAGTGTGAGCCACCATAACTATTACCACACCAAGTCAATGGCTCGTCCACTTTCTTTACAGGTATTCTCTCTGTCCTTTTCTCTTATAATCAACCATAATTTTCATGTATCTATATAGTTTAGTCTCAAATTGACTCTATGATCATGATATTAGTTTTTCATTAAATAGAATAAATTTTGGTAACAATATCTTTCAAAACGTTTCTTATTTTGATACATGCCTAATTGAACGAAGAGTGCAAATGATTTTTGCTTTTAGGGAAAGAGATGTATGAATTTGTTGTTTGTGGTGATGGTAGCTAAAGCTAATTAACTAAGTTGTTTTAACTAAACATAAAGATCAAAGTTCAAACTAATTAGCTGATGTCCTCTAGTTGTGTAAATAAATTGGCAAATAAGATTCTCGAACGCAAAAAGAATATTAAAGTACTATTCATTGTGTTCATTTTTTTCTTTCTTTTGTATGTTAAAAAATGTCTTTTCAATTTTTATTGATTCGTTTAGAGGAATCGGACAAAACTGAAACGGAATGTCATAAGTTTGTCTCACTAGTGGATGTTGCTATATATGATTATAATATCCTTTGGCTGATTCAGCAGAGAGTTGCTCGTTTAAATAATTGTTCTTCTAATTACCTTTTTCTTTATAATTAATCTCATATTAATTAATTTGTAATCTATGAAAACACAGACGATAGACCTGAAAGTAAGGATGTGCTGCAATGGATGTGAGAGGGTGGTCAAGCATGCCATTTACAAGCTGAGAGGTAATGTCATAATTCAGATTGTTTTCGAAAATAACGGATTAATTAGTATTATTTTATTTTCTTCCATAAAATGTTTTGGTTAAATACACGAATATTAAATTGTATAATATAAATTATGGTTATAGAAGAATAACTTTAAATTTTTCATAAATCTTTTTAACATGATTTTTTTTTTGCTAAAACACATCCTATAGAAATTTAAGATGGAGTAAATAATATTTATAATATATTCAAAATATATATATAGTAACTAAATGGGTGTTGTGTTGGTGGTGGTGTGAAGGGGTGGACTCGGTGGAGGTGAACTTGGAGATGGAGAGAGTAACGGTGGTTGGGTACGTAGAGAGGAAGAAGGTGCTCAAGGCCGTGAGAAGAGCCGGTAAACGAGCCGAGTTCTGGCCCTACCCGGACATGCCTCGCTACTTCACTTCTTCCGACCATTACTTCAAAGATACCACCCGTGAGTTCAGGGAGAGCTACAACTACTACCGCCATGGCTACAACCTTAGCGACCGTCATGGTAACATCCACGTCACCAACCGTGGTGACGACAAAATGAGCAACTTTTTCAACGACGACAACGTCCACGCCTGTAGCCTTATGTGATTTCCTGTCTTTTTAGGTATCTATGTGTTTATACATGTTGTATCGTTTATAGGGTTGATTAATTAGTTTTTATGCATAAGCATAAGTGAGACAAGAAAAAGGAACACAATTTGCTGTTTTATGTTTTTATATAAACAAAAAAAAATCTCCGAAGATGTATCTACTTTTACATGGTATCAAACTCGGTCCTTTCCTATATAACGTACATTTACATGCTATAAGGCAGATAATAAATAATAAATTTGTGGCCACTGTTTGAAATTGCTAATGGTCTAATGATAATATGCATTGTTTCTTACCGATCCTCTTTCATTTTACATGACGATGTTTATGGTCCAACCATTTTTTTTGCCTTTAGGCCTCTGAAATATCCGGACAAACCATGTCTTTCTCAACTGATCCTATCGCAATCTGTCTCTGTCTTTCAGATTGTGTTGAAGCCTAATGATTGGGCTCTTGGGTTTTATTTTGGGCTTAAACGAACAACACACACTAATGTTACCACCGTCCCACTAGGAGAGAGACAAATCTATACTAGTGAACATGGTTTATGTCTCCTACAATATAATATGTCCATGTTAAGAATTATCCAAATTTGTGGCACTAAATGGTAACATCAAAAATATATTCAGCCGAATTCAGCCAGATTCAGCAATTCCGCAGTTACCATTTGCATAAAACTAAATTTAGCCAGATTCAGCAGTTTTTTCAACACCAACGGATACGTAGATATGTTTATTTTTGGTAAAAATTCAGATAATAACGAGTACACAACTCGAATTAAAATATTTTGGATATCAAAAATTACACATGAAATGTATACTTTAAAATAAGTCATATTATACAGATACGAATACGGTATTGAATAATTCAGATACATAAAATCACCACTAGAATAGACAAGAGACGAATTTAAGTTCAGATAACTATAGATATATTTGGATAATTTTAATAACTTTAAGATAATCTAAAATAAATTTTTGAAATTCGCAAAACAACTCATACATATGCTAAAATATTTTTTCAAATATCAAATTTTTAATAATTCTCTTAGGAGGGGGTATTGAAGCAAAGAATGTCATAGAATTTAATAGAATGGAATTAAAGACATAAATACAGATTTGTAAGTACTTGTAAAGATTTTTTAAAATCTTTCTTTCAAATTCTACGAATATTCTATGCAGTTTCCTTTCTTGTGCCGCTTTAGTCATCAAGTGAGACAGAACTTCTGCACAAAGTATGAACAAATATGGTGAAAGTGGATCTCCTTGCCGTAAACCCCTTTCCGGACTAAAATAGCCATAAGGTGCATCATTGATAAAAACAGAGAAACTGACTGAAGTGACACATCGCATAATCCAACCAATCCACTGATCCGCAAAGCCCATATGTCTCATTGTGGCTTCAAGGAAACTCCACTCAAGTCGATCATACGCTTTTGTAATGTCAGTCTTCAAAGCCATATAGGATTTCGATTGTCTCTTTCTGACCTTGAGGGCGTGAAACACTTCATGAGCTAAGATATTGTTATCAGTGATGATTCGCCCTGGTATGAATGCAGCTTGAGTTTCTGAAATGATGCCACTGATATGTTGTTTCATCCGATTTACCAGAATCTTGGAAATAATTTTGTAACTGACGTTACAAAGAGCAATTGGTCGAAACTCTGACATTGTGGTTGGATTAGTTGTCTTTGGGATGAGGCACAAATTCGTGTGGTTGATGCTTGGATCAAAGCTTCCTTCTGCAAAAAACCTAGTGACTTCCTGGTATATCGCAGGGCTAATATCATCCCAGAATTGGTGATAAAAGGCCCCAGAGAACCCATCTGGGCCTGGAGCACGGTGTGGCCCAATAGCAAAAGCTGCATTATGGATCTCTTGGTTTGTGATTGGTTTCAGAAGCTCTCTGTTCATGTCTGATGACACTCTTGGTTGGAAATCTTCAAAGACTTGGTCGTGGTAGTCCTCAGGGGATGATGATTTCTTGAACAAATCTTGAAAATAACCTACTGCCACTTCACCAATCGCAGCATCACCTGAACGATATAAACCATCTTTATCTTGGATTGTTACCAACTTGTTGCGTATTCTCTTCCCAACTGTGACAGAGTGAAAGTATTTGGTGTTTCTGTCTCCTTGTGTCATCCAAGTGTTTCGGCTTCTTGTTTTCCAAAACAATTCTTCATCAATGTAAGCACGGTTGAGTTCTTGCCGCAGAGAACTAATGAGAGTTGAATGTTCGCCCATAGATATTGCTTTGGCAAGACGGCCACGAAGTAGTTAAATTCTTTGAGCTGAGTTGGTACAATTACTCCTTTTCCATTGCGAAATTTGTTTGCGGCATCTAGAAATCCTGGTTGTAAGATCCTGATGGCTTGTCTGAATACGATCATCACCAGTCCAACCTTGCAGAACAGTTTCACGAAAACCTTCCCGTAAGAGCAATCTGCTATCATATTGAAAGTGTCCTCTACGAGTGGTGGTAGTATCCAAGAAGCGAGTAACTAATGGCCGATGATCAGATTCATCAAATTCCAAAAATTGTGTCTCTGAGGAAGGAAACAGTGTATGCCAAGCAGAATTTGCCATAGTTCTATCAAGGCAACATGTGACAAAGTGATCTCCTCTTTGTTCAGCCCAAGAAAATCGATCACCAGTGTGAGCTAAATCCTTAAAATCACAACTTCGTACCATCCGTCTAAAGTCCTGAAAACTAGCCTCTGGTCTTAAGCTCCCCCCTTTCTTTTCACTGTTATCCAGTATCTCGTTAAAATCTCCCAATATAAACCAAGGTTGATTTTGTCTCTGAGTACCTATTCTCTCTAATCTTTCCCAAAGGTCATTCCTAATTAAAGCTTGGGTTTGGATGGCCATACACAAAAGAAAAGTGAAAATCAGATTCATTACTTTTGACAAAGCAATCTACAAGATTGGGAGATACAAAGGAGACTACTAAATCTACAGGCTGCTTCCATAGCACTACTAAACCACCACTAAGACCCCTTGGTGGAACAGTTACATAATTTAGAAAACCTAATTCACAAGCTACATCTCTAATGTAGTCATCTTGCTGCTTCGTTTCTGATAGGCAAATGATGTCCGGGAGATAACGATGGTTGATCTCCTTTAGGCGTCGAACCGTCGAGTCAATGCCTAGTCCTCGACAGTTCCAGCAGGTTGTCCTCATGGCGGAAGTGGTGGTTCAGGGCCCACCGCGCCTCCATCTTCATCTGAGTCTTTGGGACCGGAGCTACTGCCTTCTCCTCGGCCTCGCGAAGCACTCTTGTTCTTCTGACCATCAAACTCACCTTCAAATTGTCGCTTACGTTTGTGTGAAACCAACCCAGAAGCAGAGCCAACCTCAATTTCCATGTCTAAATCCGAATCAGGTTCTGAATCCGAAGATTGTTCTGACTCAGAGGGTTCTTCAATCACAGCAGCATGAATGGCAGGGAAACGTCTTGCCTCTGCCTCTGCAAGACCATCAAGGTCATCTCCACGCTCTTCATCACGCAAAACATATCCACCATTCTCCACTGGAGCCTCCACCGGATCCACAGCCACCGGAGCCACCTCTTCATGAATTTCTTCTATGTGAACACCTTGGTTGTGGTGAAAGGCTGGGGGGGGGGGGGGGATCATCATCACTACCATCGTCATCCGAACCATGAAGACCACCATCATTGATTAAGCACGCTCCTGAGTCATGAGTAAGGAGGCCACACGCCTCACAAAAACCACGGAGCCGCTCATAACGAAATCGCAGTAGAGTATTGACTCCAGGAGTAAACTGAAAGTTCCTTTGAAACCTTAATGGCTGATTCACGTCCCAATTGAGTCGAACACGGACGTATTCGGCCTGGAGCACCGCTGTGTGATCATAGTCAACATCCATCAGTCTTCCCAACTCACTCCCAATATGTGCCACCACTTCCTGATGCATGAATTGGAAAGGGATGCCACGAATTTGAACCCAAAAAGGAATGAAATTAAGCATCTGAAGCGGCATGAGAGGAGTCCACCGCTGTAACACCACCATTCTCTCCGCAAAGGCCCATGGTCCTCGGCGGAGCACCATCTCCATGGATTCTTCAGTAGGAAACACAAATTGGAAGCGCCTCCCTTCAATGATTCGGCCGTGAATTAAGCCCGCCTGTCCCCATAGCCGAGGCATCGCCGCAACAAGGTATATCCAACAGCTTCATGAACCTGCGCCCAATGTATCAACATTTCGGCAATCTTCAAGATCAACACAATGGAAGAAAGCAACAAATGGATGGATAAAATGTAACTATGATGGCACTTTTCTCAACAGTAATGTTCCATCCAAAGCAGGATGGGTGTTTCGAGCTGATAGTGGCAATTTTAGAGGAGCAGGTCAAGCCATTGGTTTAGTGACATCAACTGCTTTAGAGAGTGAGTGGCAGGCACTTCTAATAGCTATGCAACATGCTTGGACAAAGGGATTCCGCAGGGTTATTTTTGAAGGAGACAATAAGCAACTTGTGGATCTTATAAATCAACGACAATTACATTTTGCTTCATTCAATTGGCTCAGGGATGTTTATCATTGGAAGCTGAAATTTGAGGACATATAAATCGTTTAAACATCAAGAGCGAGCAATCAACTTGCTGATCAATTAGCAAGAGACAACTCTCCTACTAGACCTCTGTTTCAAAGCTTTTTACATGTACCTAGCTTGATTGCTACTACTATTCACAATGATTTTGTAACTTCTGGTTAATATATTGAAATTAGCTGTTAAAAAAAAAAAAAAAAAAAATACAAGAACATTGTTGGGAAATTTGCAACTATAACCTAAAAAAATTTATAAATTAACAAACTAACCTATAAAAAAAACCTAACATTATAACATATATATAATATATATTATTACAATTTTATCCTCACCACTAACACCACTAACCACCATCACAACCACCACCGTCGCCGGACAACCACCTCCCCCGTCGCCAGAACCACCGCCGCCGTCGCCGGAACCCCTACCACCGCCGCCGCCGGAACCGCCGCCGCCGCCGTCGCCGGAACTACCACCACCGCTGCCGCCGGAACTACCACCGCCGCCGCCGCCGGAACCACCACCACCACCGTCGCCGGAATTGTTACCGCCGTCGCCGGAACCACCACCGCTGCCGTCACCGGAATCACCACCGCCGTCGTCGCCGTAATCACCACCGCCGCCGTCGCCGGAACCACCACCACCACCCTCTAAGGTCATTTTATCTACCCTTTAAGTTACTTACTTAATAATTACATATATAGTGCTATATTCTTAATTTTTGTATGAAAAAGTGTTATTCTTGCAAATCACCCAACATTGTTTGATATATAAAAAATAAAGGTACTCACTCAATTTCAGTTTCTTCTATGTAATGTCAATATATTCCAGATTCTTCTGAGTATAAGCTACGAGTTCCTTCACATCCTTCCCGTCCCTAACATCACACTTAGTTCCCTACTAAGAGAAAATGGCAAACCTCAAAAGAACAGTAGAAGAAGGTGGTACACACACATGCTCCCCAATTTCTTCCTTAAGACTCTGAACAGCAGACTCAACTCGTTTACCTGCATGACAAAAAAAAGCAAAATCTCAGGACAGGTTCTTACCTAATCTATAGCAAACTACAACATTGTCTCATGCTTTCATAAACTCATCAAACAATGGTTTCTTCCAAGTTACTTTGAATTCTTAAAACAGATTCCACTAATTGAGGGGACTTATAGACAAGAGGAGACTAAAAGGTATTGATTATTCTAAACTATACAATGACTATCATACAAGTTTACATACCAGTTCCAAGTGAAATCAAGGCCCCAAACGTCATCCCAGGTTACATCAGGCTTAGTAGAGAATCCGTTATTAGTTACAACATATTGCAACCTCTTTAGCGCTTCCTGTGGTTGAAGCTTTAGTTAGATATGGAACCAGCAAAAGAACTAAGACAAATAGATTCTCACCAAGAAATCATCGGTGGTGACCTCTGACAATGGTTGATCGGTTTCCTTTGATCTCCCCCGCACTCATCCGAGCTATTCTTTCCTTCGCAAGCAGACAAGCTAAGACAATATATACAAGAGTTTACATACCTCTCAGCAATCGCCTGCTCCCATGTTGATATTGAACATATTATTAGCAAAAAAAAAAGTGTTAGTTGTGAAGAAATAATTTGAAATAAATACCTTGTTGATAAACGGGTGTAGAAGAAATAATTTGAAATAAAAAGATTATTGTATTTCACCGAACTTCTGATAAAAGCGTGCATTTGTGAGGTTTGATCTTGGATAAGCAATAAAAATACAGATTATACTATCAAAAGCTTATCAATTTCCTCGTTAAAAATCATAGGTAAAGAGAATATCAGAATACCATGGTTAAGTGGAAAAATAAGCAAATCCTTCCAAAAAACGTAATCCGATAAAATCTCCTTAATCGTTTAATTTAAGACTCGGAAACACAACATAACAAGAGTTTTTTTTGTTCTTAATTCAGACATGTGATGTAAAGAAAAATAACTCAAGTCAATATGTCTCTTCACTTGGCGGCTTCATCAAACTTTTCGCAAATTTCCTCGTACTCTCTTAGTTGCTGCAGAAAGAGTAGCATACAAAGAAAAACATATGAGAAAAGAAATGTCAATTATGATTGTATAAGAAAAAAGAAGCATCGATTTTGATTTAACCTGATTTGTGAGAGACGGTCTGAGTGCAGACAAAGATTGCTCAAAATGATCCATCTTGATTATGCGCTTACTGGTTGAGCTAGTATCTCTGTAGGCGGCAAAAGCCGCTCGATTTACCAACGATTTAAGATCAGCACCACTACAATTCTCACAACGCTCCGCTATGGCATTTAAATCAACCGTTGGGTCAATTGGAACAGTGATACCCCTCACCAGAGATTTCAGAATTGAAAAACGTTGGGCAGCATTTGGGAGTGTTACATAGAATAGTCTCCCAAACCTGCCCGCCCTTTGAACAGCGGGGTCCATCCTGTCAGGCCTAACCCAAGAAAAAAAAAAAGAAACGAAAAGTTGAATAAAAAAAATGTCACAATAATTGAACATGTTTCCACAGTTCAGAGCAAAAACCTAACCTGTTTGTAGCAGCAATCACAATTACACCTCCTCGTTTTTTTCCACCACTCAATTCAGCGAGTAACTGTCAATTAGCATGTCATTAGTTAGCATCATGACATGTTTCAGTATGACATGTTTCAGTATAATGATTGAGAATGAGATTCGAAACAACTCACCTGAATCAAAGATCGTTCAACAACCCAAGCACCTTGCTCACCACGTTTTGATGTTAAAGCATCCACCTACAGTGCTTAAAGAACATCAATGCACTGCACTGCTGAGGAACTTGTTTTATTCTCTACAGTCTCCTAACTTCTTGAACCAATATTCTTGAATACATACAATAAATTAAAGTCCAACTACTCTTCTTCAACACAACTACGTTTTAATTTTCCCACTGCCAAGTCGAACCTTAACTATGTTTAAGAATGAAACATTTCACAAACCAAAACAAACTCAAAGGCTTCTCAAAGGTAGAAGAATCAACACAAATATTTCATACTTTTTGTTTTTGCAAATTCCATCCGTAAATTAGTTTCAATTCTATGTATCTGCCATTCCATTTCATCAGGTTAGCTTGAGGGAAAGAGCATAGTTCTATTGAGTGTATCTCAAATCAGTTTCTGTCACAAATATTTGGTTTAAACAAAAGAGCTTTAGCTTTCACTGTTCTTTATAGGACTTGTTTAGTTTATATCACTCTGGAACACTGACCTCATCAAAGAAGACTATGCATGGTGAGCACCTCCTAGCACGACTAAATAACTCCCTTATAGCCTTTTCCGTGTCTCCCACATATTTGCTTAGAAGCTCTGGACCCTACACATAGATCAAAAATATCAGATATCATAGGTGTTCACCCTTCATAAGCAATATAGAAACTGTCATGAAAACGGGGACACAAAAGAAATTACTGAAAGAAATTATGTTCCAAGCAAACCTCAACGTGGATATAGTTGGCTCCTGCCTCATTAGCAACAGCCTGCGCAACTAGCGTCTTACCAACCCCTGGTGGTCCAAAGAGCAAAAATCCGGTCTCTAAACAAAATTCAAATCCCTGAAAAGTGCATAGATATCCATCATCAAACTGCTAATGCCTAAGTTGCATAAATGAGATGAAACACGCCTAAGGCATAGCATTGATTCCGCTAAGTTTTGCTACACATTATTCACACTGTCTAGAGAATGTGGATAAATGATGCAGTGCCAGTGTACTCTTCTCAATTGTCAAGCGCTTGCTTGTCTCAAACAAGCAGCATAAAAAGATATCAGGTGAAGGTAAGACTTGTGTTTTTATTTACTTGATTACCTTGCATTGTTCAGGAAATTTTAATGGTCGAATTACATGTTCATAGAACTCCTGTTTTAAATTATCAAGGCCACCAACATCATCCCACGTTACATTAGGCTTAGTAGAGAATCCTTCTCTAGTTAAAGTAGGTTGAACCTCTTTCAGAGCTTCCTGTAATTTAACCTTTGTCAGACATAAAAAAAAAAAAAAGCAAAAGAGCAGAATGACCATAGCATGTAGTTTACGAATAGATCGTATACATGTTTCAGAAAGGAAACGGATGAGTTCAGGAAACAAACAGATATTACCAGAGAAAAGTTGAGTAGACGACTTAGTGCGCATTTGTGGGCTTAAGAGAAAATTTTAAAACGTTTAAAGAGATTTATCTCACCATGAAATCTGAGGTAGTGCAGACAAGTTGTTTCCTCTCTTCCTCTGAGATTGGTTGCCTCATCAAAGAATCAATGTCGGTACAAAGTCCTGATTTTCTAGAATATATAATTCTCTGAGCTAACACCATGCCAGCCTCCTTGGCCAAAACATCAAAATCAGCACCCACGAATCCGGAAGTCAGACTAGCAATGCTTGCACGGTCGAAATTGCTATCCAGCGTAAGGCCGCGGGTTGCCACAGAGAAAATCTCTTCTCTGGCTTTCTGATCTGGGACACCAAGGCAGATCTCCCGGTCGAATCGCAAAGATCTCCTCAACGCAGGATCAAGAGCGTCAGGCCTGTTGGTAGCTCCAATTACAACTACATGTCCAGGCTTAAAACCAGGGTCACCAGAGGAAACGTTCTTCTCTTTGTGCTTAAGGAGCATATACTTGTCATCCATACAACTCAGTAACTGAGTCAAGATACGTGTATCCATACCTTTCTGCTGATTCTCCCTCTTTGATGCAATTGCGTCAATCTCATCAATAAATATAATGGAGGGTGCAGTCCTATAAGCTTTAAAGAAGAGTTCCCTGATATTCTCTTCAGATTCACCTAGAACAAGAGAAGAACCAATCCAATATAGAGACAATTAAAGAGGAAATGAGAAAATAAAAAGATAAGAGAGGCCATACCGGAAACACCAGAAACCAATTCAGCAGCGGAAATCATATAAAAGGGCACGCCAGTTTCGTTGGCGATGGCACAAGCTAGTGTAGACTTGCCACAACCAGGTGGACCATGAAGTAAAAACCCAGAAATAGGTTTCATACCAATAGCTTGTACGATGTCAGGACATAGGAGAGGGAGTTTCACCACAAATGCGAGCTTATCTAAAATACCATTTAACCCACCCAAGTCCTTAAAGGTTGGTCCTTTTACCTCTACATCATACGAACCCTTACTTGCCTCTTCACTAGCTTTCTTCTTCTCTTTGTCTACATGCGAAAGACTAATTGGCGTCCTGGACTTATCCGAGTAAGAAAGGCGTAGACTATCATTAGTAATATCAAACTGCATATTATCGTCCGATGTCAATACATTGCCGGATGAGGACCCAGAAGAAGGTGATGATATACATAAATCCGAATTCCTCTGTTCGAGATCATCTCGCCTCTGTTTCTTCCTACTTCCACTACTTTCATCTTCATGTTTCCTCCTAGAATTTACGATATTCTTAACTTTGACCAACAGAATCTGGCGCTTCCAACGAGCCCATTCACGGTGCTTCAAACGGAGCTCATCTACGATCTCTTCCACCGTTGATCCCTTCCCAAATGATTCTAGAACGAGATTCGTAACAGGAACGCTCCCGCGGATAACTCTTTTCCTCATCTCGAAGCTTTTTTTCAATGTGGGTGAAACCCTAAATCTGCTCGCTCGAAGCAGCAGACAATTGGTTTTCTGTCGAGAAGTCGCTAAAATGACATACTATATATTAGAAAAATAATCTCTTTGTTTACCCTAATTGTTTTATAATTCTTTTAATTACTTAATTAAACCCAAATCGATAGATTGTTGAAGGTTTAAAGCCCAATATTTGCTTCATACTATTAATCTATTAATAATGCATTATTGTTCAGTATAACCGGCACTAAACCCTATATGAACATATTTATATAACTCTATTAGCACAAGTGAAGCGCGCCATTTCGATATCTCCCGTCTGCATGAAATGATTTTATCCACGAATCCCGTAGAACTTATCTCCGTTTCCGTATCCCATCCTTTCTTAATTGCATCCGAAAGTCCTTCTTTCCTAATCCACCGTCTATCGAACATGAAACACCGTCTACCACGTGGCGATCTTTCCGCGATAGAAGTGATGATGGGTTTATGAAACTTGAAAAAATAGAGGATATAGAAAAGAGAACACCGTCAGAGAAGAGAAAGTGGTTAATCTCTTGAGGTTTTTATTTAGAAATTGTTACTTCATATATTTTTTTACTATTTTTTTTACTCTTTTACTTGATTTTGGTTGATTTATTCTTCTTCTTATATCAAGCCCCGTACTTGTTTTCTCCTGTTATGTTTCTTGGCTCTTCTATCCCTGACTTGAAGCAAAGTCTTGCTCTTTCACTTGATTTTAATGGATGTGTGTTGTTCTTACATGAAACCCCATACTTGTTTTTATGTTATGTTTCTCGGCTCTTCTAATGTGAAATTAAACATTTGAAACTTTGTGATAATGATGGAGTTTGTTTGGAATGAGATCGTCTTTGAATGTTGTTTTTTCTCCCCTTTGATGTGTGTGGATATTTCTTTTCCAATCTTAGGCTGATGTTTTCATCTGGCTCGATTATATCTATGGACTCTTGTTTTTTGCATGAGCATGACTTCATCTGTCTTAATTTGAAACTAGATTACTTTATTGTCTGTCATACTTGATTATTCTCCTTAATGTTACAAGCCTGATATTTGCTATCCTATGTCATCTTAGCCGTATCATTGATAGCTTGCTATAACTCGTGTGTGTATCATTGATAGAGTTCCACTTAACTTAGTTCATGATTCAGTTTCTGAGAAGCAGAGTTCAATCTTCTTCTTTATTTGCAGACTTTAGTATAGAGACATCAAGGTTCCACATGATGTTTCAAAACAGGATTCAAGGTCAGTTTGCTTTCCACCATTGTGTAGTTTACGTTAATTTTGTTTCAAAACATTGTGTTTATGATAAGTAGATGGAAGTGTGTGTTTCAAGTTAAACCCAAGATCTTTTATCACATTTTATACAAAAGTTTTCATAAATTTAAATTTAAAGAGACTCTATTGTACATCTGATTTTTTCAGAAACTTATTGAGTCTCTCAACTTTCGTAAAACCAATTTTTTTGATTAAAAATATTCTAAAGAGACTCATTAGAGTCTCTAGCAATAATCATGGTCTTATACCATTAGAGGATTTGCCCAAAAAAAAAAAAAAAAAACCATTAGAGGGTATCATATTTTAACAATGGAAAAAATAGAAATTAATGTTGTTCTGTTTATATAGTAGAATCTCGACTTTTTTGCATTTACACTCAAGAAATATGTAAAGGAAATATTTCACAGTTTGGAAATTAGGGGTTCTTTCTGATTTGGTATATCATGTAGTTTCTCTAGATAAAATATTGAGGAGTAATTTGTGTGTGCTACTTAATTTTGAATTATTTTAGAGAATTGCGAAAAAAGATAAAACATAGAAAGTGATAATAAGTAGTGATAAAATCACGATTAGTAAACCTCCCCGGCCGCATGGACCTGAAACCGGGATGTTACACTCCGTCATGCACCAACCAGTCCCAAAAACACAAACCTTTTAAGTCTCTATATAATTTATTTTTTGTTTGGTGAGGTTTTAAGTCTCTAATTTTTATAACTATAATTTTTTCTTTTTAAAAAAATGTAAATTTGTAAATTCAAAATTTATCTGCTAAGTGATATTTCTATATTTTGTTGTACTTCATCGTGTTGAAGACTATGTATTTTTAATACATTTTAAAATGATATCGTTTTGAAAATAAATTTTAAAACCAACAAATTGCAAAAGTTAAGAATTCAAATGACCTCTCTAATAGTACAGAGTATACACTACAAAATATAAGGCTTTTAACGTCAGATTTAAAAAGCCTTTACGTCGGTACTAAAGTGATGCTAATAATACAACATCACTTTAAAAAATGACGTAACAAGGGATGACGTAAACTTTTTTTGCTTTAGCGTCGGTTAAATTATGACTTAAAATTTTACGTTAACGTGATTTTAAAACCGACGTATGTAATGTGCAGTTTTCTTTATTAGAAAAACAAAATTAAAATTAAAATTTTAAACTAAAACACTCACAAATATTATAAATAAGGATAAGACAATACAGTATCATGTTTAGTGTTTAAAAAATCAAATAGAAAATACAAGAACATTACTCCCGGGAAATCTAAGGCTAAAAGAAGCAACATGGAAGCTCCGTACTGCACCAAAGATCAAGCACTTTATTTGGCGACTCTTATCTGAAGCTCTTGCCACAGGAGAAACATTACGCAAGCATCATATTACTAATCAACCCATCTGCCGCAGATGCTGTCAGGCAGAAGAAACGACCAAACATCTCTTTTGTGATTGTTTCTATGCCCAATCTATTTGGAGAGCTTTCACATCACTGTTTGTTTGATCCGCATCAATCTTTGGAAGCAAAAATGGATGCAATCCTCTCTGGCCACATAGCTTCCATCAACCCGGATATCCACCAAGTAGGTCTTTGGATTTTGTGGAGAATCTGGAAGAGTAGAAATCTTCTTGTGTTCCAACAGCAGAATCTTTCATGGGAAAACGGTATCGCTTTGGCTAATAATGATGCTAGAGACTGGATGGCTGCCAATGAGTATCTCCAACAGCTTCATGAACCTGCGCCCAATGTATCAACATTTCGGCAATCTTCAAGATCAACACAATGGAAGAAAGCAACAAATGGATGGATAAAATGTAACTATGATGGCTCTTTTCTCAACAGTAATGTTCCATCCAAAGCAGGATGGGTGTTTCGAGATGATAGTGGCAATTTTAGAGGAGCAGGTCAAGCCATTGGTTTAGTGACATCAACTGCTTTAGAGAGTGAGTGGCAGGCACTTCTAATAGCTATGCAACATGCTTGGACAAAGGGATTCCGCAGGGTTATTTTTGAAGGAGACAATAAGCAACTTGTGGATCTTATAAATCAACGACAATTACATTTTGCTTCATTCAATTGGCTCAGGGATGTGTATCATTGGAAGCTGAAATTTGAGGACATATAAATCGTTTAAACATCAAGAGCGAGCAATCAACCTGCTGATCAATTAGCAAGAGACAACTCTCCTACTAGACCACTGTTTCAAAGCTTTTTACATGTACCTAGCTTGATTGCTACTACTATTCACAATGATTTTGTAACTTCTGGTTAATATATTGAAATTAGCTGTTAAAAAAAAAAAAAAAAAAATACAAGAACATTGTTTGATATATAAAAAATAAAGGTACTCACTCAATTTCAGTTTCTTCTATGTAATGTCAATATATTCCAGATTCTTCTGAGTATAAGCTACGAGTTACTTCACATCCTTCCCGTCCCTAACATCACACTTAGTTCCCTACTAAGAGAAAATGGCAAACCTCAAAAGAACAGTAGAAGAAGGTGGTACACACACATGCTCCCCAATTTCTTCCTTAAGACTCTGAACAGCAGACTCAACTCGTTTACCTGCATGACAAAAAAAAGCAAAATCTCAGGACAGGTTCTTACCTAATCTATAGCAAACTACAACATTGTCTCATGCTTTCATAAACTCATCAAACAATGGTTTCTTCCAAGTTACTTTGAATTCTTAAAACAGATTCCACTAATTGAGGGGACTTATAGACAAGAGGAGACTAAAAGGTATTGATTATTCTAAACTATACAATGACTATCATACAAGTTTACATACCAGTTCCAAGTGAAATCCAAATAAAATGACTCTGTTCAAATTTCAGTCCTTGGAATGCTACTTTCCTGAAATTGTAGATAAATTATAGATAATACTTAAGTGTTATGAATCACCTTCCAAACCATCTCTTTTCTGTAATTGGGAACTTTCCTCCAATCAATGTAGTTAATAGGTAGTATATTAAGATCATTACTAAGTGACCCTAACCACGAACCAAATAAACCTCCAGAATCTTTGATAGGCTGTCCTCTTCGATTAAAATCAACTATAACCCTTCGATTCAGCATGCTCCACACTTCTTTTCCTGAAATCATTTCCTCTGTAATTTTTGCATCACCATCTAAGCCACAAAATTACAGAGAAGATGTTATATATATGTTTTCTAGGAAAACTAATTAGTTTCTCAGAATCATCATACCAGTTACATACCTACGACACGAACTCTCCATTTTCCACTAGCTAATTCTGGTCCAAGAGGAGGTGGAGCTGATAAATCTTCATTATGTGAAACTTGAGAATCAGTTCCAGACATATCTACACCTACAGAGATAACAAACAAATTGTTAAAATAAATTTCAAAGTCATAATCACCAAAAAATTGTAATACAAACAAAATACCTCCATATTTTCATATAAATCACATGGAATCTGAGAATTTTCAAAATCTTCTAATTGCCTCACTAAGGTAATATTAGAAACATTATCAGATAAAATCATTGAAATTTGAACAGCATGATCTTCAATGATAATCTCAGGAGGTATTTAATCTGCAACAGTAGAATCACCCAGTAGATAAAAGATGAAATTATCTAATATATTCTTTTCAATGTGCATCACATCGAGATTATGTCGCAATAAAAGATGTTTCCAATACGGCAGTTTAAAAGATATACTAATCTTTCTCCACTGATTTTTCCCAGCTTCTAGTCTGCGTCTCTTCTTTCCAATATTATCTACCTTCTTTCCCAAAGTTACATCAACATTATCAAGTTGCTGGAGAATAACAGTTCTGGATGGTGTAATAGGAGAATCCCTTGTTTCAATAAAACCATTAAAGTGATGCTTATCTTTTCGAAAGTGATGATTCTGAGGAAGAAACCGACGATGTCCCATGTAACAGCTCTTCTTTCCATGGCGTAGACGAAGCTCTTCAGCATCATAATTACAAGAAAGACAAGCTAATCCTGTATATATGTTCCATCCAGATAAATTTCCAAGTCCTGGAAAATCACTGATGGTCCATAACAAAGCTGCACGCATACAAAATGTCTCTTTTGAAGAGGCATCAAAGGTTGACACACCATCAAACCATAACTCTCTTAGTTCTTGTTTAAGAGGTTGAAGATAAATATCAATATCATTACCCGGCATGTGTTTTCCAGGGATAATCATTGAAAGAATCGTTGATGTTTGCTTCATAGACATCCAAGGCGGAAAATTATAAGGAAATAAAAACACCGGCCATACACTATAGCTTGTACTTAATATTATCAAAAGCGAAATCCAGAAAATCTTTGACTCCATTTCTGTAGTCTTGAGATAGACGATGTTTTGTTATCCAAGACTTGTCCATTTTACAATCAGTCTACGAATAAAGTAATCTAGTTATCAGATATTGACCATATTTAGCATATAAAAGTTCATTCAAAGAATAAGCAAGTTCAACTACTAAACAAATAATTGTAACCAAGATGTGTTCCATAGAAATGGAAATCATCAAAATGTGTTTAAAAAAAAAAAAAACAAGCAACAAGCAAAACAAGTATGACATGAATATGTGTGTTTGTTCAGATTTTTTGATGAAATAACCAAGAGTTTTAGTATTTTTTCCAAGACGAACTAACACTAAGTTTCATTTAACAAGCACTAAGTTTTATTTTACAGAGCAGAGTTGTGATATAAAAGATTGTCAAGCTGCAGAACAACAGATCCTAGATCAAAACATCAGTTGAAATTGAAATTCCACACTTACAAGCCTTTAAAACAAAAACAAAAAAACTCATCTAGCCAACACTCAATGTAGAATCTAACAAGTGAATGGAAAAAAAGTTTTAAGAATAATACCTTCAATGAAATCTGAGTTCACGACTCTCCTGCAAACCTATCACAAGTTCTTCATGAATTCATTATATCCTTCAACAAAATTCAAAATCATTGTTAGAATCGATCTATTTCGTCATAAGCACAATACAAATTTAAGAATCAAATCGTACGAACCTTTAGAGTTTGAGAAAATTGAAATCTTCTATTTGACCAAATAACAAACTGAAGAACGAATTTGATCCAAATAAACAAAACGAAATCGATTTGAGCTTCAATCGGAGAAGAACTGATGAACGAATTTGATCGGATATGTGAGAAACTCAGAAATCGTAATCGTAATCGTAAACTCAGTTCGTCGGCGTCTTTTTGTTACAAACCTTTTTTCTTTTTGTTTTCTTTTGAATTTTTAAAGCAGCCAATTTTTTTTAGCTTTTTTTTTGTTGTATTGGTATATGTCGGTTAACAAACCGACGCTAATTCACTTCTAATTAAAAGATTGAGATATTTGCCCTCTCACTTACTTTAATCATCCTCATCATATTATTGATTAAACTACTATAAAACAATAAAAAAATAGATAATCTTTATTTTACTATCATGTTAATTTTTGAAATTAATTTTTTAATAATGCTTTGACAAAACTTTCATTAATTATTTACATATTTTTAATAGTTCAAAAATTAAATATGAAATACGGACATTTAGTATTCACATTTCCCTGGTATGAATTCATGATTTTTTCGTTATACTAGAAATCAGTTTTGTTTTAGTCCGTGCTAATATTGGCCAAATGTGAATACTAAATGTCCGTGTATTAGCAGGGAAATGGGACTATTGGCCAATTGGCCAATATTAGCACGGACATTTAGTATTCACATTTCCCTGCTAACATAGTCCCACTCTTCCCACATCCAATAGTCCGTGCAATAAGCAAAGAAATGTGAATCCTGACCGCACTACATAACAGAAAAAAATTTTGTTTCACAAAACCTACCAACAAAACCTACCACAAAAGAGATAGAGATGAGACAAGACAGAGACTAATACCTCGCCACAAAACCGGTTTGGGCAAGCAGCACAAGTAACATCGTAGATCATCATCATGTCATTTAGCAAACTGAAATGATGGCATCTCGGGCACATGGCTTCCATATCGACAATAGTTTCTACGCAAGAATCGAATCGACATAAGCAAAGAAAAACAGTTAAATTGACAAAAAAAAATACAAAAAAGTTCCAACACAAACCAGAAAAACGACAGTCAAATCGACAAGAACAACCATACAAAATGTGATAATCTATCTTCCATACGAAATGTGATAATTCTACACAAAAAAAATACGAGATCGAGAGATTACAAAGGGAAAAAATTAACCTTTACGGCAGCTATCGGAGAGTGACGAGTTTCGACAGATTTTAGGTTTTCAAGGTTATAAATAAATGGGCTTAAGGTTGTATATAATTGGGCTCAAGGTTATATATAATTGGGCTCAAAGTTGTATATAATTGGGTTTCAAGTTGTATATAATTGGGCTCAAGGTTGTATATAATTGGGTTTCTACAAAATTATTGAAGACAATATACTACGGCCTGTAAAAATCCTTTTTAAAAAACGATGAGAAGACAAAGAGATCGAAGACAAAGATGACAAAAGTACACAACGAAAACCATATGTAAATATTATTGACAAGAACATTAGAAGAGGATAGAAGAAGAAGAAGAAAAAAAAAAAAGCTAGATGCAGATGCAATATAAAAAAAAAAAAAAAAAAAAAGAGGCCAAAATAATTAACAACACTTACATGAAGAGAAATATTGTGTCGCCGGATTGATCCATCATAGTGGCGACACAGTCGCTTTTCTCAATGATGTCTTCGATGTGTCTCTGTTCGTCCATGTCGCAGCCAAAGAACATGCCCACAGTACCAAAAATAAAAACCATGAAGTGAACTGAGAAGAATTTTTATAATTCTTCTTTTTTCTCTTTGTTTTTTTTTCGGTAAGATAAAAGATAAGAATGTGAGGAAGAGAGACAGAGGCAAAGAGAGAGAGAGAGAAGTATATAAGGAGAGGATGTGGTTTAGGTTTAGGTTAAGATTAGGTGTCTCTCTCTAAATAATAAAAATAAAAAGATGCGAAAAGTCTAATAATTCTCCGCTCCGGATTATGCGCCGTCAATATCTTTATGGAGTATTATTTATTATAGGGAGAGTTAGCTCAGAGGTAAAAACAGACACCCAAATTGGCGCAGAGGTAAATGGCTGCCGTGTCTTCAAGTAACGAAAAATTAGCTTCATTTCTCGCCCTCTCATTCGCATAAATAACGAAAATAACAGTGGATTATGTATCCATGCGAGTGGGATAGCGTTGTTGACTTTTTTGGCAAAAAAGGACGAAGCGACATCTCTGTGCGGGACGTGACGGTTACGCGGCGACAGAAGGAAGGAGGCGACGTCAATTAAATGCAACCTGTAGAATGTCTCCGATATTTTCCGTCCGAATCTATTACGAATCGTTTGGCGGGATTTTGAAATTTGAACAACTACCCTAAACGATTGGACCCCCAATAAATAGGGGTGGAAGTGCAACGCAAAATCTTCAAGCCACAAACAAAAAAAACAAATCATAAACTCTACAACTAGAGAGACGACTGTACTAATCTGTGTGGAGATCTAAGTAAGGTACTTAATCACTTAGATCTGATGCATACTGAACATGTTGACTCCCGCTTACTTTTCCATTTTTTGTTTTTAGACAGGTTCTCAGATGGAAGTTACCGACGAACTAATCACGGACATGGTTCGTGTTAAGCTTGGCGGATGGTCAAAAGATGAACAAGGAGTGAGGAGATTCGCTGGAACGGAGGGACAGATGGGGAGGTACATTCGGTTCAGGGAAGGAGACGGTGTTGAAGCAGCAAAAACAAAGGTCATTGAAGAGTTTAGCATCAACACTAGCATGGAGAAAATCGAACTTACGTATGAGATGCCTGAATGGATGGATGTCGACGGTTCTGTCAAGCCTGTCCCTATTCACATTGTATCCGACGACGACATGGACATGTTCCTAGCTATGCGGGTAGACATCAACGAAATGAAACTCTTCGTGGTCCCAATGGCGTTGAACATGACCCTGGAAATCGATGGGTTAAAAGTGGTCCCTCTAATGGACGAGTTCGCGTTTGGTGAGGTTATGAGTAAGGAGGAGCTGGAGAAAGAAAAAAGGCAGCGTCTTGACAAAGAAGTCGGTGACAACATCATCTGCTCCCAAGTTCAAAGAGAACACGTTGGTGACAGCAACGACGGACCACTGGGCTGGATAGGGAATTCTTACGCAAGCAGCGGTTTCGCAACACTTTCAGCAGCTTTGAGGCATTACAGGACCGTAACTGTGGCTCCACAACACCAAGGTTCACCGGTCAGTGTCCTCGAACCTCAAAGCAGCTCTTCAACCGACGATATCCGGGTAACACGCTTAACCAGAGATCTGTTCTCTGATTTTGAAAGAGGTAAAAGCTTGTCGGGAAAATCATTTACGTAAGAGCATGCAAAAAATAAAAATAGATATCTAACTGGTTATTTAACAACAGCTGCTGACGGATCAAGCGGGGATATCGGCGACAACTCGGAGCAACAAAACGGAGCAGCAACTCAGAGTGAAGTACCAGAACGCATCAATGGTAGAAACTCTTATACAAACTTGCTTTAAATTATTAAGGTAGAAATTGAATAATAAAATAATTTAAATCCGGATCGCAGATGACCACCATGGGGCTCCCCCGATATCAAGAATGTTAAGGATGCTGAGCCTACCTGAACACACTTTCGCGAGAGACGCAACCCCTGTGTTAGACGACAACGAGGCAGACGATAACCTTTATTTTGGAATATTCAAATATATGCGTCTGCTATATAATAAATAGGTATATGTATATGTAGGTCGCTATATATTGAAGTACATGGTTAACGGGTTTTATAGGTTCTTAAAGAACAAGGCTTGTCGTGTTGGACATGGATTACGAAGGTGACGAGCTGTTTGTAGGACGCGTATTCAAGAACAGAGATGATTGCAGGGTTAAAATTGCGGTCCACGCTATAAACAGGAAGTTCAGCTACCGTAATCACCGCACCACTAACGATGTAGTGATCGTACGATGTGTGTCAGATGCTTGCCCCTGGAGAGTGTACTGCTTGCGGTTGGATGAGTCCGAATATTTTGAAATAAGAACTGCCCATTTGGAACATACATGTCCAGTAGAAACAAGAAGTCAATACCCACGCCAAGCTACGACATCGGTGATTTCACAAATCATGAAGTCAAAGTACGCAGGAAGCGGAGCAAGGCCGACGCCGGTGGCAATAAGGCGAGCTCTGATGGAAGAATATAGTGTGAACGTCTCCTACTGGAAGGCTTGGCGTTCAAGGGAGCTTGCCATGGACTTGGCCAAAGGATCCCCAAATGGGAGTTACGGTATCCTCCCCAGCTACCTTCACATGTTGTCAAGGGCAAACGTAGGAACCGTCACCGATTTGCACACCGAGGTGGACATTGATGGCGACAATAGGTTCAAGTACTGTTTCGTTGCACTTGGGGCGAGCGTAAGAGGATGGAAGTTCATGAGGAATATTGTGATAATCGACGGAGCGCATTTGAGAGGAAAGTATGCGGGTTGTCTTTTAACAGCCAGTGCACAGGACGGCAATTTCCAGATATTCCCAATCGCTTTTGGGATAGTCGATGGAGAGAACGATAAAGCATGGGAGTGGTTCTTCACATGCCTCAAGAAGATAATTCCAGATGGTGAGAATCTAACTTTTGTCTCGGACATGCATTCTTCGATATACACCGGTCTTGGGAAGGTATGGAGGTCTATCTTTTAACATGGAGGTGTAATATTAGGAATAGTATGGGATTTTCATTGAACTATTTACTCTATTTATTGGATGTCTATTCACAAAAATGATTTGATATTTGTAGGTATATCCGAGGTCAAACCATGGGGCATGTATCGTTCATCTACAAAGGAATGTGGCTACAAAGTTTAAGAAGAGAATGCTCGCCGGCCTTATTTCCAAGGCAGCTAGAGCTTACAGGAAGACAACATTTTACGAGTTCTTTGAGGAAATTGAGAGAGCTTCCCCCGGATGCGCAGAATATTTGATGGTTATTGGGTTAGAACATTGGACAAGGTCACACTGCTATGGTCAAAGGTACAACATCATGACTTCGAACGTTGCCGAGTCACTCAATGCAGTCCTCAAAGAGGCACGAGAGCTGCCAATAGTGACTACCCTAGAGTACATCAGAGGTACTCTAATGACTTGGTTTGAGAAGCGTAGGGAAAAAGCAACCCAACACGAAAAGCCGCTTACACCAAAGGTGGAAGAAATTGTTCAAAGGGACTATGAACGGTCCACATGTTACGACGTCGCAAAGATCAACAACGAGCAATACGAGATAAAGACCACAACAGGTCTATCGTATGTTGTGGATATCCAAAAAAGGACATGCACCTGCGAGGAGTTCAACTTGCTACAAATTCCTTGCAGCCACGCAATTGCAGCCGCGATACGTTGTGACATGAGTGTGCCAATGTTGGCAGCTCCCCAGTACGGAAGCTTCTTTTGGAGTTTGGCTTACAATGGCAGTATCCATCCCGTCCCCAACTTAAGCACTTTACGTGAGGTGCCAGACGGAATTGCTACATTGACAGTCCTTCCTCCACTTACCAGAAGGCCGCCAGGTAGGCCAAAGCGTACTAGATACCTTTCAAATGGAGAATTTAAGGTATTATTGGATATATAATGTAATATAGATGCCAAACTTAAATATTAGAGGTAGGCCAAAGCGTACTAGATACCTTTCAAGTGGAGAATTTAAGGTATTATTGGATATATAATGTAATATAGATGCCAAACTTAAATATTAGATGTTTAAATCTTTTTCTCGCATACTTTCAACCAATGCAGAGGCCGAAGAAGATAACGAAGCGGAGCTGTAGCAGGTGCCGTGGGACTGGGCATAACCACGCTTCCTGCAAGATGCCAATATAACCTAGCTATGCGGAACCTTTGGTAATATATACGCATAATTATAAATATGAACCGCTAATAATACATATAGAGCGTTATGTCACAAATACACCTAACAAAATTATGAATTATGCATCTGCCCCTTTTGGATGTATAAAAGCAGCTATTCGGATTTAAGTTTAGTGTTTACGGCTTCAAGAAGTGGCAACATTTTCAATGTATGATAAAGATGCTACTGGAAAATTATGTAATATATGTGTTTCTGTGGGTGAACTTTCCCCACTTATGTAATATATTCCTGAACTATTCCAATAATGGTGTCCTGCGTTGATCTTGTGAGTCCGCACACCATTCAATCTGGCTTTGTAATATATTAATGCTTTCCGGTTAAACTTAAAAAACCCTTAGATGTCTATAAAGAAAAATAAATGTATCGTTTGAAAAAAAACTTAAAAATCAAAGAACGAAACCGTGAGAAAACAATATAAAAAGGGACACAGTGAGCTAGGCCGCATAGGGGGCACCTATTAGGCTATGAAGCGTACAACACAAAGACGCGTTTTCAATGAGGGGACCACCGTCTCCAAACTTAGCCTTACCACACCATCAAAGGGTATGGTGAAGCAGCTACGGAAAAAAAAAACAAAAATAAAAAACAAAACAACTCAGATCTACGCGACATGTTAGGGCAACAGTTGACTACGGGGTCGGAAGGCGGCTCAAGCTCGACGGTTCAAGAGTTCGGCAATGAGATGACAGCTGAAGGTTATGAATGCGACTGCGGGAAGCAGACATTAATCTTCCAAGCGTGGACGGACGCAAATCCAGGCCGACGTTTCTATAGGTGTGGTGCGGGTTGGAGAAGCGAATGTAACCACTTCCGATGGATAGACCTTGAGAAGCCACATGGATGGCAGAAACAAGCACTTTTGGAAGCAAGGGACTTGATCAAAGCACAAGATGCAGAACTTAAGAGACTTAGGGAGAGTCAAGCTGAAGGAATCGAAAACTACGCCGGTGAGGTAAGTATAGAATATCAGAAAAAAATGGAGGACTTGGAGAAGGAAAAAAACGCTTTAGAAAGCGATTTGAAAGCAAGCAAGGAGAAGGAACAAACGATCCGCGAAGTACTCCTAATTTCATGGATAGGATTTATTTGTGTCTTCGCGACCGTCGTCCATGCCTTGAAGTAAGCCATTATTTGATAATATAGATGTCTAATCCGTTATGTAGCTTGTATTCAATGATAGTACTTGGGATGTATGAATCGAGTAAATTACATATTCCTGATTTAGTCTTCTTAAATATCGTGTGCACCGGTATCTAGATTTATAGAAGGATAGTTTGAAAATTACGTAAAAATAACTATAAATGGATATCTAGAAAACGAAGTAACTAACAATAGACTACCCATCCCTATAAGATGAACAAAATAATAATAGGTAGATTGCAAAGGCCATAAATACGCATCTAGAACACTCCGTAAATTGCAATAAGTAAATAAAAAATTAATACATATATTTAAATGTCTACTTCAAGAATTGCAAACCTATGAATCATAATATATTATCTAATATACTACATATACATCCATTTTTGAGCTTAGACAGCATATAGATCATGTTAACGCTAAATTAGGAGGTAGATTGTAACAAAGACAATTACTACATATTAGAAACGAGGGCTAAGTAGACTAAAGGTTCAAAAAGAAATAGAATCCACAAAAGCATAAGAGTTATTAGTACAAACATAAAGATAATAGTAACAAATCCGGAATTAAACTAAAAGTCCAAAAGATAAGCCGGAGATCGCAAATTGTTCAACAAAAAACTAAAATAGATGGAAATAGAGACAGAGTGAAGTCAAACTTCAATATCACCACAACAATGCTCGTACAACTGCACGGCTAACTGCTCTGCACCGTGACGAATGCCAGACTCAGATACTTGACAAACTTTCTCAAAACCTCCAACTGCATGGGCCTCCATGAAAAGAAGGGAGAGCATACCGGTGTTCGCGCAGTCTGAGGCTTGGGTGATGCGAGTGTGGCGAGTGAAGGACAAAGGAGTCAGAGGATATTTGAGCATAAGATCATTCGCACCAACCTGACGAACCAAATATGGAAACATCTCACATAAAAACTCAAGCTCAGGTTTGAGTCTGGAGCCACGACGGACATTCGCAGTAGAATCAAAAACAGATAGGGAGTGAGAGGGCAGGTCCACCATAACAGCAATCCAACGGTTCTTGGCAATGTTGAAGGGAGAGTACAGGTAATCAATGTTGACCAACCACTGCCTTCCAGTGCTGGTAAATCTGCTACTTAGAGAGCTCAATAGATCAGCATCGAAATCAAAACTCTCTTTGCGCCTAACCTTCTTGAACTTAGAGTACATAGAAGCAAGTGAACCATGGAACTGGCTTGTCAGCATATCAGCTCTCGGGACGGAGGCAGGATCAGTGTTAATGAAGATGGATTCCCTCATAACAGTGACACACGCGTCCATGACCTACAAAACAACAATTTGTAAGACAGAAAAAAGAATGATGTAATAATATAACTTGATACAGATGTAAACCTGCGGATTTTCAGGTGGAATGCTACTAGCGACTAGCCGCAACTCAGTCTCCTTCAAAACAAGTCCTCCACCATACTCAAAGTCACTAGGCAAAATAAAATTCAAAAACATGGACATGTAAATAAATATATAGCATTCAGAATATGTAACTGAAAAGATTTCATTCTAACTATACATGTATCTCTCTACACTATAACATGCCAATCTAAAATAATAAATAACTGATATGCAATTTAGGTTAGCGACTTACAATCTAGGCTCAAGTAGCTCGACTAGTTTTTTGAACTTCTCAGAGCTAGGACAACCATCGGATTCACCCACCACCTCAGAAACAATACCACTCTCTCCATCAATACTATCTCTTGATGCCTCCGACTGATTGGATGCCTCACTCGCAGAGGAAGAACCATCAACCTAGAAAAAAAAGAAACAAGTCATAAACAAGTAAACTAATTTGACTCGCGTCAAAGAACCAGAGTAATACCTCTTCAGTGCCAACATTCAAATGGGTGGGAACTGCAGGTTTGTCAAGTTAGATGCACCGTCAACGGGATGGACAGCATTAACTGCACCATTATCAGGATTAACAGGGCTTGATGCACCATTGGCATGATTGAGGGAATTAGATGCACCATTAGCGGGAGGCTGACTGTAAGGATCAAAATTACCTACCCCAACTCCATCAACAACATTCTTTACTAGCTCTCGAGCACTTAGAGCCTCAGCCACCGCAGAGAAGATGCTTTGTTTCATACTCCTCTCTAACCTCAACTCCATCGCTTTCAAATCGACACAAACATGAGCATAAACATCACCACGAGCCTCCTTCAGACCAGCATCAATTTCATATTTAAGAGCACCAAGAAGAGAGGTATTAGGGTCAGACTGGACATGCCTACCCCTACCACTACGAACCTTCATTTTCTTCTTCCTAGACGACCCACCTTTGACCAAATGCTCACCACTCTGCTTGGAACGGACTTTCCTTTTACCTTTGTTAACTACCCGGGGAGGAGGCTCAACAGGCAAAACAACACCTCTGAGTCCCCCTACAAACATCCCCCGGTTGAATTCACAACCCTCCTCAATTTTTCGCATAATGACTTCAACACCTGGATCACGAACCTCATCAGGCCAGCTACAATCCTCTAAACCAGCAACATCTTCGGGTGCAGGAATGATAGATAGAACATCAACCTGGAAAAAAGACTAGCTCTGTTAACAAATGTCATATATAAACAAGATAAACATATCTACTATACATTTTTGCAACAGTTTTTGGGGTCCCTAATCGGGTCAAAATTTTGACCCGGAAATCTTTTAAATTTGACCCGGAATAATGACTCTCGGATCTTGCCTAATTTGAGATTTTGACCCGAAATCTCTCAATCGAATCCTACCATATTTGATGCTCCCTACATTCAAGGCAAAAAGCATTTAGTTTCTCATAATTGAAAGATATGGAGGATATATATAGTTATAACAAATTGATTTCGTAAGGCAAATTGTTTCCTATTTTAATGCTACATTTATCATTTGTTTCCTACATATATTTCGATATTCATTTCACCTTATCGAAAAGAAAATTGCTTCATAGCCAAAAGATTTTATCCTAATTTGTTTAAGCATCAACCTAGCATATTCTCTGTATTTCCCAATTTAAAGATCTCGAATTATACGAAATGCTTGGTCATCAAGATTTTTAAATATTCTCTAAACCCTATAACATACTAACTATCCAAACTCTATAAATAGTCGTTCATTTCCACTCTCTAAACACATTCTTTCTCATTATATGTCAGGTCCTGAAGAGTAGTAACAACGGAGTCAATGTTTGATCATAAACTCACCACAAAAAAGCGACTGCCTTCTCCAAACCTTTGTTGTGTGGACGGTTTAGCTCTTCCTTGAACCTGATAGATCCATTGGGACCTCCGGTTTTCTTCTTGGCATCATAGGTTCCTGCATCATGCCATCTATATGCACACAATAATTTGCATTTGGAAAGATTAAGACAAGAAAGGAAAACGGAGAATGATTCTGAGAGGAAAGATCTTACGCAAGACGGAGCATAATGGGAGCACAGTTTCTGGAAGAGATGAGAGCTCAAAGGTCTCTACGAGTCTTCTCTATCTCTTTGAGGTACTCTGCATCAACGTTCACTGCCATTGTCAAGATTTGAAGGAGCAAGCAAAATAACTCAGATCAATGAATAACATTGAAGAATGACTGAGATGGATGAATATATATAAATAGGATTGAAGAAGAGTCTAAAGGAGAAGAATGTTTTGTCATATGAGAAAGCAAAGTATTAATTATAGTTTTGGGAGAACCCTTTTGCTAATCTTCGCATATATTCAATTTTCATCTATGCAACTATATAGTTTATTGTAAAGTTGTAATTACCATCCCGTAGCTACCAGTTCTGGAACCAGGGGTCATAAACTATTTCCAAAGAAGATTCTACCTAACACTAAACTACCTTGGTTGTTGAAGATCAATTTGATTTAAATGATTTGGTTATTGTATTAACAAATAAAATCAAAGATAAGTTTTAGACATTTTCAATGTTGAACAAGATATGACATTCTGATCCTTAAAAGATTACCCTTGCATCATTTGGACTGTACGCTATCACTGCCTCCATCGAAACAGATCCATATCGAAACCTAGCAGCGGCGGTGGTAACATCGCCAATCAAAGGAGATAGATCGTTGAGAGCTGCGGCGGCGGCATCAAGACGGACGGTGGCTGTACGGATGTTGTTAAGACTATTTTGAAGGAGATTCACTTCCAGATCCGCTTGCTCCTTCAACGCCTTCAGCTGATCGATTCCCATCTTCTCCATCTCTCCTCTCGATGATGACGACGCCATTTTCTCTCTCTCTCTCTCACACAGTCGCGTCCTCGAGTCTGCGAATCGCTCAATCTCTTTTGGTCGAAAGCTTGGAGACGAAGTGTGTGTGGCCCGTTAAGTGGAGTTCAGCGTCAGAGTTGAAGTCCTCAAGGCCCATGTTGGCCCATTTGAGCCGTTTCTAACATTTTCGAGGCCTTAAATGATGATTAAAGAAAATAGTGTATGTCATATTTTGATTAACATAAAAGATTTAATATCCATTTTCATTCAAATTTTATATTAATATTTTAAAATTTCCGCATTTAATCAGGTCGTTTTTTTATTCTGACCCAAAATTGAGTCATTCGGATATTTCTTTAATTTTTAAATTTATCTAAAACGGGACAGTATACCACGGGTGAAATCCTAAAATTAACAACTCAAAATACAATTATTTAGTATTTTAAGATAGAATTATAAATTGTTTTTTACGGGTTGGTCCAAAAACACACACTAATTTATATATATTATGGAAACCATTTGAAAGCAAACTTTTAAATTGACTCGAATTATATATCTTTTAAATAAAAGTGTTATTAAAAAAATAACAAAATGTTGTTTAATTTCACAGGACGGGATTATATGGTGGACGGGTTTGGGTTGATATTAATACGGGATAATATATCACGGCTGAAATCCTAGAATTAACAAATCAAAATATAATTATACAATCTTAAACACTAAACAAAATAAATATAATTTAAAAATTTTATTTTTTAGTTACAACGCATGTGATCCGCGGTGTACAACAAAAAATATTATATACAACAAATTCATCAATTTATAAAAAGATAAAAAATCAAATAGCGGTCGAATATTTTTATTAGATCAAAATTTACTGAAGAATGCGTGAAAATTGATGAATTTGTGAACTTTAAAATTACTGCTATCCTTTACATCTAAATAACTCATATAATGCGTGATAATTAAAATCTGAGAATTATATTACCAATGCAAACAGATTGACATTTAACATATAAAAGCCAAGTACACATATAGGAGTTTTTCATCTTACTATAGAAACCAGCCGTATGTTTACACATTATCGAACTTTAAAAATATTAAATAATTTTTAGATATGTAGTATCAATTATAATAGTAATATAAAGGGAAATAATTTTCATGTAACACATATGTAATGATTAAAACATGATATAATGGTTAATATCGGAAACTTATAACACAAACAAAATTCCAACCATCATACTGAAATATATATATCACCACAAAAAAACAAACAAAATAAAATACAACCAATTATTATTTTCTTATAAATAACAAATAATAAAAATATTCGACCCGCGGTGTACCGCGGGTAACATCCTAGTATATATATAATAATATAGAGCTCTACAAAACCTTATTATCTTTGTCGAGATCCCAGACTTTATCGAGTTTCAACGAAATAACAGGAAAAACATCTTCATCCCCAGACTCTGGGTCAGTTATTTCACCAACAGCTGAAAGAACAGATGGGACAGCTTCCACCAAAACCAGAACAAGAGCATGGATAAAACCTTGAATGGCAACTGTTACTTGAGCTAATTGATTGAGGGATCTTGACTTAATGCATTGCATTGTCATATCGAAACTATAGCGTCCCCAAGGGTATTTCAGAAAGACATCTAAATCACGAATCATCTCCACATGCTCCTTAGGTATCTTCATGTGGAAAGATCTGCGACAAAGAAAACCATCAACAAGTAACAAACACGCATACTTAACTCTCACTTCACTAGTCAGTGCCTTAGCCCTCCGAAGCTTGCCCAACAACATCTCCCCGGTGAAATATTCTTCCCCTCCAAAGAGAGTGAACCAGTACGGAGTGACACCGGGAGGGCACTTAGTTAAAGCTCTATCCAGGGCTGGAAGAGGCTGACAATTTAGCCCGGTGACCAAACCAAACTCCCTGAGAGAAAATCGGACCGGTTTACCGGCAAAAACAACCCATATCTCGTGTCGCTTGACAACGTTAAGCTGACGGGTCAAAAGAAAGTGTGCCAACTTGCCAGAGAAGACAGGTTTGGAGTACACATCCAGAAGTTTCCCGAAACAAGGCCTAATGGTGTCAATCTCTTCAGGCGTAAGAGCTTTGAGCACAGCCTTGATCGTGTTGAGCTTGAAGTACATATTCACTCTATCGCCAGCCGGTTCCTCTCTATCAGCAAACAATCGGGAAGGCAGTTCCAACTCAGCCATATTCCTGAAGAGCAGACGAGGAAAACTGGGGTAAGTTTCAATGCAAACATTAAGTTAAATTGAAGATAATAAATAGACCTCTATTAACCCCACACATGCAAATATAGATCTATATTAAATATATATATATATATATATATATATATATATATATATATATATATCTATAGATATCTACAAAAGAACAAGAGATGCATGAACTATACACATGAATAAATACAGATCTACATAAATCGGTAGATATCCAAAACAGAAAAAGTTTGTTGAGAAAAAATCTTAACAGTAAAATATAGATCTATCAGAAATTTTGAATCCGTATACAGAAGAATAATAATAAAATGCGGATCTACATAGATCTGTAGATATTTAGTGAGAAAATCGGAAAACCGGGAAAAAAACGAAAAACTACACAGTCATGCAAGCCACATAATGAAACCCACAGACTGGAAAACTTCTGAATTTGGAAAAATCGGAAAACACAAATTACTAAAAAAACAGCAACTTTAAACTGTAACCAAATGGAAAACAAACTCGCCGGGAAGATTATACCGCTTATATACTTTAAACGGCGGAACAGAATCTTCGGGGGTTCAGCGACGGCCGGTGGGTTAGAGTTCAGAATGAACGATGGAGAAAAAGGAAGCGATTAGAGAAGATGGAGATAAATGATCAAATTTAGGGTTAAGTACCAATGAAGAAAAAGCGAAAGATGAACAGAGAAATGCAACAGTCAAATACAGAAGAAAATGAATTCAATTAAGAATGAACCCCACATATACACGCATAGTCGCCTCGGAAGAAACAAAAACTGTTCCGTTTCTCGCAGCGCGTGGGGTTAAAATCGGGAGAATGATGGGCTAATGTTACTCTTGTCTTGAGCCCCGACAAGAATTTACCAAAAACTAATTTGGGCCCAGATCATTACCTCTGCCTTAATTATCTCTTTTTTTCCATAAAAGAAGAATACGCTGAATAAGTGAACATGGTTTTTTCACATTTTTCTTTTTTTTTTCAACAAGTGACTCACATTTTTTTCGTAATTGGAGAAATTGGATCGTCTAATCAAAAAAGTCTGATTGGAATACACTGCTTAGTACTCTTTCTGTTTCAAAATATAAGATGTTTTAAACATTATATTTTGTTTCATATTTTTATAAGATGTTTTGCAAATTTCGATGCAAATATAAATGCATTTGATCATTTGTGACCAGTTATATTTTGGAGTATTTTATATGATTGGTGAGAAAAGCAAACTACCTAAATATGTGTATTTACCTTAAAGATCTTATAATTTGAAACAGTAATAAACAAAACAATAATTATAAAATGTAAGAAAAAAACTGAAAGTAAATAATTCATATGCTAAGTTGTTTTCTTTACAAAGTAAACTAAATTATCCCATTTTGAAAAAGATTACCAATCGAATTCAAAGATTTCGTTAGATTTAATTCCTAACAAAGAAAAAAAAATAGCAAAATAATTTTTTTGTTTTAAATGTTATTTGACGTATTCGTCGAATATGTTCTTCATCGATCGGACCAAATCAAAAAGAAACAACAAGTTGATTCTCACGTGTCGCTTTACTAATTGACATCTGACGTGTACACAGACGTCAAGTCATTTCCTTGCAACGCAAGCTTCCTTCCTCTGCAAGTCTCTTACTTTTTTTCGCTTCCCTCAAAAAGTCTTTAAACTATTTTTCTATCTTTTCTTAAATGTGAAACCGACAAAAGTATTTGCCATGTGCTTCTATAAAGCTAATCTTCTCTTTCTCACATTTTTAACTCATTTCTCACTAAAACCTTTTCTCAAATCTCTCACCGGAATAAAAATCTCTAGGTCACCGGAAAATTTTGCTTCATCGGATTTCTCTTTCTCACCGTCGTCGCTGTTCTCAGCGTACGCATCTTTAACCGGATTCTTGATGCTATTTAGATCGATGCTCCATGATTTCGTACCGGAGAAGCTTCGATCTTACTTCTCTAGCTTACTCGACCGGTTTTTTCACTCCGAAATCGAAGAATCTGACGGTGATTATCGACGAGAACTTTGGATTGAACAGGAATCAAGTCTTCGACGCGGCGGAGATGTATCTCCGGAACAAGATCGGACCTGATACAGAGCGGTTACGAGTCGGTAAGATCCCTAAACAGAAACATTTCACTATCTCGATTGAAAAAGGCGAAGAGATCTTCGATACTTTCGAGGATTCCGAGGTGAAATGGAGTTATGTTCAATCGGAGAACGAGAAAGGAGATAAAGTGAAACGATACTACGAGCTCACATTCGAGAAGAAGCTTAGAGACAAAGTCATGAACTCGTATCTAAGCCACGTTGTAGCGGAATCGGAGGAGATTAAGCGGAATCTGAGAGTGGTGAAGCTTTATAGCAGAGATGTGTATGCGAGTGATGATGATGATGGAATGGCTGGTGGGAATTGGGGATGTATCAATCTCGAACATCCATCGACGTTTGATACATTGGCGATGGATCCGAATGCGAAGAAGAAGATCATCGATGATTTGGAGAGGTTTTTGAAGAGAAGAGAGTTTTATAAGAGAGTTGGTAAAGCTTGGAAACGAGGTTACTTGTTGTATGGACCTCCAGGAACTGGTAAATCGAGCTTGATTGCTGCGATGGCGAATTACTTAAAGTTTGATGTGTTTGATCTTGAGCTTAGTAGTATTTATGACAATGGTGAATTGAAGAGGGTTTTGTTGTCTACGACGAATCGTTCGATTTTGGTTATTGAGGATATTGATTGTAATGCTAAGGTGAGAGATAGGGAAGCTGAGAATCAAGAAGACGAAAATAGTAATGGAAAGGTGAGATGTTTTGAATTTGTGATTTGGTTTTGATTTTTGAGAGAATTGATTGGTTCTTAGTTCTGACTATGATATTGTCTTTAAGCAGGTGACTCTATCAGGGATATTGAATTTCATTGATGGGTTATGGTCGAGTTTTGGGGACGAGAGAATCATCGTGTTCACGACGAATCACAAAGAACGGCTTGATCCTGCTCTGCTACGTCCTGGAAGAATGGATGTGCATATCAACATGTCTTATTGTACAGGTTTAGGATTTAGGACATTGGTCTCTAACTACCTCGGTTTAGATGGCTTAAACCATCCTCTTTGCGAGGAAATCGAGGCGCTGGTCGATTCTACTGAAGTTACTCCAGCTGAGTTAGCGGAAGAGCTGATGCAAGACGATGATACTGATGTTGTTCTTCGTGGAGTTATAAGCTTTGTTGAGAAGAGGAAGGTTGAGAGAAGCAAGACTAAGGAGGAGGTTTCTATTTGTAAAGCAAATGATAATGACGAAAAACAGAATGGTTCTTTGGATTGTGTAAAGAAGAAGAAGAAAGGTGGTAAACAAAAAGGAAAAGGGAAAGGGAAAGGAAAGGCCAAGACTTATTAGATAAGAGATATCTTTGTACAATATCTTGTGTTGTGTTGTGTAACTTGGTAAATCAAGCTTGTGTTTAACACTATAAGCCTAATAAATAAAGCTTGTATGGTTCTAAACTTCTACTTTTGACAGAAGCTTCCAAGAAAATAGTTTTTTAAGTCTCCGGACAAACCACCGCGTCTGTCTCAACTGAATCTTTCACAATTATTTGTGTCTGTCTTTCTGTTTCTTACGATCACATTCAAGATTTCTTTTTTAATGGTCGGTAAAACACGATTGTTTCTCTTGTATATTTTACCAACAATGGCAGTAAGTATCTATCCAATATATTGTAGTTCATCTAATTTAATTTAGATTTTAGTTCTGCTTCCTGATTTAGAATAATTTCAAATAATTAGCTAAATTTTTTTAACTTAACAGATGCATGATTTAGAATTATCGATACGAATAGGTGAATTTTTCGATTTTTTCCCCGGCAAAATCAGAATTTCATTGATTTAAAAGGGTTGTTACATATATATATATATATATATACACGTAGAATTATTAGAATACAATTATACATACGTAGATCAGATGTATGTGTAATACACTAAAAAAATTATAACATAAGGGAGATTGACGATAATTTTCGAAGATTAGTCTTATTCGTTAAACGACTATAAGATCTGTTATTGTCCAACTTCATATTTAATTTTTTTTTTGTTACGATTGGCATGCAACAACTTGTGGTTAAAATTTATTTTTGCAAACCGTAGCTTTAAAATGATCACTAAAATGATGTCTAGTGATAACATATTTTTTTTTTAGGTTATGATAGATTTATTTAATATTAACAAAAATTTGGCGTTTTATAACAGATTTGTTAATGATTTTTTTTTTTGCTAGAATGACCTATAGCCAAAACATATATGTTTTATGTTATGCCATAATTTATTTTATGTTATGACAAATGTATTTTGGGTTACAAAAAATCTAGCATTTGATAGAAGATTTGTTAAAGAAAAAAATAAATTGCTCCAATGACCTATTTATTGACAACATACTAGTTTTATGTTATGACAGATTGTATTTTGAATCTTATGATGACAACTTTATTGTTATCTTGTGTTCGCTAATTTTTGAAATATAATTTGTTTTCAGTGGTTACAGACTTTGATTGACGGATTCTTTTTGAAGGTTTAGAATCAGTTTATGACAGACTTAAATTTTGCGGCTTACTTTTTAAAGTTATAACAGATTTGTTTCAGGAAATTGGTTTAACTTTTTACGACTGACTTATAATTATATCCGTGGTAGATGAACAGAGAAACGCAACAGTCAAATTACCAAGGGAGAGCCAACCGAATAGCGGAAGAGTTAATCGCAAAACAAACCAAATCGGATTCTCCAAACAAGGAGCATCGGTGTTGGTACTGGGCTTCGACGTGTAAAGGCCCATTGACGAGGCCCATTAATTTGGCGTCGGTAATTAGTTAGGCCTTGGAATTGGAAGTGGGGGGCCAATAACGACGGTCCATTAAGCGCCAAAGCATAGGAAGATCGAATCAAAAGTCCTTGAAAGATTGGATCGGCAAGATACGAAAAAACGGCTACGCAAAGCGAGATTTGAGGAAACTGAGACCTGCTAATACAAATACGAAGTCGAAGGTTTTTTTGTTCACTAAAGGATTGTAAAATATGAAGAATGTTCGATTGATTTTTTTTTTTTTTTTTTTTTTTGGCTTATTCATTTTTTGATATTTCTACTTAAATGTTAAGTTATTTTAGTTTTCTAATATGTTTGAGTGTTAATCTAATTGGTTTTGCTTACATTTGTATCAAATTAGATAAATTTCAGTATTTTATATTTAGAGATTATAAACGTTTGGATTCTTGGGTTTTGTTTTGGGCTTGAACGAACAAGACACCCTAATGACACCACCGCTTTACTAATTGACGTTTCCTTGCGACGCAAGCTTCCTTCCTCCACAAGTCTCTTACTGTTTTTTGCTTCCCTCGAAAATATTTTTGTTATTTTCCTATTGGTCTACTTTTTTAAAATCAAAGGAAGAAGTAATAAATTAAAGGAAAATAAAGAATAAATTTAATGAATAGTAATAGTATTTTCATGTGAGTCTCTATATAAAGCTATAAAACTCTCACAGTTTTAACTCATCCCAACACTTCTAAAACCCTAGCTAGGTCATAAGAAATCCGCAAGATCTTTGTGGATTTCGGTTAACAGAGATGTTTCCTTCATCCAATTTCTCTTTATCACCATCGTCGCTGTTCTCAGCGTACGCATCCTTAACCGGATTCTTGATGCTCTTTAGATCTTTGTTCAATGATATCGTACCAGAGAGGCTCCGATCATACATCACCGACTTACTTAACCGGTTCTTCACTCCGAAATCAAAGAATCTGACTATGGTTATCGACGAGATGATCGGATATAAGAGGAACCAAGTTTTTGACGCGGCAGAGGTCTACCTCCGGAACAAAATCGGACCGGAGACAGCGCGTTTACGAGTAGGTAAACTCCCAAAGCATAAGCACTTCACAATCTCGATCGAGAAAGGCGAAGAGATCTTGGATACTTTTGAGAATTGCGAGCTGAGATGGACTTACATTGAATCAGAGAACGAGACAAGCAGAAAAGAGAAACGTTACTACGAGCTCACATTCGAAAAGAAGCTTAGAGACAAAGTTATGAACTCTTATTTGAGCCACGTTGTAGCCGAATCCGAGGAGATTAAGAGGAATCTGAGAGCGGTGAAGCTTTATAGCAAAGATGTGCGTGCGAGCAAAGATGATGATGGAATGGCTGGTGGGAATTGGGGATGTATCAATCTCGAGCATCCGTCGACGTTTGATACATTGGCGATGGACCCGGGTGCGAAGAAGAAGATTATCGATGATTTGGAGAGGTTTTTGAAGAGGAGAGAGTTTTACAAGAGAGTTGGTAAAGCTTGGAAACGAGGTTACTTGTTGTATGGTCCTCCAGGAACTGGTAAATCGAGTTTGATTGCTGCTATGGCTAATTACTTAAAGTTTGATGTGTTTGATCTTGATCTTAGTAGTATTTATGACAATGCTCAACTAAAGAGCATCTTGTTATCAACCACGAATCGTTCGATTTTGGTTATTGAGGATATTGATTGTAGTAGTGCCGAGGTGGTAGATAGGGAAGCTGATGAGTATCAAGAATACGAAGAGGGTTATTATGGAAAGGTGACATGTTTTGAATTTGTGATTTGGTTTTATAGTTTTGAGAGAATCTATTGGTTCTTAGTTTTGACTATGATATTGTCTTTGAGCTGCAGGTGACTCTATCAGGGCTTTTGAATTTCATTGATGGGTTATGGTCAAGTTTTGGCGATGAGAGAATCATCGTGTTCACGACGAATCACAAAGAACGGCTTGACCCTGCTCTGTTACGTCCTGGAAGAATGGATGTGCATATCAACATGTCTTATTGTACTGGTCTAGGGTTTAGGACATTGGTCTCTAACTATCTCGGTTTAGATGGCTTAAACCATCCTCTCTGCCAAGAAATCGAGGCGTTGATCGATTCTACTGAAGTTACTCCTGCTGAGTTAGCTGAAGAGCTAATGCAAGATGATGATACTGATGTTGTTCTTCGTGGAGTAGTTAGCTTTGTTGAGAATAGAAAGTTCGAGACAACCAAAACCAAGGAGCTGGAGGACGAAAAACACAATGTTTCTTCTACGAATGGATCGAAGAAGAAAAAAGGTGGAAAAGGAAAAGGGAAAGGAAAGGCATAAGGTTAATCAGTTTGGTTTGAAGTTTTTTTATTTACTTTAGAAGATAGGTCTATTCGAGAAATAAAAAATAAGTCTCAATCGAAATCATATTATATTTTTAATCACTGTTGTTTGTTTTTTTTTTTTTTACTTTTCTGCAAATAATTTCATTGATATCGAATCGAAATCTAAATTACAAGTTTAGTATATAGATAATTCGAAAACAAATTATTACATATGTTAATGTATGTGCTGTGAAATGTGTGCATGGGTAGCATCTCTTTGATGAACTTCCATAATGCACATCGCATGATAAAACCCAATGTTTCCCAAAATGATTATGAAATTTTGACATGATACTTAGGATTCCGTATCAATGTCATTATGAAATATTTTGACTTTCGTGTTCTCCCGGTTCGGTTCGACCATACATACTTTTGTTTGTAACTACCACAATCAAACGATCATATATCAACCATCATTACGCTTTCCTCGTTTTTCGTCATGGACTCATGGCTTGTTAAAACTCTCACGCCAATATTTGAACACCTTCACGTGTAATCTCAAAATGCCAATCCGATAATAGTGAAGTTAATGAAGTCATAATTCGCTAGTCGACTTGTTGACAATGTTTCAAAATTAGCATTATCTTCCAAAGAAAACATAAGAAACTCTCTGGTCTTTGCATCTTTCACAAAAACACCAAAGACACATCCAAACATGTCTTACTGCTAACAACCAACAACACGCTATAAACGCCATTAACACTAAAAACTCGATACCATCAAGCAACATGAATCCAATACTGAAACCTGAGCATACCCAACTTGGATCTCGAAAAACCAAGTAAATGGGCCTGCCAATATTATGGTCCATGAATATTTGTAGAAGACAACAAAACTATCTCGTATTGTCTTCTCCATAAAAAAAAATACGACAAATAAATATATAAACATTTAGAGACATGGAAAAGAGAGATAAAATCAATGAGATATGTATCCTACCAAAAAAAAATCAATGAGATATGTAAAAACAAAAACTTAAAATGGTGAATTGAAAAAGTTACTTCTTTTTTTTTTGAATTACTAGAAAGTTATAAGTTAAAGAGGAAAGGTATCAAAGAGGAAAGTAATGAGTTAAAGGAAAAAAAAGAAAATTTCCTTAAGCGTCTATATATATACAGTAGTTATATACTATGAAGTTATAAATCCTCACATCACTTCTAAAGCCCTAGCTAGGTCATCGGAAATTTTATGGCTTTTCAAGTAACAGAGATGTTTCCTTCATCCAATTTCTCTTTCTCAGCATCGTCGATGTTCACAGCGTACGCATCCTTAATCGGATTCTTGATGCTCTTTAGATCGATGCTCAATGACATCGTACCAAAGAAGCTCCGATCTTACATCTTTGACTTACTCGACCGTTTCTTCACCCCGAAATCGAAGAATCTCACTTTGATTATCGACGAGATGGTCCGATATAAGAGGAACCAAGTTTTTGACGCGGCGGAGATGTACCTCCGTAACAAGATCGGACCCGAGACATCACGTTTACGAGTCGGTAAGCTCCCTATGCAGAAGCACTTGACAATCTCGATCGAGAAAGGCGAAGAGATCTTGGATACTTTCGACAACTCTGAGGTGAGATGGAGTTTCGTTGAAACAGAGAACGAGAAAACAGAGAAAGTGAAACGTCACTACGAGATCACATTCGAGAAGAAGCTTAGAGACAAAATCATCAACTTTTATTTAAACCATGTTTTAGCCCAAGGGGATGAGATTAAGCAGAATCTGAGAGTGGTGAAGCTTTATAGCCGAGATGTTGGTAGGACCGATGACGACAGTGGAATGGCTGGTTCGGATTGGGGATGTATAAATCTTGAACATCCTTCCACGTTCGATACATTGGCGATGGATCCGGGCGCGAAGAAGAAGATCATCGATGATTTGGAGAGGTTTTTGAAGAGGAGAGAGTTTTATAAGAGAGTTGGTAAAGCTTGGAAACGAGGTTACTTGTTGTATGGACCTCCAGGAACTGGTAAATCGAGTTTGATTGCTGCGATGGCTAACTACTTAAAGTTTGATGTGTTTGATCTCGATCTTAGTAGTATTCATGACAACTCTGACCTCAAGAGTGTCTTGTTATCAACCACGAATCGTTCGATTTTGGTTATTGAGGATATCGATTGTAGTGCCGAGGTGATAGATAGAGAGGCTGATTCTGATCAAGAAGACGAAGAGAGTAATGGAAAGGTGACATGTTTTGAATTTTGTGTTTTGAGAGAATCTAAATATTGGTTTTTTAGTTCTGACTGTGTTATTTTTCTTTGAGCAGGTGACTCTATCAGGGATTCTGAATTTCATTGATGGGTTATGGTCGAGTTTTGGGGACGAGAGAATCATCGTGTTCACGACGAATCACAAAGAACGGCTTGATCCTGCTCTGTTACGTCCTGGAAGAATGGATGTGCATATCAACATGTCTTATTGTACAGGTTTAGGATTTAGGACATTGGTCTCTAATTACCTAGGGTTAGATGGCTTAAACCATCCTCTTTGTGAGGAAATCGAGGCGCTGATCGATTCTACTGAAGTTACTCCAGCTGAGTTAGCGGAAGAGCTGATGCAAGACGATGATACTGATGTTGTTCTTCGTGGAGTAGTTAGCTTTGTTGAGAAGAGGAAGGCTGAGAGAAGCAAGACAAGTAAGAAGCTTTCTATTTGTAAAGCAATTGATGACGAAAAACAGAATGGTTTGAAGAACAAGAAATGTGGAAAAGGAAAAGGGAAAGGAAAGGCATTCGGTTAATTAATCTTATTCGGAATCAAATTATATGTTTATTCAGTTTAGTTTGGTTTGGTTTGTTATTATTACAAACATATTACAATATTAAAAAAAATTAACTGATTTTAATAAGATTTTTAATATATTTAAATATATGTTTCTATATAATTAATTAAAAAACATTAATTATTTTAATAAATTTTGGTTATTTGGCTCGGATACGTTCGCATATACACGTGACATTTTCTGATATGATCGTAAGTTCGTAACCCAGCAATAGCATGTCATCTATCTCTTGACTCTTCCCTCCGTTTCTATATATGGGGAATGTACAAAGAACAAAAAGAGAAAGAAAGAGAAATGGAGAAGAGAATCATCAATGGTTGGTCAAAGAGAAAACAAAAACATGTGGTGTAGCTTTCAAACAAAAGATTACGAGATATTTTTGGACAGATTTCATTCTCCTCTTTATTCTCACCAATCTCTTTTTATTGTTCCTCCATATTCATCATCATGATCAATCCTCTTATGTGTTTTCTTTCGAAATATTATCGAATAGAGGATTTGGTAATAGATTGTGTTTATGACTGGAATGTGTTTTGAGTCTTGCAGACAATTGGAAAGGACTTTGGTTATCATAATTCATAAGAACACTCTTTTTTTAGAGTGCTCTTCTCGCCTGCCCCTATCTGCCTAATCCATACCTATCATATCTCTCAACGTTGGTAAGTCTCTTTTTCTTTTCCATTGATTTATTATGAATCTTTACTTTTGTTACCTTTCTTGATGTATGTGTTTTTCGGATCTTACTTAATTAGATCTTGACGTATGTGTTTTGGAGAGACCCAATGTGTGTTCTTTTAAAAAGAGGAGTTGCTCCAAGTTGAGTTGTTCCTTGACGAAGAAGAGAAGAAGTAGCAAAGTGATGTCCGTGGAGATCTTTGAGGATGAGCATGACGCGGAGGAGGTAAAGGCGGTTGATGCATTCCGCCAAGCGCTTATTCTCGATGAACTACTTCCGGACAAACATGATGATTACCATATGATGCTTAGGTCTACCTTGGAATATACATAGAATATGAAAAATCATATGCCAATGAATGCATCTATGTTTATACTTAGCTTGGATGTTCCTTCATTTTGCAGGTTTTTGAAGGCTAGAAAATTTGATCTTGAGAAAACCAAACAAATGTGGTCTGACATGCTCCGATGGAGGAAGGAGTTTGGTGCTGACACAGTTATGGAGGTATGTCTTTTATGGAGCTTTTATGTATACAAGAAGGTGCATTGTGATTGAAAACAATGTTCTTACTCTATTTTTTCTTTGTATGTATATGTCTTTTAGGATTTTGAATTTAAGGAAATAGATGAAGTGTTGAAATACTACCCTCAAGGACACCATGGAGTCGACAAGGAAGGAAGACCAGTGTACATTGAGAGGCTAGGTCAAGTAGACTCTACCAAGTTGATGCAAGTCACAACCATGGATAGATATGTGAACTACCATGTGATGGAGTTTGAGAGGACTTTCAATGTTAAGTTCCCAGCATGCTCCATCGCGGCAAAGAAGCACATTGATCAAAGTACAACAATTCTTGATGTCCAAGGAGTGGTATGTACATAACTGAATGGTCATTTGTAGAAACTATAATCCAATATTGACCAAAAATGATGTATGAATGATATTAACAGGGGCTCAAAAACTTCAACAAGGCAGCAAGGGATTTGATTACACGTCTTCAAAAGGTCGATGGCGACAACTATCCAGAGGTGCACTTTATATTATCATCATTGGTTTATCTTTTATGAATGATTCTTGGTTGGTCGGTCAACTTTTTTTTCTCATTTATCTGTGTCAATGGCTCAGACCTTGAACAGGATGTTTATCATCAATGCTGGCTCAGGATTCAGGATGTTGTGGAACACGGTTAAGTCCTTCCTTGACCCAAAGACTACAGCAAAGATCCATGCAAGTATCCAAACCCTTTTTATCACTTTGACACTTATATATGAATGATAGATATTCTAAGTACTTAGCTAATTTGATATTCAGGTTCTTGGCAACAAGTACCAAAGCAAGTTGCTTGAAATAATTGATGCTAGGTGAGCTCCACAAAAAGTTTCTGCATGACCTCTCAGAAGATAGTATGTCTCTGTTTATCGTGCTAGATACTGATGGATGGCTTCTCATTTTTCTTTGTATCAGTGAGCTGCCTGAGTTTCTGGGAGGTTCTTGTACTTGTGCTGACAATGGAGGTTGCATGCGCTCAGACAAAGGGCCATGGAACAATCCATATATTATGAAGGTATGTTTTCTACAAATTCTTTGATCTACTATAGTAACAAGAACGCTCATCATAGTTAGTTTCTTTCTTTCTCTATGAAAACTAAGCTGATTCTCACCATTGACCTACAGAGAGTTAATAATGGTGACCACAAGTGCTCAAAGAGATCTCAAGCTGAAAATGCTGCAGAGAATACTATCTCTCAGGGAAATGACTCTGCAGTTGAGGAAGCTCCTGAAACTGACCAGTCACAGCTCTCTCCTTGTCAAAATGTAAGAATGACCCTACTTCCTTCAGGCTTATATGTGACCCTCCAAATTCTCCTTATATGTCTTCCTACATCTCAGGTTGTGGTTGCTCATCCAGCTTGGAACATACCAGAAGCTCACAAATTTTCCCTCTCAAAAAGTATAAGAGATCATGTTCAAACACAACTAAAGAGACAAATAATACTCCTAGTTAAAAGATTTGAATTTAAGTACTTCTTTGTGTTTGAACAGGGGATGTTTACGCTATTCAAGAAGCATGCAAAGCTACAAATGAAAGTGGGAGGTCTCCTATTTTCACTGGAGTCATGGCTTTTGTAATGGGTGTAGTCACCATGATTAAAGTGACTAAAAACGTACCAAGGAAGCTAACCGAGTCAACCATATACTCTAGACCAGTTTACTGCGACGACAATTCGATGAACAAAAGCTCGATGCATGCGGGGAAAATGGCAGCAACAACCATCTCAGGGGATGATTTCATGGCGGTCATGAAACGAATGGCTGAGCTTGAGCAGAAAGTCACAATATTGAGTGCACAGCCAATAACTATGCCTCCTGAAAAGGAAGAGATGCTTAATGATGCCATTAGCCGAGCCGATTTCTTGGAACAAGAACTTGCTGCAACCAAGAAGGTAACATAAAACAAAAAAACATTCATATTATTGATTTGTTCTCATCTTTCACTATCTCCCATTAAATATTTGTTGTATCTTCACAGGCTCTTGATGATTCTCTTGGCCGACAAGAGGACCTTGTGGCATACATTGAGAGAAAGAAGAAGAAGAAGAAGCTGGTTCGTGTTCAAAGTAATCAATGGCTACTAAACTGAGTTTAGTTATGGTCTTTAAAATGGTGTTTTGTTTTGCTTTTTATCTATGTGTGCAGTTCACTTGGTGAGAGAGGAATATGAGGAAGAAGAAGCCTCTAGTGGAGTTACAGGTCGCCAATGCACTCATGTCATTAACTTAAATCTTACATTCATATTGAAATTAAGAGAATCTCCAAAGAAAGAATTTTGTTTTGTCTCTGTATATATATTATCTTCCTTAGATGTTATCACTTATCCGCATCATACGCGAGATTAAGATTTGTAAAATTGTACAAAAAAAAAAAGATTTGTATAAAAAAAACAAAGAATTTATAAGAAATTTAAATTGTAAAGTAGTTTTTATAAAAAAAACTTTATTTACTTAAGGCACCAATGAAGTTCATATAGTTCATGCTTATTGTTTTTATAAGATTCTGTTAATGTTATCAAAATTGTTTGTGATTAATAGTGGATTTATTATAGTTATTGTCGTTAGAATATCAACAAAGTGGCTGTAGTTTAGTGGTAAGAATTCCACGTTGTGGCCGTGGAGACCTGGGCTCGAATCCCAGCAGCCACACTTTCACCTTTTTTATATTTAATCTCAAAGCCTCCATATGACACAGAAGGTCTTTATAGTTGACGCACTTTTTGTGGCTTTGAAGTTAGGTTTAACTACACCCAGTAGAAACTTCGATTCGGACAACAACAAGAAGTTGCTCCCAATCTACGTTAGCCACGTGTCACTTTTCACTTGCACCCACGTGCTTAGCCGGTTACTTAATCCATTTAAAATCCTCAATTTCTGTATTCGTGTACGTATATTATACCAACAAAAATTCTACTTAATAAATCTTACTCAATTTTTTTCTAATTAATTACAAAATCAATAGTATAATTTAATTCCTATGCATTAACATTTTTATTAATCCTGATTTGTTTGAAAATATGAAGAGTCCATGAGATTTTTTTTATTAATTAATACAACAATTATCTTGTAACTGAAGTTTTTACACAAAAATATCTAATCTACAAGAGAATGTCGTTTTCGTAATTAGAAGACTTTGTAATTTGTTTTTCCCAAAAAAGAAAAAGAAGTAACCAAAGCCTTCTTCATCAACCAACGTATTTTGGCTTCCTTTCTTCTTCTTCTTCTTCTTCTTCTTCTTCTTCTTCTTCCTCTTCCCTAACATTCCATTCCCCGTATGGGTCTCACCACTTCCTAACTCTTCTCTCTCTCTCTTATCTCTTCTTGTTTTAGCTATGAAGAAGCAATCTCAATTCAGATCCAATCATACCCTTCTCTTCTTTCTTCACTGATCATCAACAACAACAACGATTCGGGTTCTGTAATTTCAGTTATTGGTATGTTCGATCTCTTGTTCTGTTTCTTCTCTGTTTGTTTTAACTTTTAATTTTGAGTTTTGATTATGATTACTCTTAAAGTTTGCTTTTTTAGGGAGTAGTAAGATTGATAGCTAAGTAAAGAGGACTTTTTTAGTTGAATTTCACTTTTTGGAGACGTAAAGAAGAAAAAGTTTCATAAATCCCTAAAATTTCGAAAAATCTCTATAAACCCTTTTTCAAAATCTTGCCAATTTAGAGGAAAAATAAAAGTTTTGTTTTTTGTATGATTTAGCAGAGAGAAATGGCGATGTTAGTTGAGCCACCAAATGGGATTAAACAACAAGGGAAACATTACTACTCAATGTGGCAAACATTGTTCGAAATCGATACTAAGTATGTTCCAATTAAACCTATTGGAAGAGGAGCTTATGGTGTGGTTTGTTCTTCAATCAATCGTGAGACTAATGAGAGAGTTGCTATTAAAAAGATTCACAATGTGTTTGAGAATCGTGTTGATGCTTTGAGAACGTTGAGGGAACTTAAGCTTCTTAGGCATGTGAGGCACGAGAATGTTATCGCGCTTAAAGATGTTATGTTGCCTTCTAATAGATCCAGTTTTAAAGATGTTTATTTGGTTTATGAGCTAATGGATACTGATCTTCATCAGATCATTAAATCCTCTCAGCCTCTTTCTGATGATCACTGCAAATACTTCTTGTTTCAGGTAACGTTAAGCCCTTCCTCGGTAAGTCTACATTTTCGAGTATTATCGGTTAGTTATTGACAGAAGTTTTGTTGTTGTTGTTTAGTTGCTTAGAGGATTGAAGTATCTTCATTCTGCAAACATCCTTCACCGGGATTTGAAGCCCGGGAACCTCTTAGTCAACGCGAACTGCGATCTCAAGATTTGTGATTTTGGGTTGGCGAGAACGAGCCAAGGCAATGAACAGTTCATGACGGAGTATGTTGTTACACGTTGGTACCGAGCACCTGAGCTTCTTCTTTGCTGTGATAACTATGGAACCTCCATAGATGTATGGTCAGTTGGCTGCATATTCGCGGAGATTCTTGGTAGGAAACCGATTTTCCCGGGAACAGAATGTCTCAATCAGCTTAAGCTAATCATCAATGTTGTTGGTAGCCAACAAGAATCGGATATTCGGTTCATAGACAACCCGAAAGCTCGAAGGTTTATAAAGTCTCTTCCTTTCTCAAGAGGAACTCATCTCTCCAATCTCTACCCGCAAGCCAATCCTCTAGCTATAGATTTGTTACAGAGGATGCTCGTGTTCGATCCAACGAAAAGAATCTCGGTAACCGATGCACTCTTACACCCGTACATGGCGGGGCTGTTTGATCCTGGATCCAATCCACCTGCACATGTCCCAATCTCTCTGGACATAGACGAAAACATGGAGGAACCAATGATCAGAGAGATGATGTGGAATGAGATGCTTTATTACCACCCTGAAGCTGAAATCGCAAACACCTAAATCATCCATCAAGAGTAAGTTTTTTTTTCTTCCAGTTTTCTTCTTTTTAAAATGCAGCTTTGATGTTATGTTGTTATATAGCGAGTCCACAAACATCTGGTTTGATTTAGTTGCAGTGAGTGAGTAGTAGTAACAAAGTTTGAAAAGTGGCTCTCAGTATCTTACCACTTTGTAAATGTGACTGTTTGTTACTAAAGTAAGTTAAGGCTTGTTTTTGTTACATTATCTTTGAGTTGATGAGTTTACTTCAGATTTTCAGACCAAAAATCTTCTATTTTGTATAGCTTTGCCATTGCCCACTTGCCAGCCCCACGAAATAATTGTTTAAATAAAAGTGTAGATGTTATTTTCTCTAATTTTCACGTTTTTATCCTACCTTTACAATTTCATAATGTGTCACTTCATATTTTTCGTTTATTTTTTAATACTACCAAAACAATTTTTTTTTTTTTTTTGTGAATTTAATGTTAAATTATATTCAAAAGAAAAATAAACGTTTTCTACAAATCGATACAAACTTTTTGAAACATTTTTAGGTAGCTAACATATTCTCCTTATGGTCTTGTCCTCCTTATGGTCTTGATGCAAACCACGTTTGTAGATCACCCGCATACTTCAAAACTCCCCCACCTTTCATCGTGTTCAACCAAAACAATTTCAGAATATATAGGTAATAATCTTATAACTCTTGATCTAAGAAAGTGTGCAATTTTTTTAAGGGAGACTCACAAAAATGCCCCTTTTTCAATACCCCTTTTCAAAAATGCCCCATTTGGCTGTCCATTTTTAAAAATACCCCTTTTTATGTACAAAATGACTAAATTACCCTTCTTTTAATAAAATATATCACAAATATATAAGGAAATATAACAAAATTAGGTCAACAAAATACAAAATATTTTTTGGCGGGAAAAGTGATCCCGCAATTTTTCCCGCCAAAACACTTGTAAAAACTTATAAAAACTTTTAAAATACCTTGTAAAATTTTCCCGTAAAATTTTTTCCCGCCAAAAATTTTTTTTTGGCGGGAAAAGTGATTCCGCAATTTTTTTGGCGTTAAATTTTTGGCGGGAAAAATTTACAAGGTATTTTAAAGGCTTTTTACAGGGTATTTATAAGGTTTTACAATGTATTTTAAAAGGTTTTACAACGAATTTATAAGGTATTTATAAGATATTATAAGATTTTACAAGCAATTTTATAAGGTTTTACAAGTTATAAGGTTTTACAAGTTTTTTATAAGGTTTTACAAGTTATAAATACCTTATAAAACCTTATAAGTACCTTGTAAAACCTTTTAAAATACATTGTAAAACCTTACAAAACACTTGTAAATACTCTGTAAAACCTTTAAAAAACCTTGTAAATTTTTCCCGCCAAAAATTTTCCCGCCAAAAAAATTGCGGAATCACTTTTCCCGCAAAAAATTTTTTTTGGCGGGAAAATTTTTTGGCGGGAAAAATTTTTACGGGAAAATTTTACAAGGTATTTTAAAGGTTTTTTACAAGTGTTTTGGCGGGAAAATTGCGGGATCACTTTTCCCGCCAAAAAATATTTTGTATTTTGTGGACCTAATTTTGTTTCAAATAAGGGTAAAATGGTCATTAAAAATTAAAAGAGGGCAAACTTAAAAATGGACTCTCAAAGGGGGCATTTTTGAAAAGGGGTATTGAAAAAGGGGCATTTTTAACAATTTCTCTTTTTTTAATATAAATTTCAATATGAAACTATTTTGTTTTTTAAAAGACTTTTGGTATAAGCCTATAAATCTCAATATTAATAAATAAACGAACATAGTTTAGAAATTTGCCTTTTAGCTGAAAATATTAAATATGTTTAAAACAAAAACACAAATGAAGCCGACAAAAAAAAAAAGGAAAAAAAAAACAAACACACAACACACTAGAAAAAAAGAATGGATTAAGAAGATATAGGGCTGACCTAAACTTTAAGAGGGCCCCAAGCACAACTCGAAATTTGTGGCCCATTAGTTTAGAAAATTGCTTTCTTCAGAAAAAAAATTATATAAAAAGTAGACAAAGGAAATCAACGACAAAAAATAAACAAGGATCTAGCCCACCTGGTTAGAACAGTAAACTCATTTTTTGACCAATGTGCTGCTGAGTTTTTAGGCAACATTAATTTGTGGCCACATCAATAAATATAGTATGTTCCATAACTCCAAGTCTCCAACCCCAAGTTTCTATATTTGGCTCATGGTCCGGGTCAGAAAGTTTTGTAAAATGAATATACTTCAAATCAATAATTCTTATTTATCAATTTTTTTTAAGAAATGTGATCAATTTGTTAAAATGTTCAATTATGTAATTTTCTTTTATCTTCGACATTGACGAATGTGTTACCTAGTTTCTTATGCATGGAATTATAAATTTTTGAGAAAGAAATCTCAGTTTATATTATTTTCAAATAAAAAATGACTAAGCAATAAAATACATATTCCAATAAGGAGTTTTTCCTCTTACAATCAACTAATTTGAAGGTTTCAAAATTTATTGATGAAAAAAGCTTCGAGTGTTATTCAGCAATATTAATGATGTTTTATTCATTTTTATTTTTTTTTCAATTCTCCGAAGTCAAAGAAATGTTTTTGAATATTAGTTAGTAGAAAGAAGTGATAATAAGTTATTTTCAAATCCATTTTCTATCATCGATTAAATTGAAATTAGAAATGATTTTCTATTTCGAGGAATCAACTAATCAAGAAGATATATATATATATATATATATATATATATATATATATATATATAATCTATGTCCGCTAAATATGAAATTCTCATGTTCGCCATATTAGATCATATGTTGTGATGCAATCTATAACTTTTTTGCGGTTAAAATCTTTGTTACGATCTCTTATCAACCAAAATTTTGAATGATACGTTATTTATGCATCAACGGACGGATCATATCCATGGAGTTTCAATGAATACACGTTATATTAGACCATACACGTTATATTTTTGTTATGATTTTACCAAAAAAAAAAATACATAACAAAAATGATCCACGTACCTACGGACACTCGTGTAATAAAGCAGTTGCATGCTGATGATGACATGATAAGCTTTTTCAAAATTTATCTACTCAAAAGATTACCTTGTTAGCCGATATGGAATTTTTGAGTCGGGCCATATATTTAATATAAATATAGGATGATTGGATATTAAACAATTCAATCGAAATATGTATTGCGTTGAGGGTTTTTATGAAATTTTTTTGATGGATATCGCAAGTTCTTTTTTGAATTTAATGTTAAATTATATTCAAAGAAAAACTAAACGTTTATACATAATTATGCAAACTTTTAAGAAAACGACAAGTCACAAGGAGCTTTTATCCATGATGTTGTCTCGATGCAAACCACATTTGACTCCCATCCGCGTACTTCTCGACACCTCCTTTCCTTAGGCTTAATCGATTTCGAATGTTCTTGTCAATCAACTTAACAATCATTTCCGTTGTCGATGGTTGCTCTCCATGTCTCCTGCCATTTCTTTCTCTCCAAATGGAGTGGATGGCATTCTGAAATACAAAACGTAGTATAAACCTTTTGGTGTTGCAGTGATCTCTACTCGCAAGCTCCTTTGTAACTTCGGACCAGGTTGTCGTAAATTTGTTTAATAGAATCCCACGAACCAGCTCCTCCCACACCTTTGTTGAGTACGGGCATTGGATATCGCAAGTTCTGTAATCGTTTATCAGATTAGATATCTAACAAAACCTCAGATTCTTCTATCACAAACTCGGACTTTCATAAAAGCTTTCACCACTATAAAAGACTCATTATAAAATATATTCATCTGTGAATTTTTAATAAACATGTTCAAAAAAAAAAAAAAAAAAAAACTTTTTGTGGTGATTTTTTTTTAAAAATTCACTTACCGTGTGATCAAAATTTAACTTGAGCGTTGAAAATATTTAGGCAACGCACTCTTGTTGTTCACAAAATAATGTGTCAGATGGTAGGATTCTTTACAACGTATAATTTTTTTTTTTGTCAACAACTAGAAATTAATAAAAACAGTTAAAAATCTAAATCGAGCTGCATGATTCACAGAAATAAGTACAATTTAAATTTAATATTTCATGCAAATTTATCCGTATAAGCTCATCTCAAAATTAATGAGTAACTTTTGATTTTCAATATGTGTCCTGATAATACAAATTTCATTTAGACATTGAAATCAACAAAAATACCAAAATCTAATAAACCGCTTGGAGTTTAAAATATAGAAGCGGTTTATTAGATTTTGGTATATCAAATAGATTTTGAGATAATTAAATATATTTATCAAAATTCAATAACAAAACAAAAAATAATTTTCTTCCGCACACACATGATGACATAACAAAATCATTTGACGACAACCGTGTGATTTTTTTTTTACTTTTTAAAGATGCAGAGAATCAAATCACTTTTAACAGAAGCACATGACCTGTAATCTTTTACAAAATCTTCTTGAACAGAAGTAAAATATAGCTTTATTTTTGCCTCTTTGAAGGCTTTGCTTAGTGGTGAAGTAGTACACAATAGTAGCTCTTTCTTGATTTTGTGGTGTTATTTTATTTAATTATTCGCATATTAAACTATTGCCGACAAGAAAAAAAAAAAGAAACTGCTAAATCACTAAGATTGTTTGAAACAATCAAACAATACAACTATTAACCTTTAAGACTTGGCTCTTTTTTTATAAAACGTTAATATTTTAGGTATTCAACTTATAAAAGACCGTCTTCAAAATGAAACACTCGAGCTATTTCTATTTTCCGAGTATAATCTGCCCCAAAGAAAAAAGGAGAGTATGCCCTATCGATATTTATGGCTAAGCTTAATAATTTGTCACATGTAAGAATATAAGTTTTCATTTTGGTAGGAGACAAACAAAATAAACAGAAAAAGGTTTCCAATTAATTATTAATGTGCCGAAAATGCTGACTTGTAAGTCATTTATAAATTAATCAACTCAATAATCATAAGATAAGTGACCTCATTGATGTCCATTACATGTTTATAAAAAACTTTTATATAAAGAGGTTCAATGAATATAAAACAAATCGCTGTTTGGGAATATTCCTCATCAATTACATCATTGAGATATTTATATACTAATACCTCACATTAAAGTGAGATTAAATTCTACTATTTGACATCTCTATTTTTTTACGAATTTTAAATTAATTGATAAATTTTTTTTTGGCGGGAAAAGTGATTCCGCAATTTTTTTGGCGTTAAATTTTTGGCGGGAAAAATTTACAAGGTATTTTAAAGGCTTTTTACAGGGTATTTATAAGGTTTTACAATGTATTTTAAAAGGTTTTACAACGA